GCCTCTTTCTACAAGGAGCACAACAAGGATGACCACTCTGTCGACATCGACCAGAAATTCAAGTATGACTACGATGTACACGGCCACCCTTACCCAGTACCCGTGCCTGCGCACCCCTGGAAACGTGACCCCAGTCGCTCGCATCCCCCTGCTACCGTGATCGATGGGCCTGGCGGTATCAACAGCGGCAATGCCGCCGCCAACCCTACGAAGAACGAGCTTGGACTGGCCTACAGCGAGACCAACATTGACGACCATTCCGTCGACATTGACCAGAAGACCAACGTGGACGTTGACAACCACTGGGACTACCCCGTGCCGGTGCCTGCTTACCCTCACCACCCTCACTGGCCGCACCACCTCAAAGCGCGTCAATTCGGAAACACGGTCATCGACGGTCCCGGAGGCGTTGACAGGGGCAGTGATGCCGCTATTCCCACCAAGAATGGCTTCGCGTTTGGTTACAGCGAAACCAACATTGATGACCACTCTGTTGACATTGATACCAAGACGGATGTGGACATTGACACAGACTTTCACGCGGTCCCCTACCCTGTCCACTACCACCCTCACCCCCACCATTTCCACGGACGAGGACTCGGGGACACTGTGATCGACGGCCCTGGGGGTGTCGATTCGGGCAATGGCTTTTCCGCTCCCACTGACAACGAATTTGCGTCGTTTTATGACGAGACAAACCTGGACGACCATTCCTTCACTGGCAAGGCTGCCGCGGATGTGGACATTGACAACCACTATCCCTACCCGTACCCCTACCCTGTCCCGGCCCACATTCATCACTGGAAGGCCCGCGCACACTCCTTCGTTCCTCCTTGGAAGGATGTCACGCTCATCGATGGCCCTGGTGGAATCGACACTGGCAATGACGCCGATCTTTCAACGACCAACACCTTCCTGTCGGACTATGACGAGTTCAACCAAGACGACCACTCTTTCACCGGCAAGTCGGCTGCGGATGTCGACGTCGACACCCATGTCCCGTACCCTGTTCCCGTCCCTGCCCCTGGCCACCCTCACCACTGGAAGGCTCGCGGACACCATGAGCCTCCGGTCACCGTTATCGGTGGACCCAGCGGCATCGATACTGGCAACAGCGCTGATCTATCGAGCGTCAACACAGCCATCAGCGACTATGATGAGTTCAACCGTGACGACCACTCGTTCGACGCCAAGGCTAAGGCCGATTATGATCTTCACTACCGTCGCTCTGTCCACGCGCGTCAGTTTGGAACTGATGTGATCGATGGCCCCGGAGGCATCGATTCTGGAAATGGCTTCTCAGCCCCCACGAGCAACCACGCTGTCGCAGGGTACAGCGAATACAATGAGGATGACCACTCGGTTGATATCGATTCCAAGACTGACGTTGATGTTGATGGACACTTCCACCCCGTTCCACTGCCTCACCCTGTGCCGGCTCCTCACCCCGTCCCTGTTCCGCACCACCACGAGCATCCTGGCCCTGGACCATTCCACGAGTCCCCGGCTGCTCCGGCTCCTGCCCCTGTCGAGGCTCCTACTGGCGAAGTCCATGTCCCTCAGGAAGCTCTCAAGCCCAACCCTGCTCCTGAGCCCGTTGTCCAGCACAACCCCCAGGGTGAGGAAACGCACCAGGCTCCTCCCTCGGGCGAGGTTCACGCGCCTGTTCCGGAGTACAACCCTCAGCCCCCCAGCCCCCAAACGGAATCTTTTGAGCCCGCCGTGCACTCTGAACCTGCCCCTCCCCTGAATGTGCCGAACACGCCCAACACGCCGAGCGACAACACGGAATCGGACTTTTCCCAGCCCATTGTGCACAGTACTCCCGAGGCGCCTGCCCCGTCTGTCCCGTCCGTGAACGAGAACAGCTACCAGCCCGCACCCCCAGCTGCCCATAACTTCGAATCCCAAGCTGCTCCTTCCACCTCCCTTGTACACGCTGCGCAAACCCAGCCCGACCCTGTCTTCCATGGCATGGCTATCCCTTCATCCTCTGTCGCTCACGTCGCCCTCGCTTCCACTGTGACCGTGCCCCAGGCTTCGTCTTTCGCTAAGATCCCCGTCTACGTACCGCAGTCGTCGGCTGTCGTGCCCGCTGCTCACGGTCCCGCCTCTAGCACCGTCGTTGTTCACCCTACCGGCGTTGCCGCGTCCACTCCCAGCTCGGCTTCCTCGAGCGCTGCCATCGCCTCGCGCGCTGATACTGTCTTCACGGGCGGTGTTGCCCACCTCACGCCTCACGCTGGCGTCTTCTCTGTCGTGTGTGGTGTCGTTGGCCTGTTGGCCTTTGTCCTGTGAAATGTTTGGTTGAGATTTGTTCATTCCTTCGAGGCAGACGTGGCCTGACTTCTTCGATGTCAAGGCAGTAGCTGTTTTGTTGCTTTCAATTATTGTAATCCATAACCCTATTGTGGTCTTGCTGTTATTATTATTCTCTCTTTTATTATTATTCTCTTGTCTCTAATGAATGCAAATTTCCCACTATTTCACTATCTTCCCGTAATCCGTTCTCGCTTTCTAGAATTATACCAGCCCCTGGCGTTCTCCTGTTTCTTGACCGTAGTACTTGGAGTAGAAGTAGGAATAGCACTGATACCCTTTTGGTGTGCCTACCTACAGCCGGTATAGGGGGTGACTGGCTCTGGGCCGGCTGTTTCTATCTACCTCGCCTATCCTATTGTCCCAGCAGTCTACAGATCACGAAGTCGGCCATCAGGGAGAGGTGCTGCTTCGTCATCGCAACACTTCACACCCTAATAAGTTACATATCCGTAGATAAATGACCGGCATCGACGGTATTATGTTCAATAATAAGATACTTCATATTCTATGAATCCGGCTGTAACTAGCCCACTTGATGATGCGTCTTTCCTTTTTGTATGACAGACTATTTTGTTCATACCGCGTTCCTTTCTGAAAGGGTCTGAAACTCTACCCATGAGATTAATTAATCTGACAGACTTTTAGTATTCATTCCCTGTGCAACTAGAAAATAGCGCTTCGATAAAGTTTCGCTGATACGTATCATCATATTGCTCCGCCACACCACGTCTCTGTCGCTGCAGTAATAGAGATTTTTCAAATCGGAGCCGGTATATTAGATGTCCCTAGCCGATTGAGCAGTATTGACCCGTGGGTAAATGGCTTAGAGGAACTATTTTCACAAACTATCTTTGGCTATGTGTTCAAAAATCTAGGGCAAGGGGGAAGGAAAGCGTTGATGGGGTTTCTACCTTATCTTTCTCGATGATCTCATCGTGTTCTTAACGGATATTCTACGAAAACGAAAGTGGAAGCGAGGGCTTGGAGATAACCATTCTAACAATAATAGAAGATACATCGTATGTATACTGTACATGCATGTGTTCCGGCCGTGGAGTTATAGGCTTAGGGAATGCTGTAGTATGGATAATAGTAGTTAGGTTGTAGGTAACAAAAAGCGTAACCAAATAGAATAATAAGTCACTCATTCGTTACATTCCATTACATCTTATCTCATCTAAATTAAAGAATCATAATCATAAGTCAAATGAACCAAAAACCTAGTACTTCCCACCAGGATATCCAGCCCCAGTCTCATTCCTCTTCGCCTCACCACCAGCAGGGAAAGTATTCCCCGTGCCAGTCAACACCTCGCCCGTCTGGCCCATATCTCCAGGGCCACGGGGCATGCTGGCGGCGTTGTCGGCGGCAAAGGCGGTCGTGGGCTCGGCGATGCCTTGGTTGTTGAACTGCGCGTTCTCGGCGACTTGGTCGGGGCGCGGCACGGAGGGGATTGTTCTTTGGATGCCGGCGTCGTTGGGGATCTTGGTTCCGGTGGGAGCCATTTCGGAGAGGGAACCGCCCTGGTGGGGGGAGGGAGCGCGCTGGTGTTGAGGAGACATTTTGGGTTGGTTGTTTGGTTTGAATTAGTTATAATGGAGGAAAATTGAGAAGATTTTGGATCAAATAGAAAAGTTGTAGTTTGTTGGCTGAGGAAGGAGGACTCTTGTGATATAGATAGATAGTCTGATTGATTGTTGTGCTTAATCCAGGTAGTATATCTGCTTTATATACAAAGTGGTGGATATACTTGGTGGTGACATCACCAGTTCCCAGTTCTAGGAGTCGGGCCGATGATGAATTGATGAGATCAGATCGCCGTCCGAACGCCCGGTTTGCGGTGGATACTGCACTGCGTTCCAAGAACATCGCTCGAAGAATCGAAGAAATGCTGGGAATAAAAAAGAAAAAGAAATTCAACGCCGCGTATGATTTCATTATTATCGAATTGCGCGGTGGCGACCCTGGGATGAGTCTGGATCGCAGGTCTGGCGAACAACGCAGTGGCGAGCGGTTCATGCTAAGAAAGGGAGAGCGTGGTGATCTTTCAACTGAGAAATCCCTGGTAAATCTCCTCGAGGACGTCGCGTTTTCGTTTTCGATCAGCCTTTTCCGCTTCTTCCTCCTCGTCCGGCTCGCCCTCCGGTTCTCGCGACACCCATGTCCGGATCGTGCCATCGCCGTGCGCTGAAAACATTTCAATTCCTTCGCCTGCGGCGCCGTTGCCTCGCCATGCGAGGGCGTTAATCCGCGCGGCGCTCAGCGCACTGGATCGGCCGCGCATACTCTGGGCGTTTATTGCGAGCCCCGGAACGCGCAACCGCTTGATGAATGTCCCCTCGCGGAGCTCGAACATGAAAATTTCGCCGCGGTCGTCCCTCTCGTTGAAATTAGGCCAGAGCAGCGTCTCATGACCGGCGTCCATTACCCCCTTTGGCAACACCAATGGCGCTCGTTCGGCCAGGTGCGACGAGACGCTATTGCGGACTCGTGGGCCGAAATGCACGAGGGTGTTGGCGCCCGTCGTGGCGTCCCAGACGCGGATACGCGCGTCCTGACCTGCTGTCACGAGATGCGAGCCGTTGGAGGTCCATCGGACGCCGGTCACCGCGCCGCCGTGCGCTCGCACGTACGGGGAGTAGGCGGGACGACTTTCGTAGCCCGGCGGGGCTGTGTGCGGCGGAACCAAGCCCACGGCATCGTCCATATCCAGTGCAGCGATGGCGGAGTTGTGTCCGCCGCGCCGGATATCGAAAAGAATTACGCGGTGGTCGGCTGAGGCGGAGGCTAGGATATGTGGTCGGTGAGGAGCCCATGACACGGATAGGACGGATGAGGTGTGTCCTGGTAGACCGTGGGTGGAGAGACCGGAGCGTAGATCTAGCAGTCGGACGGGTTTCTCGGAAGTGCCCACGGCGATAAGAAGAGGTGATCCGTTATGTGAGGACATGGAATGCGCGTAGGGTGTGCAGTCGAGGTTGAACGTATGCACTGGCGTGATGCCCGTAGGCTCCAGGGCGGAGAGCTTAAGAGTCCCATCGTGTGAAGTTGACAGTACGGTCGATGGCTTCGGGTCGAACGGGTATATCGAGAGGGAAGTGAGGGCACGCGTATGGGCATCCTCATGCGACGACTTGTTGATGGATGCGATCGATCGATGAGTATGGGATAGCTGCGAGCCTCGGCTTTCTAGATCCCACAGGTGGATTGAGGGATCTGCGCCGCCAGAGACCATGCTGACGGAGTCAGTAAATGACATTCAGTTCTCGAGACCTTCCAACTTACAATCGACCATCATACTGATCAATAGCAAGCACATTCACGCCGGCTTTATGAGCGTAGATCTCATCGTCGCAGCCGATCTGCGCATCTCCAGCGCTGGATCCAGGGTCCTTGCGACTGGAGAAACGAACACCGGGGGCTGGCTCCAGGTGCTGCACCAGCCGGGTTGTCAAAGCCACGTGAAATTCAGACGGAGTGATGGACCCCAGGGCCCGATTGAGGAGGTACGAATTCATTCATGAGGGGGGGTTGAGGGATCAACGGGAGAGTGTTAGAGAGTCCCTCGCCGGGACTCTTGCATCATCGGCGATCTTATCAGCGGCCCGGAACTACGTCGCCCCGGAATTCTCCAACACTTTGATGGATCTATCCAAATTATTCAACACCACAACACAGCATCACCCCCGAGAGACAACTTGTACTGGCCGGATGATGTCTCTCGGCAGATCTCCGGCCTTGAGCCAGAATACTTTCGTTCGGCCTCCAAGTATTGACGAGTCGCAAGAAAGGACAGCCGACGAGCCCTCGAGTCGATCGAAACGACTAGCAAATGTTTATGACGCCGTAGCCGGTTAGACCTCCGTTTTCTCTGCTCTATTTCTCATCTAATCTATTAGGCCGTATTAATGCCCATGGATTTCTTCCCCCCGTCCCTTACCCGTCCAAACACCGGGATACAGCTTCGTCCAATCTTCGCCCGGTCCGTCCAGAAGAAGTCCTCTTCCGTCGGCAGAACGCGCCGGTCCGCTACGAGGAGAATGATTTCTACTTTGCGCACGAGTCGCTGCCTTCCGACCGACCTCTGCCGAGTTCTGAGTTGCTTGAGGCCATCCATGCCTACTCGGCCGATTTCTACGATAGAGCCACCCTCGATCGTGGCCAGGACGATTATCAGAGCATGGACGAGACGGCCTTGATAGCCATGGGGATACTGATGGAGGAAATGGCACGCGAGTCGCTGGGGGAAACCGGCGACATGGTACTGGTCGAGGGGGAAGAAATCTCCGACAACGAGCGCAGTCGACTGGCTTTAGAAACTGGGTCTCGACGAGTAGGTCGTAAAAGGGCCAACACGCAGAGTAGCGTCCTCCCCAGCTCCGGCGATGAACTAGAGACAGAGAACGTGGTCAAGCGAAAACCATCGAAGAAGCGCAAATTGGCCCGCCGAAAGTGGAGGATGGATGAGGACACCGAATTGGACTAAAAATTGTGACAGGCCATGCAGTCTACTGCGCATCAGGCAATAGCTTGTGGTTGTTTGGGCTAGTCCTGCAGCCAGCACGAGGCCCAGACCCCCTTCCATCATTTCATCCCAAATGGGCACACTGGTGAACGATCATTCCCAACCTGTATCTGATCCCCGGGCTCTGGGTCTTAAAGGAAGACCGTTACGATTGGTGAACCACTTAGCTGGTTGGACCCTCGGGCCTCTTCCAGTGCTCGAGAAACAAGCAATTAGCCACGCCCAACAATGAACCACAGGTCTCGCAACCTGCAGACAACGAGGGGGTGGCGTGGACTTGTCAAATGACTCCCCAACAAGAACCAGTTTATCCGCTTACCTATGGATCCAGTAGGTCCAGTGGCGGCAGCAAGCAGCAGTCGACCTTTCAATTTGCCGAACCGCAAGCACACGGCTGACCGGACTGAGGGAATAATTCTTCCGCACGACCAACCCCTTCTATCCTAGCCTCGAGGATGCCTGTCTTTCCATCCAGTGACCGGTCAACGCCTGGTGTCGGCAGCCATGGCCTAATATAACCTGAGGCGTAGACTAAGGGTCTTGGCCGTTACTCTTCCGGCCTAGAGCCTCGTCTGCGAATGGAACCACGGGAACTAGACCGTCTTGCAAAGCACCCCAGACTTGTCCCCGCGTTCGGACTGGCTTTTCGCCTACCCCAGACTCCTTACTCTGTCTTGGACTTTCCACCCCTTCGTGACCTGATCTCTTTTCCCGGGCGGCCGCCTTCTGTCAATTAGCCTGAAATCGCTTTCGATTCCTTCCTTTCGCCTGGCAGACAGACCTTGGCAGTCAGCGAACGAATCAGTCCATTCCCCCGGGGTAAATTATCGGACCGGCTTAGTATCGTAGGTCGGGTTGTGCTGTGGCGATCCGGGGGCCATTTTATCCTGGACTCTGTCCGTGAGTTCGGCCCCTGCGACGTGTTGGCCTATCAGACGAGCCTGACCTTTTCTCGCCACGTTTTTGCGCTCCAGAGCCGGTTTAGCCGTTGCAAGACGAGGGAGGTATCGGCAGGCAGTTCGACGCCTGGACTGAACTTGATACATGGGAAAATACCCGGATGAAGGCCAAGGCCCTCCGGTGATTCATAAGATGGACACCATCCCGCATGCCAACTTCATTCTTTTGCTCTCATGCGTAACTAGGTCTTTCCTTGAACACTGGACCGTTGAAATTCAACCCGAGTGATTGTATCATTCCACCGGACAGATTACATCTGACGCCGCAATGGGATCTGCAACCTTTGAGCTTGCCGGTCGGCAGTTCCCCCGTGTGACATGGTGGAAGGATCCCGGCATGCGCAAGACGTACATCTGTCTGATGTTCGTGGTGTTAACTTCGGTGCGCTTTCCCTGGTCTGTTACATTTGTGACAAAATTCTAACCCGGGACAGGCCACCAACGGTTACGATGGATCTATGATGAACGGGCTCCAGACCCTGGACTACTGGCAGGAATATTTCAACCACCCGTCGGGGTCTCTTTTAGGTATTCTCAGCGCGATCATGTCGCTGGGGTCATTGGCCGCCCTGCCCGTCGTGCCCTATACTGCCGATCTTCTGGGGCGTCGAATGGGCGTTTTGATCGGTTGTTCGGTCATGTAAGTGAACCTGATAGTTACCTACCGTCCCCCCTCGTCCTCTCACAAAGCTTACACCAATTAGGATTTTGGGAGTAGTCCTGCAGAGTGTCAGTGCCAACTACGGCATGTTTCTGGCCGCTCGATTCTTGATTGGATTTGGCGTGGCCATTGCCCACGGTGCCTCTCCTCTGCTCATCGCCGAACTAGTGCACACGCAGCACCGCGCTGTTTTTACCACCATCTATAACAGTAAGTCTATTTGGGTCTGTGTTCAATACCAATCGCTAATGCGGAATTAGCAACGTGGTACTTGGGTGCCATTGTCGCAGCATGGCTTACGTTCGGCACCAACAACATCAAGAGCAACTGGGCTTGGCGGGCCCCGACCATCGTCCAGGCAGTGCCCTCGGTTCTCCAGATTATCTTCATCTGGTTCGTGCCGGAGTCGCCTCGATTCTTGATTTTCAAGGGCAAGAACGAGCAAGCGCTCAAGGTGCTGGCCGACTGCCACGCCAATGGCGACCAAATGGATGAGGTGGTCCAACTGGAAATGCACGAGATCAAGGAGACCATCCGACTGGAGAAGGAATTTGAGAGCAGCAACTGGATGGAGCTGATCCGCACCAAGGGCAACCGCCACCGTATGATCATCTGCATCTCTGCCGGTCTGTTCTCGCAGTGGTCGGGCAACGGGCTGGTGTCGTACTATATCGCCAAGATCCTGGAGTCGATCGGCTACACCAGTTCCGTCGAGCAGAACCTGATCAACGGCTGTCTTCAGATCATGAACTTCATCGTCGCTCTGACGATGTGCTTCTTCGTGGACAAGATCGGTCGCCGCAAGCTCTTCCTCGTCTCCACCGCTGGCATGCTGGTCGCCTTCATCGTCTGGACGATTTGCTCCGCGCGCTATGACCTCTCGCATACGTCTGGAACGGCCAACGCGGTCGTCGCTATGATCTACGTCTACTACCTCTTCTACAACATCGCCTGGTCTGGTCTTCTGGTCGGATACACAGTGGAGATCCTCCCGTACAGTATCCGTGCCAAGGGAATGACCGTGATGTGGTTCTGTATTGACGCTGCCCGTAAGTGATCCCTTATTGTTCTTATCTCGCCTCGAGTGATACTGACCCCAGCAGTCTTCTTCAATCAGTACATCAACCCGATCGCGCTGGACAACATCGGCTGGAAATACTACATCTTCTACTGCGTGTGGCTAGGCTTTGAACTGACTGTCGTCTGGTTCTTCTACATCGAAACGCGCAAGACCCCGCTGGAGGAAATCGCCAAGTACTTTGACGGTGACAAGGCGATGGTCGGAGGCGCCGCGGGCACCGAGAAGGCCAAGGAGCTGGTGACGACGCTGCACTTCGAGGAGACGGTGACCAGCGAGACCGGGAAGGACGGCGGCGTGGTCAACGAGAAGTCCGTGTGAGCTTGCGAGCTCTCCGGGCGTTTCTTCTGTCATGTCATGTCTTGTTCTGTCCTGGCGGGTATTAGTAGTTTTTACTACAATCTATATAATTAAGTCCCCATGCAATCCAATTAAGCGGGTTGAATGCAACCAGTCCCTGCATCGTCGTAGATGGGCATCTGGTCTGAGGAACAGACCCTAATTAGGTCTTGTGCGATCACCTGTTTCCAACAGGACCGGGTGGCGTGACCTGAGCTCTCCCACCTCGACCTCCCCAAGTATCGGTCCGGTCTTGTCTTGTCTTATCCTGCCTGCATCCCACTTCCATCGATCGATCCATGTGAACGCAATCAAGCCACTGGACCGGATTGAACGACCGGTTCGGTGGGCACAATCCCCGAGAATAAGATCCTCTACCTTACGCAAAAGACAACCTCCAGCATCGCAGTCACCATGGTGCGTCCAGCATCCCCATCTTCAATTCCACCTCTCCTCTACATTAGACTACACTACACTCTACATCCCAATCCACCCCAGCCGATCCCAGAAAAGAAACGAAAAAGAAACAAGAGCTAAACAAACCACACAGCCTCCCAAACTCACCCGCGGCGCCAAACAATCCCTCATCATCACCTACCTCCAATCCACGCAAACCTGCCACACCTTGAAAGAGCTCGAGAAATCGCTCCCCCCGGTGGCCTCGATCCCCGGGATGCAGGTGAAAGAGTTCATCCAGGAACTGGTGGACGAGAACCGGATCCGCGTGGAGAAGATCGGCAGCGGGAACTGGTACTGGAGTTTTGCGGGGGACGAGCGAGGCGAGAAGGAGCGGGCGCGGAACGAAGTAAAGAATGAGGTGGAGCGGGCGCGGCTTGGATACGGAAAGACGGCGGGCAGGTTGGCACAGCGCAGGGGGGAGATGCAGCGGGAGCGGGAGGAACAGGCAACAGGACAAAAGGAGGTGGAGGAGTTGAGGGGGGAGTTGGTGGGGAGGAAGGAAGCGTTGGAAGAAGAGTGGAAACGGGTGAGAGAGGTGAAGAAGATGGGGGAAGGAGTAGATGGAGAGGAGGGGAAAAGCGTGCCGGAGATGAAGGCAGAGACGGAGAGATTCCGAGCGGAGGCGCAGATGTGGACGGACAACGTTTACGTGCTGGAGGGATACCTGCGTCGCCTGGCCGGAGGGGATCGGGAGATTATCACAGCAGTGCAGCGCGAGTGTTACGGCGAGGAGTACGTGGAGGGGGAGGGATTGCGCGAGATATGAGGGATCAAGAACTACTCTGAAGTCTGTACGGAGTGATACTGAGGACTCGGAGTAAAAGGAAGTTAAACTAAAACTAAAACTTAAAGAAAAGAAAAGATAAATAAACGATTAATAAGAAAGACAAGTGGAGGCGCCGAGAGAGACCCAAGAGAAGCTTGACTTCCGGCTGGCGACTTCCGTTGGCTTTTCCTTTCTCCGCTTATCGCGAACCAGTTCTGTCCTCTTTCTTCATCTCCCATCGCTCCGCCCCCTCGCTGCATCTCCCGTCTCGTCGCTGTCCTCGCTCGCCTCTGCCTCCTAGTCGCGTTGATCGGTTCGACCGCCTCTCCCGAACGCTTCCCTCAGACCATCTCCCTCCCTCCCCTCTCTCTGCCATTCCATCCACGGAGGGGATTAACCCGATCGTCGACTCTGCTCTTCTCCCCGTGTTGAACGGTCTATAACACTGCGAGAAATGATGCCGTCCTGTTCCTCTTGTCCTGACTCTTAACGTCTTCTCTCTCTCTCTCCCTATCTCCCTTCGCGATTCGATTCCTCGAACACTCGTCCCTCTATCCCCCCTCGATCGGATACCTTCGCCGATCCACCTCCGTGGGTTCCGACCAAGGAAAGACACAATCAAAAAGGAAATACTTACCGGGAACGAGGGACAAAACACCAGAAGGAAACCATAAGAAAAGAAACGAAAAGGTCAAAAGATCAGCACCAATCGCGTTAGCTGCAGGGTGTCCCCGTGGGTGGTGGTGTCTTTGCGCCCGACGCTTACTTCGGGGCCTGGTAGGATTGATTGCCCGAATCCCCCGACGTGTTCGGTGCATTCGACACAACGGAGGCTATTCTCTGTCTGGGTCTCTAGTCTCTTATCTCCCTGACTCGGAGGCACCTACCAGCCCACCTTCTCCCATCCTTGGTCGTTCATTCATTCACGACTGGGGGGTTGGTGGAGATTTTCCCCGGCCTGTCTTGGGGATCTCTCATTCTTCGGCGTGGATCCTCGTCACTCCCAACTTTCTTTCTTCTCTTCCCTCCCCCTTGCTTGTCTCCGCGTCAGTTCTGGCTTGGTCCATTGACGTGGGAAATCTTGAAGTCGTCTTGTCTCATTCTTTGCTCCTTGTCGCTCTTGGCTTTTTCGCCTCCCTTTCCTACGTCTTAGTTGACCTCCCTCTTCTTTACTTTCTCCTCGTTACGTTTGTCTTCTTGTTTGTAGTCTTGATACAAACCTACCTCCATTGCACACCCTCTTCCTCCTTGTATGGATTGAGTGAGGTGTGACTGTGGGTCATGTCCGTCAACTCTCCCCCCGCCCAACCCTCCTCCTCGCCGCTCGGTCGGAATCGCAGCTCCCTGCTGGCCCGGTTTTGCTCGCCCTTTTCACAACGGAATCGCAGCATCGCCGATTACTACATCGAACCCGACGATCCCTGGCGCTCCTACTTCCCCGGGGATGCGATCAAGGGCACTGTTGTCCTTACCGTCGTCCGCCCCGTTCGCATCACGCATCTCGTCATTTGTTTACACGGCTTTGTCAAGGTTTTTAAGAACACCGTCCCGTCGGGAGAGGCCTCTCCGGACGCGGGATTTTTGGGTCCTGGACGCGGGCGTCGAGGCGCAGAATATCTGGGCAATGGATTGGCCACATTATTTGAGAATGAGGATGTCCTCTGCGGAGAGGGTCGTCTTAAGGAGGGGGTCTACAAGTTTCGCTTCGAGATGTCCTTTCCGCCGTTCGCCTTGCCGAGTAGTATCAGTGTGCGTGTTTGCTTGCTACCTGGATTCCCTTTGAGTTTTGTTATTGCTCTCGGCAGTTTGACTGACTTTTTTCGGGTGCTGTTGGTCTAGTTTGAAAGAGGCACCATTACTTATATGCTTACGTCCACCCTAACCAAACCTACGACGATGAACCCTACCATGTCCTGCCGAAAACGCGTGAATTTGTTGGAAAATATCGACATAGCGCCCTTTCCGGCCCCGAGAGCCCGCGTGGTCACCTTAGAACCGGTATCGAAACGATCGAAATCCAAGGCGAAGGCCAGGTCGGGAGAATCGGACACCGCGCAGGACTCGACATCACTAGAGCCGTCGGTGAACGGCACCGCCGGGTCCGCCGATAATCGACCGCCCCTCAGTCCCGCGCCGAGCAACGTGAGCTCGTCCAGTCGATTGAGCAATAGCAGCCAGAGTTTTCAAATCGCCAGCGATCCTAGTTCCTCCACCAGTACGGGGATGCGAAACAGCGAGGGTCGGAGTACCACACCCTCCATCGCGGATAAGACGATCACCGCCAAGACAGAGGTATTGCGCGCGGGCGTGCTACCGGGAGATACGCTCCCCATCAAAGTCACTATCAACCACTGCAAACAAGTGCGCAGCGCGCATGGCATCATCGTCACCCTCTACCGCCAGGGCCGCATCGATCTCCATCCGGCCATCCCTGTCGGCCCGTCGACGGACGGCAAAAAGCCGGTCTACGAGGACTACTACCCCCGATCGCGGACGGGACTCGGGGGGCTGACAATCGGGACGAGTCGCACCAGCAGCGTCTTCCGGAAGGACCTGACTCAGACCTTCGCCCCTTTAGTAGTGGAGCCGTCGACCCTCACGGCCGTCGTGAAGACGTCCATTCGCATTCCCGAAGACGCCTTCCCCACGATCACGCGCACGCCGGGCAGCATGATCAACTTCCGATACTACGTCGAGGTGGTAGTGGACCTGCGGGGCAAGCTCGGCTCCCCCGATCGCCTTCTGCCTCGGTTCAATCTGATGACTTCGGGGAGCAACTTCTCCCCGAGCGGACAGATCTTGAACCCAGCCGATTCCAACAGCAATAACATGATCACCGCCAACTGGGCCGGCAACATCCTAGATACCGACCAGATTCGGCGCGAGAAAGGCGTCGTGGCCGTCGCCTTTGAGGTGGTGATCGGCACGCGCGATTCGCATCGCCGGAAAAGCCAGACGAAGCGCACGTCCTCCACGGCGGCCATGTCCGACCTCCAATCGTCGCAGCCGGCGGAGGTCGACGGCTGGCTCTCCGACCAGAGCCCAATGCCCACGGCCGACACGGAGCAACACCGTCCGGCACAGGAGGACTACGGGTTCCCTCAGGAGCTGCAATGGGCGGATCACGTAGAAGAATCGCATTCTCCCCCGCAACCATACCAGTCCTTGGGGCAAATGGTGTCGACGCCACAGTCGGAGGAACCGGGCGATGAGAAAGCCCGGATGCGCCGTGCCGAACAGACGCTGTTGCCTAGTCAGCCGCCGGACGAGCCCGAGGCGGGACCATCGACGGAGATGGTGGTTCCAACGGCGCCTGTGCTACCGGAAGACGATCGGCTCCATGACTATCACCATCTGCCATCCCCGGCGGAAGAAAGCATGCCGCCCGGCTTGGTATCAGCCGAGTCCGTGCACACTGTGGTACCTGGCAGCAGTGCGTCGGCGGCCGTCGCAACGGCAGCGGAAACTTCTGCCGACGACAAGCAGGAAATGGAGCGACAAAGGCTCATGATGGAGGCCAGTGCTCCGGGCGACGTTGAAGCACCGCCCTCACATACAGAATCGGCGGACGGGCCGAGTGCGCCGGTCTTCCATGACGATGGCGATCACCAGTTAGTAGGGGGGATGGCGCATGGCGATGAGTCTCTCCCGCGCTATCAGCGATAGTCTGAGATATTTCGGAAAAGCAAAGGAGAGAAATGGAAGCATTGGTTTATATGAAATGAACGGGATTGAATTAGAGGTTTTTTTTATGTTTTTATATTTTGGACTTGAATCTTTGGATTTGCATTTACGGTTGGGATAACCGGGAGATACCACCTATATGTTTGAATATGGCACCTGATTATTTGATTGATTGATTGATTGATTGACTGATTGATGGAGAGAAGGAAATGGAGTGGATGGGAAGTAGATGCGAGGCGTTTCGGGTAGACGGGCATCGCTTGTCGACATGAAGCCTGTATATACTAGGTATAGGAGATAAATAGTGACCAACGTTCACTCTCATTCCAGCTACTCTATCACATATCTTAATAATTATTATCCAATATCTATTCTGTTATCACGATAACCCAAGGATAAGAGCCAATGCTAAAGCGGCGAGAGCGGCTGACCCGGTCGGACCGTCTTGGCATTTGGCCCCAAATCGCGACTTTATCTCATCTCCATCTCCATCGGCTCTTCCTCCATCTTCGTCTTCCCTCCAACACGCCAAACTCCAGCGTCCAGACCAGTCCCGTCGCCATCCATCATGGCCTTCCGCCCGGGGTCCTTTGCGACCTTCCTCATCGTCTGCCGTACGTCCCCCTCCCCCTCCCCCTCCCCCTCGTATCCCCAAAAACTAACCAACCCAAAAAAACACAACAGCAACCAGCTTCTTCCTCGGCATCATCTTCTCCCTCTTCCCCTACGACTACCCAATCCTATGGTCCACCGCCCCGACCCCCGCCTCGCACTATGACTACTTCGAATCGCACCTCCGCTTCCTGCACGCCTCTCCCCCTCTAATCCCGCGAATCCTCCACATCGTCATATTCCTCGGCCTCGCCGGCCTGATCACCAAACTCTACCGCCCCTCGGAGTCCAACATGCTCTTCGATGGCGCATCCCTGGTCCTCTACATGTGCGGCATCACGGTCTACATCGCTAACATCGTCAAGGGCCTGCGTCTGGTCCAGGACGGCGTGTATGGGGATGATCTCCTCGGTGGCGTTGAGGGGAAGGGCCAGTTGGAAGAAGGGGAGCAGATTCTTGGTCGTGAGGACTCGTTGAAGGTCTTGGCAGCTAGTAATACGATTCTTGCGCTTGTGTTGGTGGGTGTGCTTGCTTTACAGGCGGGGCAGTGGTATGCGGAGAGGAAGGATCAGATTGAGGCGGAGAGTTTTTCGGGGAGGAAGAAGGGGGGTGAGGAGGGTGTGAAGGAGAAGGAGAGTGCGAAGGAGAAGAAGAAGAATTGAGGTTCTCCGTTTGGTGTGTGGTAGAGATTGAGGGTTGAATTGACTTGATGGGTGGGTAGTGATCTTTCTTTTTTTTTTCTCTGCCTGGTCGGTGGTTTATTTTGTATTCTTCCTTCGGGGGTGATGTTGAGATTGAGATGGTTTTGTTCGAGGGTGATCAATGTACGACAGAAGTGGATGTTAATGGGCACCTTTTTTCTCCTATGAGCTGTGTTTTTGTCTACTGGGTTATACTGTAGGGTAATCGCGGGTTATTTATGGATGGACGGATGAGTTTTAACATACTTGATCTCTACATCGGATATCTGTCTGTTCGTCTGTCAAAATCTCTATTCTGGGCCAAGCAGAGGTCAACTCCTGCTACCCCTACGAAGTGCTTTGAAAATGTCCGGATCAAGGTCAAGTGTAGGTCAAAACCTCGATACCCTTAATTCCACCGCAGATTGCCGGTTGCGCAGATCAAATCATATCACAGCAACATGTCAAATATACTGTGGAGCTCCATGATAGCCGTAGAGTGGGACAGTCAGACAAGTATACCACCGAAAATGTAGATCATCACAGAAAGACAAGAAACCCGACACAGAAAGATCGTCACCACGTCGGGACTCCGACCAGGCTCTCAACCCATCATTCAAAGTCAACACTCCTCCAAATAGCCATTAATGACGTCGAGGGCCATAAGATGCGCATAGACGTCCCTCCCGGCTCATCCAACAGCGCGAACGCATCCGTCTGGCCGTAGTAGATGTGATACCAACTCCAACGGCATGTATCTACTCTGAGTTACAGATAAGGCTCAAATATCACCAACGGCGTGTATTTTCTCCCGGGAGCCAGGACAATGTTCAATATCGTCAGCGGGGAATATGATGTAGCAGGACGGAAACTAAACTGCGCATCCCTCATAATAACGCAGTCGTGATGTAGAACGCACCGAAGCCGCCACATAAGCGCGCTCGAAACGAGCAGTATGCATGATTCAAAATCCGTCAACATGCATAGCGATTCGCAGTTTTCATTCACGGCGTTAAAAGTCTGCATGTAGGTACAGTAGCATGGGTAGTAGGGATGATCTCTCACGAGGGATTTTGGATCCTTCGAGGAATAGCCTGCACAGGAGGGGTAAGTTAATGCCTGGACAACGTCTTCTGAGTAAACCAACAAATATGCAACTATGCATGTAGTCTGCAAATGAGGCATAGCAAGGAGGTCCGAACGGCATCTTTGTCTCGCCTCCGGAACTGCCAGACATCAACCGTCGGCCAAAAGTGGCATTCGAACCAGGATAAGATCCCACGTTATGCAAGCCATCGCTCGTCCCGGTGACAGACAGCGTCAAGTTACCGCACCATTCACGTCCATGCATGTGATATGCATGTATGTTGATGGCAGATGACACGGAGACAAAACAAGAACGATACGCCGACTCACCAACACAACGCTGCACGACATCCCGCCGATGTCTCTACCGCATGTACGTACATGTGTAGTATCTATGCCGTCGTCGTGACGGCGTCTAATCTCTGTAGTGTGGCACGCAGTGATGTGATATGGGCATGGAAACGCCGTGCCAAGAGATGTGCAGGAGTCATAATTCCGGTCCCCAGCTGCGGCAGACGGACACAGACAGAGAAAGTAGCGCCGGCGATACCAGCGATGGATGAAGTCAACCTCTGAGAAGAGAAGCCGCGCTTGCATCCATGCGAATCACCTAGACACGGGAACCAATTCATGCTAGAGGGCAGGAGGGGGCAAAAACATGGCCACAGGGGAGTGGGAATCACGCGCTTCAAGCACCTTCCAGGCACGCTCTAGGGGAGGGTAGGGGCAGGCAGGAAGTACTCCGTAGTAAATCAAGTGTTATTAGTTAGTTAGGTAGTAGGTAGGGCGTGGCTTCCTTCCCCCCGATTAACCGCCGGGATTCATCCTTCGGCCCCCAAATTTTAACTAGAGACAAGCAGCAGCGGGCGAAACCAACCGGACTAGAAACCCCGTGGAAGGACTTGTGCCATGCCATGCCATGAGCAACCGAAATGGTGCGGGCGAGCCGTGTCTGCTCTGTGCCTCCTGGGGCATGGAGCTAAGCGACGGAGCGTGTTGGGTTGGGAGAAGGGCGAGCCGCCACTAGGGCTTGGGATGAGGCCGTGCGCGTCAAGAACGGGCGAGTCGAGAGGAGGGAATGCGAGGTCGACGTGCCGGGTTCAGCACGCCGGGCGATAACTTTGACTTAGTTTAATTTACCTTGAGTTGGGTTTTGGGATGGCGCTTGCTTGACGTGTTGGTTTGGATGGCACGGAGGGTAAAGTGTGCATGGCACAGGAGGGAGGAGATCGAGTGAAAAGATATAAAGAGGAGGGCAATGGATGAGATTGGGATTCAATTCATGGGATCATTCAGCAGTCTCTCTTATCCCAGCTTTTCCATCTGTTCTTTCGCTGTCTCTGCTGCTGCTGCTGCTGCTGCCATTGATTCACTTCACTGTGCAGTCCCTCCTCATTAATCAATTGCACTGGACCAGGATCGTCGTCCGGTTTCCCCTCCGCCCATTCCCTGGCACATCTGAGACACCAGACCTCCCTCCTTTCCCCGTTTCTGCAGACCAGACGATCGGATCTACTCTGCGCTGCGCTGCCAAAAGTCGTCACTTGTTTAGGGCGTGACTCGACCACGGGACGCCCTGCGTATCCATACCGTACCGTATCCTGTGGTAACTTTACCGTACGGAAACCCGGCTGCCTGAGGTTCCTCCCTCCATAAATCATCCACCTCTCTCTTTCTCTCCCACTCTTTTTCTCTCTCTTCTCCCTCTCGTCTCTTACTCCTCTCTCCCTCCCTCAAGCCCTATTAAGAGACTTTGTTTCCCGTTCATCAGTCTCTCTCCTCGGGGCCCCTCCTCATCCACACCACCTGCCAACTGAACCGGCTGGACTCATTCCTTGATTGCAAGTCACGTATACTTCCGCTGCCTCATCTACTGCCACGCGCGAGAAGACCGTTCAAGATGCCTTCCATCAAGCCCGCTCTCCACCCTCTCAAGACCCCTCAGCCTATGGTCTTCCCCTCCGAGCTCCAAGGCAACCCGGACACCGGCTCCAGTCTCTCCGGCAATGGCAGCGCCCGGCCCGGAGACGAGGCTCTCTGCACGCCCATCACGCCGCCAGCCGCCTACACAGAGTTCCTGAAGGCCTTCACCCCCATCTTCTCGCCCGACAGCGCCAGAGGCGAGAACGGCCGTTTCCGCTTCGACAAGCCGTTCGAGCGCAGCAACCCACACCCCAATGCCGCCGTCACCCACTACATCAACGGCCTGAACTCCGGCGGCATCAACCACACTAGCAACCCGACCAGCGCGCCTACCTCTCAGCCCGGCAGCGCCGTCAGCACCTCCTTCAACCCTAACGACCCTCCCAGGTCTGCTACCGCGTCGTTGCCACCCCCGACACCCTACGGGGCTCCGTTCCCGCGGCGCGATCCCCGAAACCTGCGCTCGCTACGCATCCCCTCGGGGCCTATCCCCCCGCGCTACTCGCCCACCAGCATGACCATGAGCGCGGAATCCCCGCGAAGTGCCACGTTGATGCGCTCGCCGTATTCTCCCTCAGATTGGAAAGCGCGGTACTATGATGGGCCGAGGAGCGCGAATAGCCGCGTCAGCGTGCGCCATGTCATCACTCATACGGTGACGTATAAGCGGACCCAGCTGGAGGATGCGCCCAAAGGGAAACGCAGAAAGATCACGGAGAAGGCCACTGAGCGGGAAACTCACAAGTCGGAAGAGGAGGATGATGAGGGCGAGGATGCGGACTCGGATAATTCCGAGGATGCTTGAGCTTGAGCTTGAGCTTGCTTGAGCTTGTCTATCTATCTTTTAGGCTGGACCTGAGCGTGGGGGACCAGATCGCTTACGCGTGTCTCTTCTCTTTCTTACATTCGTTTTTCATCTTCCAAGGGTTTGTGTTCGGTTTGATTTGATCTGGGTCTGGAGGGATAGGATTGAGGATCAGAGATTGGTTGGTTGGTTGGTTAGGAGCCCGGCGTCCGGAGTTGAACTTGACCTCCGCTTGATTTTTGTGTTTCAAAACGTTTGCTGTTTATTTTGCGTGCATGGGTCTTGTCTTCTCAAATTCGGGTTTCGTTTTTGGTTATTATCGTTTTGTTTCGTCTCTCCATCTAGTCAAGTAATCTAGATATGTCTTACGTTCCGATGTACTGATGATCGAAATGAACTGATGACTGCTTTTACTTGATCCGACTTCTACTATTTTGGTCAATTCCCTATTGGAAGTATAGTATGCATATCGACCTGACTATGCACTGATCATTGTTATTCTGCCCTAGTGCTCTAGCACCAATTACCTTAGATAACTTAGGCAGTAATCCAACACCGCCTCTGTCAATCACTATGGAAGCTCTATTGACGCCGTGTGTGCTATCACAGCGAATGCCGAAGACCCAACCCCGCGTCGTCCTTGTTTACTGGCAGTCCACGTGTAAGCCAAGCCAAGGTTGATGTTGGTTGATGTGATTGAGGCTCGGGGGTAGGGCTTGAGGATGTGATAGGTAGATGTTTTCTTCTTTGTTTACGAACGGATAAGTACAAGAGGGAATACAAAATAGATAGGTAGATATGAAATGGACAGATATGCAGCTGCTCGGTTGTAGTGTTGATAGGCAAGACATGCCTCATGGGTCTAAGATGTAGTATGTGTCTCGGGGAGTGTTGTTTACGACCACCACCACTACTAGCACTCCACTCCTAGTACTGCAATCACTTATACTTCAGGACTAATCAAATGAACCTAAACTCAATGGAAAAAAAAGTAAGAAAAGCACATTAGTTGAGTGACTGAGTGTCGTCAACACGGAGTGACCCGTGGGCGTAAAATACCAATACATACGAATACCAACCGGTAAGATATCAGTACGTCGCGTTACCGACTCTATTTTTGATTCCATGTCCATCTCCCACCTCCCAGATGCTACCACAATACGATGATTTCTACCTATTTGCCCACTTACCTACCTTGATCTTATACTTCCCTTCTCTTTGTTAGACAATGCCGCAATAACACACACTACACACCACCAAACCAAACTGCCCCAGAACCCAAAGACCAGACAGTAAACAATCCAACCAACCCTACTAGCCCCATAGGCAGGGTACATAGTCTCGGACACGACCCAGAAAGGATACCTACCACACGCAAACCCATGAAAGTCCGACCAGACCTGAGGCTTTAAGTGCCGGCGAGCAGAGATGATTGGCGCAGAAGGCGCGCGGGGCCGGTTTCATGTTTTCCTGAAGAATGCAGGCTCCGGGGGGTCGGGGGTAGGGGTTTTGTCTGGGATTGGTGGGTGCCAGGATGGTTTGGGTGGGCGGCTAAGTACTCAATAGGTGAGGTGAGATGAGATGGGCGATTCGATGGGGGTAATTTGGTAAGATGGGTCTTTTCATGCTTTGATTGGGGTTGGTTTAGTCGTGATTTGTTTCCTGTCTGTGAGCAACAATGCTAGTATGTGATGGTATCAGTAAACACCTCTACCAGGTAGACTTTTCTTTTCTGTACTACCCCAAACCCCTCCGTATAATAAACAACATTCCAACCATCACGTCCAGCGCCCCAGTCCAGACCAATAGCCCCGACCCAGGCAAGCGTGGCAGCTGCAATTAAGCGCCGGCGCTAGTATCCTTCCGGCCACGATCCACCGGGGAGTGGAGATCCCCGTGGAGTCATGTCCGACTGATTGGACTCCGTGGAGCGCTGTGGAGCACTATGGGGCCCGGGGACGGATGACGTGTGGAAGGGGGAACTTGCTTTCAGCTTTTGATATCCAATCCTTTGCCCGGTGTCGTTCGGCGGGAGATAAAGTTGTGATAGAGAGGTGGGGTGTGTGATACTTACGGTGTACCTATGGCGTGGGACGGGGTAGAGGGGCGGTTAGGGATCTATTTTTGGATCTTGGAGTGGGATTGAGGTAGGTTGGAGGTGTTGGATTCGATGATATTCTACCTTATGAGTAGAAGGTGCACAGCACGCACTAGACATGTCTGGGAAATTAAACAATGAGACCAAGAACAGACTCGGGAAACGTATGTTCATCACACACAGCGAGTCAACTCTCCCACCCAACCAAGTCAACAAGTCCACCATAGACCAGAAACAACGCGCGCGTCAACTCCACCCACCTTAAAATACCCAGTAGGTCTCTACCCCTCATCACCTTTCCAAAAATAATCTCCCACCAAACCCCCTCCTCTCAAGCTTGGCGCCGGCGACAGCGGCGGGCGCTTCCACATCATCCAATCCCATGTCTTTCCCACCCTCTCCGAGTCCTTCTAATGCGCCACGCTTAATTAGCTCCGGGGCTAATGATGCAGCATGAGAGGGTAGGGGCTGTAGGCGGGAATGCTTGATGAGAGGCCACGGGATGGAAGCGCCAGGAGGGTCAGTGGTTGGGTGGCGGGGTGTGGCCCTGCAGCTAGGGCTTTGTGATCACATCGACTTCGAGGGGGGAGATCTAGACTGGATTTCGTAGTGGTGTCCGTACGACTAATGTATTTTTATTTTTGGAAGGGCGGCTACAGTAGGGAGGTTATTTTTGGTAACATGCAAATCGGCTGAGGGTTTGGTTTGGGTCGAGTTGGGGAGTGGTTTGGGATACACTGTAGTGTGTGAATATGTATATTGTAGGTTGCTCGTTGTTTGGATCAGTTGGGATGAAAGATTGGCCTTTCTATTTCACTTTTCATATTGTGTTTCCATTCTTGGTCTGGTCGTTCATGGGTTCTGCTAATTTTCAATCGCTGGCCGCCGGCTCTCAGTTCATACCATCAAGTTAAGTCAAGTAATTCAATACTGCAGGGATATCATGCTTCAAGCACAGAAAAATTATAACGCATCATATCGCTAACTTCATATACTCTCCTTCTTTCCGGGATATAGCAACTTGCACTCTCACATTCTCTGTTCCAACAACGTCTCCGGCGCAAAGGAGAACGGACTCCGAGGAAGATCCGGCGTGCGTGGACTCAACGCCTTGGCGAAGAGCTCCTCACCCGAGTCGGCGCCCGATGTGTGTGCAATAGTGCCCATGGGCGCGAATCCACTGCTGCCGTCCTGCGTGCTTTGTTGCGCTTGTAGGGATTCGGGCGGGTAATGGGCGACAGTCTTCACCGGGTCTAAGAGAGCAGGCACGGAGGGTGGCACAGGAGCCGGTGCAGCTGCCGGCGCCGGTTCAGGTCGCTGAATTCCATGAAAAGAGTTGAACGAAGACACCGCGATGTCGGGAGAGAGCGGCGACAGAAGGTGAGCCGATGAAGATTGGCACATTCCTACTTTCCCATGTCATTAGCTCAACGGCAACTCATCTCTCGTCAGCATGGAGATACATACCCTCAGAAGTCAACGGCGACGATGTAAACTCCTTTTTCCTCCCCCCAGCCCCAGTCTGCAACTTCAACCCCTTCAGCTTCTCACCCAACCGTCCTCCAGTAGTCGGCGAGACCGGCGTCGCTGGTCCCATCGGATACGACGCATCGTGGGAGTTCACCCGATTGCGCACGGCCTCCGCCGCCGCCTGTGTGCCCCCGACTCCAAAGTTCATCTCGATCCACTCCTTCTCCTGCAGCGCCATCTGTAGCGCAATCCCCTCGACATTGCTTTGACATTCCTCGTGGATCTCGCGCTCAAGCACCTGCAATCTCTTCTTCGCCCATATCGTGTGCAAGACACCCTTTTTGCCAGCGGAACGACCGTCCGCTCCCAGTTCTGGAGGGAAGATCGCCGGTAGCGGATTGAGCTGCAGCATTTCGGACGCTGCGGTGCCATAGTCATTAGGTTGCTGACCTGCCGGGGCAGGCTCGTAGGCTAGAGTCACGACAGGCGGGATGGTCACGTTGGGCGGAAGAAGGAAGTAGATACGACGGGTGTGATCATTGGTTTGCTCGGAGGCGGGCAGCACAGCCGTTTTGTTTTCCCAGGAGACGTGCCATAGTCCGCCTGTTCGTTTCTTGATTTGGTCGTTCTCTGTCGTTTCTGTCGTTGTATTCGTCGTATCTATCGTGGTCTCTGCTTCTGGCTTTGTTTCAACTACCGTTGAGGATGAGGTGGCGGTGACAGGAGATGAAGCGCAGCGGGCGAGGTCATCATCCTCCCATTCAATCATTAGAATTTTGGTTCCATCATTCGCTTTTCCTGCCTCAAACTCGAAACGGGCCAAAGCGGTGACAGAGAGACTCCCAGCCGGAGCGCGGGGTGTCTCCAGGGCAGCAAATTCACTATCCGGAGTGAACGGCGGAGGAAGAGACTGGGACATTTTTTTTATCTCCCAGGAGGGGCAGGGGAAGTGGTGAGTAAGACAGAGGGTCAGTGGTTGGTGAGAAAGTTAAAGGTGAGATAAAAATAGGCCAGATGAGTGATGCATGGATACGGGTCAGTCTCCCAACCTGAGAGGAGAGTGAAGGAAAGACATCGGCGGAAGTGAATGAAAGAAAGAAAGCGAGGGCTGGAGGGATCACGGGGTTTGGGACGGGCGGGGGAAGGTCTGGAATTGATGGAGGATCCCTTCACTTCTGGCATCTCTCATAACGCTCTCTGATTATCCTCTCGAGAGAGGGGAGCTTCTAATTTTAGCTCTCTTGGCGGCCTGATGATCTCATCGGACATACACCTATCATGACAATCATGGCCGACTCCAATGTGCCTTTCTTTCTCCGTCTTCCCCACAATGCCAGACAGAGAATCTACATTGAACTCGACCTCCTCCTGGACCCCGATCTGATTCCGAACTACAATGTGGCGGGAGAATGGTGCTTCAAGAAAAAAATATTCTACGACGAAGCTGAATCAGCCAATTTCGACGATCTCTTTCCAAATCAGCTGTTCTACGTCTCGCGAGCGGTGTCTGAGGATGCTCGGTCCTTTTTTTATGGTGAAAATGTCATTCTATACGACAATGACCCGAAAAACCCTAGTTTACCAATTCTGATGGGCCTCAGCCCTCAGGTGATGAGAGCATTTCGAACAATTTCTATCGGCTACTTCATTGAATATGAATCTTCATCTGGCGATACGGAATCCGGCGGTCTCAAGGAAAATAGTAGCTCGAGGACGGACAATGAGCCCTTTCGCGACTGGTTACGTGCCTGTGAATGGTTGGCAACGCACATCAAAAACGAAGATCAGTTAACACTTCAGTTGGACTGCGATGCGAGGACCAAAGAGACCGCCGCGGCCTTTTTAGAACCTCTTCACAAGTTACCCCGGTTGAAAGATTTGTCTATTCGTCTCGGCTCTGGCTGGAATCCGGATATTCAACAGATGATTATGACAATGATCCGGCAAAAGACTCGACTTCAGCTCTGTCGTCCACCTTCCCCAGCACCTTTCCGCTTCTTCGATCTACCTGTCGAGCTACAGCTTCACATCTTGGATCTCTCCGACCTTCTTACGTTTGACGACTTCTTTATGTACATCCACTGTCTCAACCGATTTGTGTCCATGTCCTGTCTAAAAACCATGGGCATGGACGCCAACAATGAGGACGAAATAGGACATTATTGCCCAGCAGAACGTACGGCATTTAGTACGGTTACCCCGTGCTGGCGAGCCCCACACATTCTGTTTCTCGTCAGCAAGACCATGCGCCAACTCATCATCCCCGTCTTCTACTCGCGGAACAAATTTCAAGTTCTTTATCGGCCAGACCTCTCGCCTCCCTGTGCAGAATGGAGCGTACAGAAGTCGACATTCCTGCGCAGCTTCCCACCGTACGCCTTTCAATTTCTCCGTTACATTCGTTGGGATTTCATTCAAAAAGACAATCTTATTACATTTTATCCAGCTGACCAGGCAAGACACGACTGGGTCAAATCGCTTGACTACATCGCCCAAGCTGTTCCTGCTGGCGTGTTGACTGTGGACCTGACTCTGACCAAATGTTTCGAACAAATGGCTAATATAGAATCCATCGATTTGAACTCCTTTGATTGGGTTGTACGGCCAATGACCTGCTTGCGGGGCCTGCTGAAAGATCTTTTCATCTGCATCAATCTTGATGAAGAATATCAAATGGATATTGTGCGTGCTAAGGAGCAGTCCCTAGAAAAGAGTGTGATGGGAGATGATTACGATAGCTTGGCACGTGGAAAGATATCTTTCGCTCAAGTTGAGGATTTGGAGGATTTAGAGGATTAGGTCCACCAGTCTCAACGGTGGGAATTGTTCGACACAAGGGAATCGATAACTCAAGGCTTAGGGATGTATCTTTTATTAGCGATTGTTGATTTGTATTTATTTAGCCGGCCGTCAATTCAACCAAAATTCAGACCCGACAATTAGCATTCCCCATCCACTCTCTAATTCCTCGTAAGAGTACCATCTCATAGCATATCTCCCCGACACCACAACCTCCCCCATGCTGCTCTGAAGGGAAGTTTTCAGGGCGTGAAACCAAACCACCAGCTCATCTTTCGAGAATTTACACCCGCTGGGTTTCGACAATTCTTTTTGCGTATCTTCCATGAGGACTGCAGGCAGAATGGTATTGGATTCAGTGACTCATTCAACGACCTTCTCCTCTGATATTTTCGTGTCTTCCTTCCACTGGGGTCTATACCTCTCTGGCTACAATACAGTTTCCACAATGTCTTGGTCTAACATTGCATAAGCCGATTAAACAATATCCTCAAAGAATCACTCCCATTCCCCCTACCAGTCTATACCAGCAAAGATATTCCAGTCCCCTTAATATCTAGCTAGGTCTTTAAACACTCATTCTATGGTAATTACGACACCGAAGAATCCAAAGCCCCGAGCATGTTTGTAGCCTTGTCTATTCCCAACAGGATTCAGTGTAAACAGTAGATACCCTAGAAATACCTCCATACATCCATCGATCAGCTAAAATCAAAAGTCCAATTTACTTCAGGCATCAATTGATATCGCCGTTTTGGTGTTTTCCCATCAAGAATATCTACAGAATATTAGAGATACATTGTGATTCTTTTCCCCTGCTCCAACTACGAATTTATTCTCCGTGCTGGATGCCTGTCTGTTAGCATTATCTATACAATACCTGACCGGTCATGTCGGGGGACATACTAGATAGACCAGCTGGTTCGAAGGGAAGGCAGTATAGGGAGCTATAGAGCAATAGTGAGCACACTACATGCGAGGATTCAATTGAAAAGAAACTGGGGAAGATTCGTTTCTTGAATAAGCGTCATAGTTAGCTGTTCAAATAAAAAATTCTTTTAATTCAATAGCTCAATTCTAGAGGGAAAAAAAAGGAGGGGGAAATAGAAGAGGAGAGAAGAACCACCCTAGCCAATACCTAATCCAAGATACTACGAGATATTCAAGACCCGGATAGAGTATACAAACACACACACAACCTCTTCATTGTTCTAAGCTCGATGGGTATAGTATAGGCAGTGAGAGAATGGAACAAAAGTCACAGCTACAAAGGAGCAGAGCAGAGAACCGACAACAGACAACATACAACAGAAACACAACGACCACATCCATAACCATAATCATAAACACAACATCAGCAGCAACATCAACAGTAACCAGTATTCTTTTCTTTTCTTTTTTCTCTCTGAACAAAACGCGAAACGCAAGAACGCACCCATCAATCATGAACATCACATCGCAACCATCAAACAACACCAACTTAAACAAAAACCCAAAAGAAAATGCAACATGTAAGTTTCATGGTGATATGACACTCCCAAAAGAGGCATATGACACAGAAAAAGCAAAACAAACACCAACGACGCCACTGACTCCATGATATCAAAGTGTGAGAGGCGAGATAGGGATGAGGTAAGGTGATGGAGGGGGGTATTGCTCTTCCTGCGCCCTTTTCGCAGTCATCGCTCCTCCGGGTCCGTCGTAATACATTGCATTGTGTTGCCGTGCCGTTCCGTAATGTGTCTCTTTCCTGGCTGGCAGGGAAGAGGAAAAGAAATGAAGATCATAAAAAATGAGTAGAATGGTAAATAATATGTAAAAAGAATGGAAGTTGAGATGGTGCTCCCAAGACAAATTCGATCGGTGCACTTCCTTGGGCCCTGGCTAGATTCAGGACACAGCCGAGGGTCGTAGGCGGAGATGGGACTTTTCTCTGAAAAGGCGAACATGGTAGAACGAGCTTTTTACGAAACCAGCTGTGTTAGTCTGGTTCTCGAATGACGAAGGGCCAGCTGCGTATTCGGATCTTGTCGGCTGGTTGCACCATGTTTCCCATACCCTTTGACTGAGCGTTGGAATTGGTCTTGGTCATCTCCAAGATGGAGTCGTTATCTGTTCAAGCCTGCTTGGACAGTCCCTTCAAGGGATCTAGAAATGCAAAAAGAAAAACGCGAAATCCATGAGACTCAATCGCATGGGTGTTCAATGCGGTAAACAAAAAAAAAAAAGCAAGCCAGAATCACAGGAGTAAATAGTCCCACCCATTCTGCTGCATGACGTCGCGCCAGTGCACGGGCGGCGGCCTAACTTCTTTCAGAACCCATTCGGTGTCGTTGGTGTCCTGTGGAGGAGAGTCGGAATCCTCGATCTTCACGGAGTTAGGCGATGAAGAGGACGAGCACTCCTCGACGCCGTACAACGGCTCGGCTGCATTGTCGCTGACCCGCCAGACTTCCTGCAGGAGTCGGTACATGCGGCCGAAGCTGCCGAGGTCGGCCGTGTCTCCCAGAGCAACGGCACGCTCGGCCAGGAGCGTGCGGAAGTGGCTGCCCGGCGAGGAGTACGCGCCGGTGATGAGCAGCGGCCAGACGAGCGAGCGGTCGAACCCCTCCGGTCCGGACGGGATGCATTCGATGGTGTTGGCGGCGGCCGCGACGAGGTTCAGGTTGCTGGGTTGACTGCGGTCGAATCCGGGGACCAGGCTGCAGAGGTAGATGCGGGCGGCGATGCGGTAGACAGCGGTCATGTTCTTGGTCAGAACGTCTGGTCGGAGGGTTCCCGATGGCGACCAGGGACTCTCGATCGTTTGATTCATGGGTTCGGTGTATTCCAATTGGCGGCCCAGGGCCGAGACGTGCGAGCAGACGGACATTTCATCGATGCGGCCTTCGTTCTTCAGTGCGTCCAGGCAGGCAATCTCGGAGATGAGGTACATTACTCGGTCGTCGCAGCCCATGAGTTCGCGCAGACCCGAGGACGCCCCGCTCAGGTGCTTGGATCGGTACATGTGGGCGAATTCGGGGGTTCGGCCGTGCATGGTCGAGCCCAGGATGTCGATCCACGAGGTGAGCGTCATGTTGAAGGGCGGGAGCATGTACGGGTTTCCGCTTGTCGGGCCGGCGGTGGGAAGACCCAGTCGGTGGACCAGGTTCGTGGCGGCCTGGAAATGGTCGAACCAGGGGATGTCGGGCAGGTAGTCGTCGGCCGGTCCAACAGAGCAGTGGAAGAAAATCATGGCGAGGGTCGCGTCCAGGATCTCCTCGTGCTTGGTGTCCTCCCCAAGCGCCAGACACAGCTGAGAAACCGCTTCAAATCGGTGGCGCATAATGTCATGGTCAATCTGCTCGCTGACGATCCCCTCAGTGGTCTTGAGGTGGATAGCCGAGACACTGAGACAACAGTGTAGGTAGCACTTGTTCGTCTCAAGGGCTTGAAGGATGGCTTGAGCCCGAATGTGTCCGCGTTGGTGAGCCTCCAGGACGGGGAAGATGATGCGCAGAACGTTGTGGATGAAGTGGTCCAGCAGCGGTCGATCGTGATCGCTGACGGGAATATTCGCTTGCAGCATGGCATACGTTTGCTCGATACTCTGCTCGCACAGGGCCGGGTCAATCCCCGGAAGTGCCGGAGCGACCTGAGGGAAGCATTCGTCCTGAAACCACTCCTCGCATTGGAACGGCGGCAAAGGCGCATTGAGCTGAGGCGGGGCGAAATTGCTGAACGTGGAGCTGACCGCGTTGTGTTGCAGAGGCATCTCATTGATGTATGTCTGTCGCTCGGTCTTGACGTCGATCTCGAACGGGGTCGGATACGAGGCGTAGAGCGACTGGTTCATGGCGGGCGTGGGCAGATGAGAGGCGAAGATATCATACTGGTCTGGGAAGACGGGCCGACCAAATTCGAACTCGGGCGACGTCGGGGATGTCACGGCCAGGCCGCGACTGTGACCTGAGGCGTCGACTGCGTGATCCACGGGCTGGTTAGGGGACGGCAAGAACGAGGGATGGTTTGGGAATCCGATCCTACCGGTCAGGGACCCATTGCGCTCATTCATCTTAGTCTGTTTGATCTTGTTCTTAATCCGCTCCTTCTGGATCTTTCTTTGCTCGGCGTTTCCCCACCAGATAGGGCGCTTGTATTCACATTTCACGTTGAGGTTGTTGCAGGCGCCGCAGGAGGGATGTTTCTCGTCACACTTCTTTCGGCGAAGACGGCATGTGAAGCAGCCTAAAGGCAGGAGAGGTTAAGGAGGGGGTTCCAATTGAATTCATGTCTATCTAAGACATGATTGAGACATACCAGAGCGAGATCTCTTGTGTAACTTGGCTGCAGTCTTCTCCGTAGCTGCGGGGGTACTTTCACTGGACGACGAAGGCTGCGAATCGGCGGAAGCCAACTTAGTGAGCGCATCGCTGCTGGGGGTCGACTTCTTCTTTGCGGAGGCCGGCATATTGATTGATAACGGGCTGATGTGATTCGGATAGGTAGTCTGATAGAATACAATTGACGGTCGAGGTGCTTGCGCAATGGAGACAATCAGAGGGAGGAGCGTATTAATTAAGGGCAAAGCTGAACCAGCAGCCTTTGCTATCTAATTAGGTATAAGAGAACGAAAGGCGCGGTTGCAACGGGACGACGAGGCGACGGGGAGAACTCGTGTAGGAGAGACAACGATCCAAGACACATGGAGGAACGGCGGGATGCACGAAGCTTTAAAACCCGAGTTCATGACAGACAAGCAGGCCATGTTTCTATTTTGGAATTCCAGATAGCCGAGAGCCAGCAGCGGGTGGGCAGCGAAGATTGGCGGGGAGATGGGATGAGAGGGCAGATCGCAGGAAGATCATGCACGGACAGGGGCCTGCTCTCGCTAGCTCGACTCTGGAGCCAAAGCCGGGCTAATTTTGGAGGATTTTGGCGCCCATGCACGGCATCCAGACGAGTGATTGGTGACCACCGTGCGACTGGGAGATTGATTGGAGTTGGATCTATCGCAAATAGTAACTGCCACCCTCCAGCATCCCTGAATTAAGTGGGATTCGTGCTACTGGCCGGCATGCAGGCTTTTTTGGCTTTTGGCTTTCGTCTTTGGCTTTCTTGTTGTTCTTTTTTAGGGCTTCCTGGATCATCCGCTCTTCACGTGCGCAACCGTGACTACCTTGATAGACCTCCAGGTTGACAGATTTTCTTGCCAGGGACTTCCCCTCCTGGGAGTATTGTGTAGATGAGTACACTGGGGTTTCGAAAACGCCTATAATCCCATCATGTTGTGTTCAGCACATTTCTGGCTGGGGGCTGGGGACTGGCACCAGTATCCCAGGGTTTGATAGCCAAACCCTGCAGCAACCAATGGATGCCAGCATGGTCCACGGTCAAATTAGTGCATGTTACTACATTTAATCTGAATTTGGAATGAGTAGCCAACCACCTCTGGCTTCCTGGCAGCCAACATGATCGTACGAGGAGGGAAGTCCCTCATGGGCTGTGGATGGCGGGGGTGGTACATGGCCGAAGTACCACCGGACCAGGGTCAAGCCGGCTGGTTTAGCCAGGGCCCAATCCAACGAATGCAGGACGAAGCAATTGCGGGGAGGGGCAGAGGAAGTGCGAGAATGCGAGAGAATGCGAGAGGGACAGTGAAAGAGGGAGAAAGAAAGCACGAGCGCCGAGTGGAGTCGAGCCAAGCTTCCCCTTGGACACATTGACTGGCGGTCATCAATTCTCGTGTCGTGCAGAGCGGAAAACCCGCAGCCAACCGTGCGGGTTGGGAAACTTTGGCCAAGATGTGATCGCACGGCGCTAACGAGGTGACAGGCTGACAGCACTTTAGAGCAACTTACAGTAGCTCCGCGAGAGTCTGAAAGAGCAGTTAATTTTGGCTCTTTTAGCCGCTGGCCCTCCGTCAATGAGCAGTCAATGAGCTCCCAATTCTCCCCGTTTCCCCTCATTCGGGTCATTACTATTATTGTCGCCTTCCATAATTATCTCTGCATTCGGCGCCAATTAATGGCTTTTCGTTCCTGCTCAACGTGCATGGACCGCTCCTCCTCGCCGTTCCCATGATCGCACTTCTGCAGCCTCGATCCTCGAGTCACATCGGGTCACTTTCGCATTTTCCCGCGGTAGACATCGTCGGATGAAAAGAGAAGAACAATCAATGATTCACGGGTAGATGCACGCTTTATTGTGTCCGAACCAGACCAGATAGAAACTCAAGAACAAAGCAGATTCGAGAATCAAAATTTTACCCTCCTGCAACACTATCCAGCAGTCTCAAGACGCTCCGCGCAGACCGCATTTCGTGGGCGCCGGCAGTCGATGTGACGACGCCGGAAAGTGATCACAACGCTTCTGCCGTTCCTCGTCACATTCCTGCAGCTGCATACTAGCATTTAGTGTCCATTGATCGGCCAATCGTCGGTCCCCAATGTATGGTCAATCTGCAGAAACCCTGAACGGCGCACAAGCCAAGTTGTGACTTGGATGTACCGGGTACATCCACCGCTGCCGCTAGGAACTGAGCGTTGCGCCTGTTCTTCGTTTCTTGCTTCCGTTCTTGGGAAGGTCAACCCATATCGTCATACTTGCTTGTCGAGTGGGGTCCGAGCTTGGGCATTTGCTCTTTTTTTGGCTCTTTTTTACCGTGTGGTGTGTGCAGTCTGGTTTTATTCTCCGCAGTGTTCCGAACTCTGTACTCCGTCAACCTTGCCAATTGCGATATTGCAATGCAGACTAAATTCTCCTCATGTACTTAGCCCGGATGTGCATGTACCAGGTACCTGCTTCAGTCTCTCACTGCATTGTCCTTGCTGTCGCTCGGTTGGGGAAGCACACGGCTCCGGACCTTGTCGAGCACGCTTCATGCTTAATTACCGCGATAAGGGGAATTATCGACTGGACAAATTAAGATCATTTTTATTAATAGCATCCTGATCTCATTGCGTCGTAAATTTCCGAAAACCAAAATTAAAGCTCAATGGCCTCAGTATATTGGGACAAGCGGGGTTGCTGCCCTGCGAGACTGCTTTGCCATACACCGTAGTTCATCACTTCTTAGCCTGTTGACCATGCAGCTAATTTCTACAATTTGTATTGTACATTTGTCTGACTTTGGTACCTACACTAGACTAGTTAACTAGGCTGCCAATGTTTGTCATATGTTGCAATAATGTTCAATCAATCCGGTCAGTGTAACAGACCGCTCAGGTCTTTTCTAGCCGACGATGAAATGTCTGTATCCCGTCCTGCCGTGTGCGACTTCTCTGCATGGAAAAGTGTTGGGAGCAATCAGCACACCGTGACACCTTGTGAACATGACATGGCATCCTATCCCACCTCCTAGCCTCCTGGTTGTAGTGGTGTCAAGACCTGGAAAGTCTGCCTCGCTCTAATGCACGCATGCATGGCACCCTGGAAGTACTGGGCTTCCACGCTCAAAACCTTGACAGGAACCAACATCTCACGACATCATCACCCACGGCGCCTAGTTAGCAGTACTCGGCTACTTTAGATAGTACCTAGAATGAAGAACATCACGTTCAGCGTGTGGATAATCCCCCCATCCCATTGGCCATCACGTCCGGCGTCTCGTAGATCCTAACGGCGGCTACATCGAGCCTTAAGCCCCAGTTAAGTTCGATACTAAGTTAGAATTTTGACTCCAGATCTGTTCCCAAAATAACCGTCTCGAAGGAAATTTCCTGCCCAATCACCTAGGCCGAAAGTTTCTAGAATAGCCTATTTCACGACTTGGATGGCGTCGATCGATCACTGGTTCAGAGTTAATCGCCGGTCTTCATTGTCCTGGCAGGCGTGACGCTGTTGGTTCCATCGCGTGCATACGTCTGTTTCTTGTGGAGCCTCAGTCTCGAGCCATGAGGACTGCCAGTCGGGTGGGTAAGTAGGTACCAATAATGGCTATTATTATCAAGGATAACTTGCCTGTTGAGGATAGATGAGATGGGCGCTTAGAGTGGACCCTGGAAAGGCGTTCTTTCTACAGTGCCTGGCGTGGGCTGTACGCGTGTTGCTGTACATGTGAATGGATGTCTGTCATCACTTTCTTACTGACTTACTGTACATGCGGCAGATTCGCAGGTCTCCCTTGCGTCTGGATCCTTGATCTCCAATCAATCAAGCAGGCATTTGGAGTTGCGTGCGGCTGAGTGGTGACGTTGCTCATACTACACTACATACTTACTGTTTCATTGGGGTAGTCAAGGAACTCTAGGGTTGAGTACTGTCTGGCTCTTTTGTTCCACATGAGAAAGTAAGGGCTGGCAGTTTCTTGTCATGTGTGGTAGAAGCCAGCGGTTGTCTCTGTGCCACGGGCTTCATTAAGAGCAGATAGGAGGCTTCCGTGTATAACACTCTCTTGTATAAATCGAACCAACGTCATTCGGATGTGCCTCAACTTTTGGATGTCTGTCTTTGAATATAAGCATAAGGGTTTTCTTCTGCTGCCTTCCTTCCACTGGCGCTATGAATAGTATGTGAGCTCCCGGCCGATATATGATATCTATACTAATTAGTCTACAGATCTGGACTATCAAGACATTGCAAGACCATGGTGCTATATAGAATTATCATGAGTCTTCAGGGTTTGTCTCGCTTTAGTGACAAAAATGGCAATTGTATTTCTTTTGCTGAGTCCGTTAGTATGTCTGGACTAAATATATCTCCGTATGAAATAACAGAGAGCTACAAGACTACAAGATCTGGGGTCATCGTAGCAAAGATGATGACATAGAGAGGCATAAATATTCCTCAGAAGAGGCTTGAGTGTTCAAAATTTAGGCAAGTCGTAATCTACATCGCAATGGGACGGTATAGATGCCCTGGTGGTTGCTGCCTGAGGCCTCAATAGTCACATGTGGAGGCGCTCCACCGGCGAATCAATGGCAGTGGATTCATGATGATGTTTCATTTCCTCCGTCATACGAAATCACCGCCTCATTTCGTGCTGGCATTTCGCGTGCCTGGCATGCCAAAGTCGTCGTCATGTTTCGCTCACGGATAACTCAGATCCTCTTCCGTGGCTCTGCGCCAGCTACAGCCCCGAACCTCTCGCTCCGAGCCCAGCGCATCCCGTCCGTCCCATCTCCGCAGATAACAACGCGATCATCCCGCTTCTCCAATTCCTCGCGATCGTGGACAACACAATCTCGATCGCCTTTCTGGACCTTCCGCTCCCAGCCCTTCTCTACTTCCGGTCGTCAGTCTTTCAACAATGGTGGACAAAACTACAAGCGGTTCAACAACGCGCCGCTGTTCATCCAGTTGCTGAGTCGCGCCCAGCCGCATCACTATGTGATAGTTGGACTTGCCGGAGGCCTTTTCTATGTCTACAACATAGAGACAGTGGAGGTGTGTCGCCATATACACCCAGTGGCTGCAGCTACGATGCAGTGTGCTACGTGATACTAACAACCTACCAGATGAGCGGTCGCAAACGGTTCAACTGCATCTCCTCCAGTCGGGAGCTCAAAGTGGGCAAGAAAGAATACCAGGAACTCATGTCGGAACTGCAGGGTCGCATCCTCCCCGAAAACCATCCTCTGAGTATCAACGTGACCCGTGTCCTTGAACGATTGATTCCCGCCGCGCCGATTGAAAATGCAGAATGGAAGGTTCATGTCATCAACGACCCTAACCAGGCGAACGCTTTCGTGCTTCCTGGGTAAGACCACACCGGACATCGCTAGGTTATATCGCAGGATATAAGGCTAATTATGTTACAGTGGCAAGGTGTTCGTCTTCACGGGTATGCTGCCCATCTGTCAGGATGAAGATGGACTGGCAGCCGTGCTGGGGCACGAGATTGCTCATGTTGTCGCGCATCATCCGGCTGAGCGCATGAGCAACAACGGCATCTCGCTCGTGCTGGCATTCGTCACCTCGTTCTTGTTCGATATTTCCGGCCAGCTTACCTCGTTGCTCATGAGTCTTGCGTATGGCTTGCCGAACTCTCGCTCCCAGGAAGTAAGCAGGCTTTCCCTCGGCAGATGGCAATATTTAACTAAAGCTAACTTGTATTGTCCAGTCCGAGGCAGATGAAATAGGTCTAAGTATATAACCACTTATTCGATTCCTTGACCACAAATAGCTTATGGTGTTATAGTGATCATGTCGAAGGCTTGTTTCAACCCCGAAGCCGCCGTTAGACTGTAAGTTGAGGATACTTCCAAAGTGCTCTTATGGATAAACTGACTTTTTGTTCTAGTTGGGACCGCATGGAGCAAAAGGCAGAAGGCCAACCTCCCCAGTTCCTGTCCACTCATCCGTCGGTAAGCTTTGTTCTAGGAGATATTGCTTTCTTCGATGCTGTACTAACTTAGCGCTAGAATTCCGACCGCATGGAAAATCTTCGCATGAGGTAAGTTGGTCGACATGACTTCTATGAAAGAGCCTGCTGACCGAGACCTAGTATGTACAAAGCCGAATCCATTTATGAAGATAGCGGATGCCATGTGCTTGGAACCTTCGGTGAGTTGTTTGATCTTTGTGAGTGAACTATAAAGGCTAACGAGGATGTAGTGCCCGAGTTCGAACGCGCTTCCAGTAACTATCGGTGGTAGACTAGACGGGGTAGAGTGCCAATGAAGACGGCCTTCCTCTTGTATTATAGAATCTAGATAATGCACATCTGACGGTAACTGTGCTGCTGTGACTTCACCATGTAGTATGCAATTAACTATTCATGGATAGATTGTTTGTTATGATGGCGATGAGTCAGCCCACACTAACCCGATGTGGAAGTATCCTAGCCCCTCCGCGTGCAAACCGAGTAAACGAAGCAAACGGAGCAAACAGCGACCGCCTCGAAGCTCTGTCAAAAATTCCCAGAGCAGCTTCAGGGAACAGCGTCGTCGTTGATCTTCCGCCCTTTGATCTTCCTCGCCTCCCCTTCCGTTCCACGTGAGAGGAAGTTCTTCGTCATCATGTCATTGTCTATGCCCGGTCCCTCCCAGGCGGGTCTTTTCAAGCCTGGTTATCAGACGTAAGCGAATTGCCCACTTGTGGAATGTTTCCCGCAGATGTCCCCGGCCGTGAGCCATTGAGGGGGAGGGGGAGAACAGACGCATACGCAGATGCTGACCCAAGCACATCAACCCCATTCCTAATTATCATGAAATCGCTAACACACAACACTTTCCAGCCATGACGCCGAAGATGGTGCCGTTATTCGCAACATCGAAGCCTGTCAGGCTATCTCGCAGACCGTCCAAACGTCGCTTGGTCCCTACGGCCGCAACAAGATCGTCATCAACCACCTGCAGAAGATGATCCTCACTTCGGACGCCGCTACGATCCTGCGTGAGCTGGAAGTCGTGCACCCCGCTGCTAAATTGCTGGTCATGGCCAGTCAGCAGCAAGATGCGGAGATGGGTGACGGCACTAACCTGGTCATCATCCTGGCCGGAGAGTTGTTGAAGAAGGCTGAAGAATTGCTGCGCATGGGTCTGAAGACGAGTGATATCGTGCAGGGCTACGAGAAGGCACAGAACTTCGCCCTTAAAGTATTAGAAGGTGGGTTTTCGAATTATCTTTGTTTCGCTCAGGGGCTATCCTGACGGTTTTATCCGGATGCTTGTCTCGATATCTTCCCCTCTATCGGTCTGATATGCTAATGGTTGTTGCGACGACAGATCTCGAGGTCGACCGTTTGCAGGAACTTCGCTCCCCGGAGGAACTCAGCAAGGCTCTCCGAACGGTGGTCGCCAGCAAGCAGTCCGGAACGGAGGATACCCTGGCCGCGTTGGTTGCCGAGGCCGTTCTCGCCGTCCTTCCCAAGAACCCCGTCAACTTCAACGTCGATAACGTCCGTGTGGTTAAGATCATGGGTGGCAGTCTGGAGCAGTCCCGCGTGGTGAAGGGTATGGTTCTCGGCAGAGAGCCCGATGGCACCATCAAGAAGGCCCGCAAGGCCAAGGTCGGTGTGTTCAGCTGCCCTATCGACATCTCCCAGACCGAGACCAAGGGTACCGTGCTCCTGAAGAACGCCCAGGAGATGCTCGACTTCACGAAGGGTGAGGAGGAGCGTCTGGAGGCCGCCATCAAGGAACTGTACGACTCGGGAATCCGCGTCGTCGTCTGCGGTTCTACCGTCGGCGATCTCGCCATGCATTACCTCAACCGTTTCAACATCCTCGTGATTAAGATCCTCTCCAAGTTCGAGCTCCGCCGACTCTGCCGTGTCGTCGGTGCCACCCCTCTTGCTCGTCTGGGTGCTCCCATGCCCGACGAGATGGGCAACGTTGACGTGGTCGAGACGACCGAGATCGGTGGTGACCGTGTCACCGTCTTCCGCCAGGAGGACCCCGATACCGTGACCCGGACCGCCACCATTGTCTTGCGTGGTGCTACCCAGAACCACCTGGAGGACGTTGAGCGTGCCATCGACGACGGTGTCAACGCCGTCAAGGCCATCACCAAGGATCCCCGTCTTGTGCCCGGTGCGGGCGCTTCCGAGATCCAGCTTGTGGAGAGGATCTCTGCCTTCGCCGACCGAACCCCCGGTCTGCCCCAGCACGCCATCCGCAAGTATGCCGAGGCCTTCGAAGTGATTCCTCGCACCCTCGCCGAATCCGCCGGACTGGACGCCACCGAGGTCCTGTCTCGTCTCTACACAGCACACCAGCAGCGTTCGAACAACGCCTCGGAAGGATCCTCGGGCGAGGGAAGCTCCGAGGAGGAGGAACCATACTGGACCACCGGTGTTGACCTGGAACAGGGCTCTACGGCCGGCACCCTGGACGCGGTCGAGGAAGGCATCCTCGATCTGATGGCCTCCAAGAGCTGGGCTATCCGTCTGGCCAGCGAGTCGGCACGGACGGTGCTCAGCGTGGACCAGATCATCGTGGCCCGACAGGCAGGTGGTCCCAAGCCGCCAGGCCCCAACCCTAACTGGGACGAGGATTAAATGATATGACCTACGTTAGTTAGAAATGTTCTATGTCCAATTGGGTATTTAAAATCAGAATGGGATAGAGACATGAGATTATGAAAAAATGTCCTGTTGACTCGAGGGATTTGAAATGCACATTTTGTGAGCGTAGCAGTAGTAGTGCTCGTTAATAATCTTGGGAATTGTCTATAATGTGAGGCTGGATATTGCAACTATCTAGGAATGACCATGATCATAGAGGTAGAACGTAGAGTATACGAGTGTAAATTACGTAGATTTCACAGTGGGTGTTGGCGTAACGGTACCGCCACGAGACATACACGTCACGTGACCCGCCCAGATTTTCCGGGCCGAAAGTTCGACTTTCTTTTTCAGTCCAGCTCGAAGTTGCCCGTCCAAGTCCAGCAGCGCATTCTCTCCCCGTCCACCTCATCGCCTTCGTTTCTCCCTGCCGCTCGGGTTCGCCTCAGTCCTCTCCATCATGTCGCTCGCCTCGCAAACCGCAGCTCGCTGCTGCCGACAGATTGTCCGCCCCTCCGCCTCGCTGCGTCTCTCGTCCTCCACATACCTGTCTCAGCGAACAATTACCCGGAGATGGCAGTCCACCGAGGCGGAGGCCGCTGCTCCTGCCAACCCCAAGATCAACCAGATTGTCGACCAGATCAGTCAATTGACTCTGTTGGAGACGGCAGACCTCGTGTCTACCTTGAAGGTCCGTTAATCTTCTCTCGAACCCCGGGATGGTCGGATCGCGGGCAAACAAACAAGCACGCAAGCAAGCTTTCACAAGCTGCAAATTCGCTTTAGCTTTGACCTAACCTGCAAGCTCAATTTATCTGAGGTACTGACTTGTCTTCTTTTCTCGATATTAGACCCGCCTTAACATCCCCGATCTCCCCGTTGGCGGTTTCGCCATGGCCCCCGGCGCCGGACAGGCCGCTGCCCCCGTCGAAGAAGAGGAGGCTGCCCCCGCCGCTCAGGAAAAGACCCTCTTCAACCTGAAGCTCGAGTCCATTGACGCGGCCTCCAAGGCCAAGGTCATCAAGGAGATCAAGACCATGCTCGGCCTGTCTCTCGTCGACAGCAAGAAGTTCGTTGAGTCTGTGCCCAAGGTCCTGAAGGAGTCTGTGCCCAAGGAGGACGCCGAGAAGATCGTCGAGACTCTCAAGGCTGTCGGTGCTAAGGCCGTCATGGAGTAAACAAGGAAGGGACACGGAAACCAAAAAAAGAAACAACCCATAAAAACAGACTGAAATATCGACAGGGATCCAAGTCCTGTTTCTTGTCTGGGTGAAGATGGAGCGGTTTACTTAAAGGGATCGGGATGATTTGAACGTGATTGGGCTCTCTGTGCATCATCATATCATCGAGCTGGAGTTTTGTCTCGCCACTATTTTTTTTACATTTACCTGTGTTTTTATTTTCCCCTTTTTTATGTTTTATTTTACCCTGTTGTTTTAGGTTTTCCTTTCTCCGTGATATATCTCTTGTGCATGATATAAACGGACAGCGGGAATAGGGGCGGCCAATGTACATTATCATCTCATTGATTGGACAGAGTTTGGATCTAGGGGCATGATAGACCTGTTTCGACTTGTAATCGTATGTGTTGATGTGTGGGGAGCTTGTAGAGGGGAAGGCATTGGGGAAGAGTAAGCTGCGGTCTGCCATGGGTTGAATTCCTCCAAGTCTGTAGCTCAATTGACATTATCCGTTCATTAGTCTGACCCCATATCACCCAGAGAACCACAAGTTAACCAAGACGTCGAGCGACGCTGAGGTTATACCGGTGTCACGGGATCTCCGCATGGTTTGATTCTTCCGCCACAAAACTTCCAATCTCCATCTCTCCCCAGCTGCACAAAACAACCCACCATGTCCCTCCCTCGGGCCTCCAATCCTTTCCGAAACCCAAAAAAAACCCGCCACTACTCTCGTCTAGCCTGCAAGATATCCGGATCCCCGATCCCCCGCGGATCCAATCGCATCACCACCAGTACCACATCCCCAACACCCGGCCCAGCATCTACATCACGAACCAACACCAAACGACCCTTTCACACAACAAACCTCCTCCTCCGCGGCGCCCCTCGCTCCCCCAGCGTCCGACGAGCCGAAGATGTCCGCTCGCGCCTCAACCCCGCGTTCTCCGGCGACGGACTCTATCGCGGCGGCGTAAAGAACGCACTGGACGACATCCCGGCTCGTCTTGAACACCTGGAGAAAATCGGGCCGAAAATCTGGCGACTTAGTATCGTGGAGGGGTTTGTGGATGAGAAAGTAGATCGGAAGACGTTCATGCGGATCGCGAAACTTTTGCTTATGAATTCGGCGCATATGGCTCCTTCCGCGGATGCGATTCGGCTGATTGATCCTAGTGAGTGGTTTCCTTGAGATCGAGAAGGCTGAATCTATATCCCGATCCCTTCTCCGAGACACAATTCGAGAGTAGCTGTTGTCTTTCCGGAGGAAGAAAGAGGACATGACATGATATGACAAGCTCATGAACAATCACATGAACAATACCCAGCTAACACACCCATTTCCACTCAGACCCCAACCTCGTCTTCGAAATCGGCAACGTTGTTGGCGGAAACTCCCCCTCCCTCATGCAATGGATAATCTCCTCCACCGCCCAAGCCGGCGCCATAATCCCAACCCTCATGTCTGCAGGCCGCGCCCTCGCCCTCGCCGACGGCTCCAGCCATACAAACCTTTCCAGCACCCAGCGCAGCACGATCTTCCAATCAATCGAACTCCTAGCCACCTCCTACCACGACCCGCGCGCCATGATCCTGCAGGCCAAGTACCTGGGCATGCAAAAGCGGTACGACGAGGCCGAAGACTTCCTTAAATCCGTCATGGAGATTATCTATCCCTCGAAGACCCAGCAACCGCCGTTCCGGAGCATGGCCGTGCCGTTTGTGGATACTCCCTGGGCTGCGTATACCTGGCTCAAGCGACGCATGGGGGCCCCGGAATCCGAGATCCAGGAACTGCTTAAAACCGCAGCTGTCGAGTATCAGGACCCCGAGGCACTAGTGACCTACGCAAGACAGATGATGCACGAACAGAACGATCTGCCTCTGTACGAAGAATACATGGCCAAAGCCGCGACATCGGGACACGCCACCGCGTGTCGCAAACTCGCCAACTTCTACTACCTCACCTCGCGGGGCCGGTTCCCGCGGCGCGGTACCAAGTCTACGGATCCCGAGGGCGACTGGGCGCGCGAGACCCAGGCGGCGCGGACGCGTGGATCCCTGGCGACGTTCCTGGGGGGGTTGTTTGGCCCGCAGCCGTATCATGAGTATCGGGGGTTAGCGATCGAGTGGTACGAGTTGGCGTTTCGGCATGGGTGTCCAAAGGCGGCGTTGGCGTTGGCGATTCTGATGAGGGAGAATGGACATGATCGGGAGCAGGTGGAACAGGTGTTTCGGTTTGCGGTGGGCTCGAAGGAGATGGGGGGTTTGGTTCGGGGGGTCAGGGTGAATTGGGAGAGGGAGGATTATGTGCCCGTCGTGCCGGAGGAGGTGTTGGATGTTTAGATTAGGTAGGGCGGTTGATGGAATGGATGTATGATATGTATGTTGTCTGTGTATGTTAGTTATGATACCCGTTGATAAGGATATAGAAGGTTGGCTGATGCTGTAAGAATTGAATATATGAACACTAGGCATATTGATCTATACTACCTCATCCAAGTACCTGACAGATCGTAGACAAATGTCTATAACCAACTAGCTATACTCCACAATATAGTATTCAAAGAATCTAACATACAACGCAAAAGAAAAGAAAAGAATTTAAAAGTGTAGATTTGCATGGTCCTGATCCTCTAAACACCCCTATATCCAAAACAATTCATCCATAATATCATAAGCATATATCCCTTCTTTCCTTCACCCCGATCCCCTTCCATCCTGGAACCAAGGAAGAAAGATCAAGCAAATATCCCAACAAAAGAAACATTCCAAAGTTCCAATCTACAACTTGAATCGACTCTTCTAACACGCTCCTGCTGATTCTCTTTCTTATCCTCTGCCTTTCCCTCCCAGGGGAAGAGAGTGTGTGAGAGAGTGAGAGAGAGAAAGGTCATCTCGGTCTCCTCCCCTTCCCCTCTCCTCTTCCGCGTGTTTTAAGCTCCACAAACCCCATCTCCTTCAAACCCCTCGTGAGCGCCGATGAGTCCCGCATGCCCGGGAAGTCTTTCGCCGGGAAAACGCGAAATGGATCGGACCAGGTCTCCGCGAGGATGGGCATAGACTTGCCAGTATCCTCGACCGAGCCCCAGTTCATAAGCCGGAACTGGAGCCGATACAGACCGGCCGTGCGCACGGAAAGGTCGGAGAAGATGTAGAAGGTGGCGGGGATCTCGGTCTTGCTGGGTGGGTTGGGGTTAGGGAGGATGAAGGGGGCTGAGGTTGTAGTGCTGGTGGAGGTCTTGTAGAGGGACTCGGTGATGCTGCTGGATGGGTGGACAGGTGCGGTGTCTGGGTCTGGGTCTGCGTCGACGTAGAAAGGCGAGACGAACGCTTTGCCGGAGAGAAGGGGTGTGGTTTGGCCGCCGCCGCCTCCGCCTGCTGGATCTCGCTGGGCGGGATGGTCGTCGCGAAGCCCCGGCTCGGCGTCGAGGTCAGATGAAGTAGATACAGGAACCAGGAGGCAGCCTACTGCGAAGCGCGGGTCCTGCAAGATGTCCGAGTCAGTGTCAGATTTGGAGTCAAAATCTGTGAGAAGCATCTGGATGATGGGCGGCGGGTCGACGGGTCGCCGGTCTCTGTCGCCGGCGCCGCATGCTCGGGCTGCGAGAGGCTGTTGCCGGATGTGGAGGCGATAACGCGAGGATGAGGATGGCCGTCTGGGCGGAGGAAGAGGAGGGGGAGGGGGAGATGGCGAATGGTTGAGGAGTTTCTCAAAGCCTATAGGCATGCTGGACGAGCTATGTCGTTTTGGGGGCTGTTGCGGAGGCGGCGGTGGTAGTTGCTGCTGCTTTGCAAAAGGCACATTCTGAGGGTAGATGGCCATGCTATTGTCTGAATGAGCTGGACTCGGAAAGGTAGTGGAACTGCTGCTATACCTGGCCACGCTGCATTAGTTCGTAAGGTGATAAAGATCTCGGGTGACCCCTAGGCCGCTTTCAAGCAAAGATAGAAGCCAAATGGGGTTATAACGATAATGATAAGGCAAGCCGAAGCAAGTTCACGAGATTGATCAAAATAGATCGTTGATAATAATCAAGGGAAAAAGGGTGTTTACTGAGAGTCCATATCATTTACTCGCCAACTAGACCCTATAGAGCCACGATGGTCATAAGAGCCATGCGCCCCGCTATAGTCCACACCTTTGAACAGATTCGAGCGCTGTACGCAGTGCTGAGCCATGGAGCTCGTGCTGCCCGAAGAAAATGTGACCCCGGGCTCTGCTGCGCTTTCTCGGGGTCGCTCGTAAACAGTGGTTCGAGGCTGTGACGGGCTGATCATCGTGGGATCAAAACCCCGGCTCTCAGGAAGGAGGAACTGTGGCGGCTGCTGTCCTGTCGAGTAGAGGTTATTAGATGGCGAGGACAGCCTCTGATTCTCGTCATCAGAGACACGCCGCCTTCCGTCAAGATACCAGCCATTGGGGTGTACAGTGTGCCATTGCAACGGGGTCCTCGACATCTATGCAAATTTGGCGTGATGTGCTTGAAATATTTTTTCCAATGTGATTCTGTGTTGGGTCGGATGCGTCCAGATGATAAGTGTCTGCGTGTTGCAAGGCAGGCATCCGTAGCGGAAACCAGGAAGCAAGCCAGCAGCAGTGTATCGTGAATGGATATCGCAAGTCAAATAATATCGTCTGTGTGGAAATAACCGACTAAAAGATAGTACCAGGAGAGGACAAGGCCAGCCATATGCTACACATAGATGCCGCAGAATTGGTAATTCGGACTGAAAAACAAGTCGCACGGCAGGTTGAACTGGCCGGATTCTTCTTCTATAGCCTGGGATGAAGATAAAGACAACAATGAGGGAATATTTAAAAAAAAAAAAAATTTTAAATAAATGAAAATTAATCCAAATGGTTGGAAAAGCTTTCGATCTACAAGAGTGACATGCATACGTTAGCTTATAACGATTCTCGGGGCATGATATGACCGCACAACGCAATTGTACAGAACGGAAGAAAAACTACTCCACGAGACAGACTCGATGGAAACATAAGGAAAATACTTAAAATAAAATCAAGAAATAAACAGGCAAACAGGCAACAGAGTCCACATTAGAAAATTTTCGAGAACGGAGCCAAGAGGAAAACAGAAACGATTGTGGCCACCAAACAGACCAGGATTGGTACAACTCACACGAGTGATCGGAAAAACAATAGCAATTATTATTCAGCGGGAATTGTCTAAGAAGAGTGTGAGTGTGTGTGACAGACACCAAATGTCTGATGACCACATCGCCCAAGAAGTCCAGGAAAGGGGGAGCAGAGGGACGGTCGTACCAATGAGGATATTTTTATTGGTGCTTTTACCAGCTGTGGCCGTGCAAAAAATGAAGCCGATCTGGGGAAATGGACTGGGCGATGCTTTTGTGAGACAGTGTGCGTGCCCAGTGTGTATGTGTGTGTGGCATTGGCGTTGGAAAAAGAAAAGAAAACGAAAGGGGGGGGGGGGGGGGGGAAGAGGATAAGAAAAATAGAACAATTCGACCTGCAGCAAGGCCTGCGTCCCTGACAGACTGCTATCAACTATATTCCCGAGGGCCCAAGTTGATAGTATTTGCCTACTTTGTGCCTTTACATGGTTAGCATATGGTGTCAAAAACAATATAATCATCAAACTGGACCTAATTCAGAATCTAGACTGGCGTGAAGGTTGGCAAACAGCGCTGAAGTGTGACTTGGATTAATTTGATGTTTTTTTTTTGGGGCTGTCTCTTTTCTTTGCCCGAGCAGCCCTGGACTCAGGGAAAACGTTTGACCCAAGATCAAATTTCCTGCTCAGCCTAAGCCAGAACAACTGTCACCGTTAGCTTGGTGGGTTTCATTCCAACCTGCACTGGTGAAGCGGAGACTGGAAGTTTGGAGCAGATGGATGGACGGTACTTTCTTAGTTGCTTGGCTTCGGCCCACTCGGTCGTATAAGTAGCGTGGACTCCCCTCCTGGTCATTCACGGACTAACATTTGATGATCGGCCTGAAAACTACAAAAGCAGCTCTTTTCGGACAAGAAAAGCACGGAGTATGCGTAGCTCTCAGCTTGGTAGACGATATGCTGGTGGACTCCATATGCCACAAGATTGGTGCAGGAATTGTTAGAGAAAGTAGAGTGAAGGTCAGGCTGTTGTAACTTTACTCTAACTCGGCGCGTGAATACCGGATGAGTCCATAGTGAGTACTGACTGAGATACTCTCCCCCCGATCAGAAATATGCAGTCGATCAACAAGGCGGAGTGCCGAGTAATGATCTGCCCCAATGGGAGGAATCATGCAGCTGCGAGATTCCTGACTTTAGTCAATAAGGAAAAAGAAAGGAATAACTAGAATCGGAAAGAACATAAAGATAAGGGATGTGCACGGTCCCTATACTTAGTTCCACAGATTATTCTCACCATCATATGATGGCTCCGAGACGGAGAAGAGACGGCCCAACCCGGCCTTCTTTATGTATGTAAGTGCAGTTCAATAGCATATCCTGCCTTGCCGTATGCAAGAACTTCGATTTGGGTGTTTAGGATGAACCGTAAGCAATGGGTCATGTATGACTTCTAGTAATACACGCGTTCGGTGTATTTCCAGGGATAGGTAGAGAAGCCAGTCTTGAACATTTCACATTTGCAAAGCTCAGGACAAGGGTTCGTCAGTACCACTTATCAAATTGAATAATCTACCGTTGCCTTGTGACAAAATTCAAGCCCACAACTTGCAGAAGTGTAGCCGAGTAACAATACAATTCCCAAGCAGCCATGTTGTTGACCGCAATACAGCCGGAGTTGCTTGTGCAGTCTTTGCGACAAGACTACCCGTTTTCTAGTGCGCCCGGAAAGGCGAGCTTGCAGGCCACTCATGACCGTTAATGCGCATACCTTACAGGGTGAAGGAATCGAACCCTGGACTTAAGAGGAAGTATAGAGCACGGCGGGCTGGAAGCTTGGTGAACCCGGGCTCGGGTATGTATAAAACCTGGATAGGGATCCGATAATACCTAATGAAGAATATTTGCACGGACTATTGAGACTGAGCTACTGAAGTCAGAGCAACGTGAGCCATCCCTCGAGCCAAGAATGAGGACTGGTTGTCGAAGTTTCCGGCAAGAGGAAAAGAAGTCCCCGCAACGAATGGTTCTCTGTTTGGTAAAAGCGATGATCCTACGGCTCCTTGGATAGCTAAAGCACTGCTGAACGGAAGCCTTGCCGAAAGCCATTTCTTGTCCAGCCTGTGGCCAAAGGGGTGTGGACCTCGCGGCTCAAGATCCCATGGCGCTGGTCACCGCCACGGATCATGATCATGGTTGTCTTGTCATCTCAGCTGAATTGTTCTGTTGATCAACCTCGTTTAGGTAGGTACAGGGTTTTCCAGAATTTTTCTTAGCATTGAGGAAACTGATAATGCGTTAAGCCAAATAATGGTTATGTGTATTACCTCGCGTCCTAGTTATTGTTTTTCTTTTTCTTTTCTTCTCCCCATTTTTATTTCGCTCATAATACTTTCTTAGCGACCGAACTACTGCATGCGAGGTTGCCTTGCCGATAGATATGAGTGATGTGTCACAATATTCACCAGACGTAGGTTCACTGGTAAGTGGCAAGACCAATCCATAATCGAACGGAATAATTGGCTCTCCTGCGGCTCCATGGGAGTGAATGGTTAAAGTATGTATTTCCACAGGCGGATGGCATCAAAGAGGCCTGTCCAACCCCGATGCCCGGAGGTTATTGTGTGGCGCATGAATGCGCGCCACATCCCTGTCTCAGGCAGCCATTGTGCTGGGGAGTAGGAAGTGGATCGTAATCGGTTGCAGGCTTTGGAGAGGGGAAGGATGATCGCCGTCTACCTTGAACACAATCGGACTTCTCGCGGGTGCTGGGCTTGCCGACGTGCGAAGGAGGAACATGTGCATCAAAAATCCGAAAGAAACGCGGATATTGTACTCTCGACTCCGGAAATTTTGGCATACGCTTTCGTTGGCTCGTATCGAGCAATTGAGGGTACCGAAAGGCAACCCCGAGTGATCCTATGCACGAGTTAGTTTCAGGAAAATGGTGAAATCATCTCTTAGATTGTTGGACCCAGATGAATAGATCTCTTAGGTCAATCGAATTGAAGAAAACACTCGGCCATTGGTGAGAAGACACGGAAGGGGAAGACGAGGAGGCAGGAAGGAAGGGATGATGCGCGGGTCAAGTGACAGCGATCACGGGTCTCTTCTTCAGTCCATCTGAAAGTTTTCTTCTGCCTACGTCATTCCTTTTTTTCTCTTCGAACTTCACTCGGAGATACGCCTGCAGATGTTGGGATATTGATTGATCTCAATTCCACCAGAGGCTTCCGGTAGCGCACAAGCCACTATTTCGATAGAGTCGGCGAAGTACCTGAGTATACAATTACGATTCCCTTCGCTTCTGCGTTAGAATCTGCTCTCAAAAAGGCCTCACGTGTCGACGCATTATTATGCAATTGAGATAATCGCCACACTATTTAGCTAGGGTGTTGACTGACAGTTGATGCCGATCCCAAACACAATGATGTCACTCGATCCTTTCAGCGAATCTTTCATCCTCTGCATAATCAACAGCGGGTCAATGGGGTTTCCTGGTTCTCTCACCATGCACCTTGGCCCACAATTCAGCGTGGCTTCAGGGACATCGGATCCTTCGAAATCTCCTTCGAGTGGCTAACTACGTCATTGTGCTGAGACACTGCTGGAATTGGAGTGTATCGACGTACCGTATGCCTTCCAGCTATCGCAGAGCGAGCAGGCGCGACCCTTATCCTGAAGGCAAGGAAAATGATGATTGAAGCAAATTGCCTCGGGATCTCTGGCCCTGGGTCATCGGTGGAGCAGCGAATATTGCTAATCGCTCTCCTACCGCCGCGCTCGGGTGGAAAACGCCATACGAGAAGCTCTCGGGAAAGAAGCCCGATCTCTCGGCCTTCCTTACAATCGGCTGCGTTGCCTACACAAGGCAGGAGCAACAGAAAAGCGACAAAATGGTTCCTCGCGCGTATAAAGGTATCCTCCTCGGCTATGTCGCCTCAAACATCTGGCATATATGGAACCCCAGAAAACAACGTGTTGAAGAGGCAAGAGACGTGCAATTCGACGAGACGAGAATGTACGATCCTAAACAACCGTTTCTTGAAGATTTGATCAGCGAGAGATCCCTAGAGCCTCCTACCAAGGTGCTAGACTTACCAAGCGAGAAAGGAATCTTCCGTGAAGAGGAGCCTGACGATATTAGAGAAATCGAGGCCCCGAGAAATGAAGGAAAAACTCAGGAATTAAGCGAGGCCTCGCACAATGAAAACGTTGAAATTTCAAACACGCAGGAAAATGAGAGATTGATCGAAACCGCCGCGCAGGAATATGATCACTGCGGGCAACCAACCGCGTGGCCAACACCTGAATCAACTCCAGAACCTCATATCTTGAACCGAGGCCACTCCGAGGCCATTCCTGGGGGTTTCCCTGAAGATCCACCGCTTGAAGAACCCGCTGCAACTCCGCATGATGAAGTCGCCTCTCGAATGCTCGAAGATTCGCTTCAGAACTCGATCTTTGAAGAAGAGGAAATACGGACTTCCTCAGCACCTCCAACTGCTCAACACCACGATTCCGCGCTACAAGAAGATCATGATTCGACGCCCTCATCAAGATCAGGGGTGGGACGAGGCGGAAGACGTGGCCGAGGCAGAGGAAGAGGCCCTACCGATGACGGCGCTCGTGAAGAAAACATCTTGCAAGGAAGACGCGTACGGCAGCCACGGAAGGATATGAAGGAATAAAAATCTCACGTGATGTTTGAACCGTATATTACGGACCCCTATCTCGTTGAAAAAGCCTTCTCAATGGCCATTGATCTTGCAGAAACGAGAAGAAGCGCTGGCACCGCAACGATCTTCCGATGGCTTTGTGCGTGCCATGCTTTCATTGATAAGATCCATGTCCAACACCCCCTGGTTACCGAATCCTAACCTGCACCAATTGCAAATTCACCTGATCGAAAGGAGAGGACATGCAACATGTCTCATTAGTGCCAACCACGGGATTTGAAAATGAGACCTGTACAGTTTTGGTACAGGGTGTAGGAAGAGAAGAGCCTGTAGATGACCGGAAATGATTATCGAAGATTCAACGATTGGTGCACATGTGATGGCCCACTATCATGAAATGACTCCTGTCGGCAACATCAGACCACTAACTAATCCCTCACGTAACTAGAGCGGAACTAATTGCCACGGCAATGGATTGGTCCGGAGTCTTTATACCAGCGCGAGATCGGCTGATGGAGTGATCTGCCAGGTGGCATTGGGGAAATCACAGGGGAGAAAAAGAAAACATCAAGGTCTCTATCCAAAGTGCTTGACCTACTTCTGTTCCTGACTTATTTAGAATCTCACTAACGCTTTGTGACTTGTTCCATTCAATGGTGTGCTGCAGTGCTTCCAGGAACCAGTCGACAAATCTGATCTGTAAAAGGAACGCTTAGACAGGAGGTTATCGCTAGAACAGGTACTACTTTTCCGAGAACGAGTGGCTATGTGACAAGTAAAGAAAGAAATATGTACTCCGTACTCCGTACAGCGCGCGTTTCTCTCATCAAACCAGCTGGAGTGAAACGCTAGTGCTCATAAACTCATTCTATCAAGTCCAAACCAGGATCCTCCTCCACAGATCCATGAAAATGGCTTTTCGTCAGCGGTTGTTGGAGAGGGCTAATAAACCAATCCTGCCAGTATTCTGTATTAATACAGGGCGTCGGTGGAACAATAGCCCCGCATGGTACATCCGGCTCCAAATCTTCACCCCTGCGAGCGGAGACAAGAAGAAAACGGGCATGAACTCGATCCCATCCAACTATGTAGTCTGTTGGCGTCCATGTATTTCTCCGACGCGACTTCAGCGGCCGCATAAAGAGACGGCCGAGCTGTATTATCCGGACTGGATATTGAGGTGCTGGACTAATCTGATTACCCAGGAGTCGAACCCGAAGAAGTCCCAAAGATGAAACGGGGCAAGGCTTTGATACATCGGTCTGCAGGGTGGGAGGCGTGCCAGGGAATTCCATCGGCAATCGTTCAGGGGACCAAGCAAACCACGAATCCGGGTCTGGAGTTGATATTGGCACTAGTTTCCCATCATGGTTATCCAGGAGGTCTGCGATTTTTCTCAGGTCCTCCACAGACTTTGAACATCCAAGCGTCATGATTTCTGCAACCAAGCGTTCGTAACTATCATATCCAGCAGGAGCTTCGCCATATATGTTGAATAGTGGTTGCTTTGTGGCATTGCAATTCGTATCAGATAACCCCACATGAACCGATTTTTCCGGCTCCCAGCGTATTCCAAGTCTTTGCTCCATGATTTGAAGTTGTGCCTCGAGTATACCAAGACTCTCCTGTTCCCCTGCAAGTTGCATCAGAGATTCGCCGATTTCTGGATCTTCGAGGAGGACAGGTAGATGCTTCATCTTCGAGATATTCGGCAAAGTACCATCGAACAAGACCGAAAGCTCTTTCAAATAGACACAGGCCTTGGAGCTTTCCCCCGTCTTTACCATGTAAACCACGCAAAGATATATAGGCCACAAATTCTTCTTAGACAACCCACTTTCCTTGACGGTTTCCCACACGGAGTCTAAAAGGACATCCATACGAAGCTCGGCTAAAAATGGCAGGTAAACCTCCTGGCGACTAGTTGCATGGTTCTGGCCCCAGCCAAGTCGCGAGTGTAAGTTCTGTGGTTCTAACTCTTCTGTATTGCTGGCAAGGCCGATCAAGCAGCGCATCGACTCTATATCATGCTGCAAGCCCGGGGATTCAAGAGCATGAAGAGCGTAAGTCAGGGTGGTGACAAGAGTAGAACTATATCTTGCTCTAAGCCTTTCTGTGCGATCGGCAAATACTTCCACGTGTGGCTTCATCGCAGGGACCGAAAAGGCCAGAGCGGCATAGTACATTGCCAGAGCATGCATATGTTTGGTGACCTGAACACCTAGCTTCTGAATCCGCAAAATTATTGCATTCAGAACAGCAAGAATCTCTTGATATGAATGATAATATTGGCAATTCTTCAATGCGATCGCCAGCAAGAAACATCCGTTTTTCTGCAAGAGCTCAATGCCTTTCTCGTCGTATATATATCTCTGGATAAAGACCTGCAGATGCGGAATACGTTTCGTCTTATGTCGCAACCCATAAACAAACTTTTCCCATGTAGGGGTGTTGTACATTCTCTGTTGCTGACTCCAATACGCTGGAAGAGAAGCAGCATCTGAGGACCAGTCTGTTTCGAAGACTTTTTTCAATTCGATATATAGTGGCGCTGGTTTTTTTTTGTGCTTATTCGCCACTGTATGTGTAGTGCCTGTCAGGGCAAACCGGAGTAAACTTGCAGGCGTGGGTTGAAGCTCAGGTTGGATGTCTTCAATCCTCCATTTATAATGGTACATCGGATCTATGTCGGAGGCATGGCGTACTGATTGTGACACATGACGGAGCGCAAAGGTATGTCGCCAGGATACAGGCCAGCATTTCCGGCGCCCATATCCAGGCATTGGTCTGCGAAACATGAAAAAGAGTTGGATTCCGAACAGGAATGCTGGCCACAAGAGAGGGGAAACTGGAAAGGAACGGGCCTCGGATGGGGTATGTACAAAGTGGAGTAACGTGTGGAGTTACCCGATGTCAACAAAGAAGAGGGGGCACGTGCACCTCAGGGCGGTCTCGAAGGCGGTCAAGGAACACGATCCGCAGGTCTTTTCTCCTTCCCGTCTTCACTTCCTCCCTGCATAGCAACGAAGGTCAGTCTTGACATATTCACTTTCTCGATCGACATATCTGTATTTTATCATATCCTGAGACTTCATAAATCTTCCTCATGTCCGACAAAGAATCCCACAGGGCCCAGTCGCCTGAGCGAGAGCAACCTGAAGGCGCTGTTGAAGATTCCGCAGTTGCTACTCAGCCCACGGAGACGAAGACGGGCAGTCAGGAAGAGGTTGCGAACTCCAAAGCTCGACAAAGACAAGAAAGATTCAAGGCCCTACAGGCCCGTGCGGTGAGATTTTCATGACTAGCTCTGTCCCTTGTTGAGTGGTTGATACTCATGAACAAGTAGAAATCCGCCGCCGAACGTAACTTGAAAGAAACTGCAGCCGAAACCCAGCGCCTTGCAACCGATCCGTCCTTGGTCTCATCGCTGTCGCGCAAACACGCATTTGCCTCTCATAACCTACTCAAAGCGGACACCGAAGCCTCCGGAGAGGACTTTGAACGAAAGCGTGCATGGGACTGGACCGTCGATGAATCCGAAAAGTGGGACAAGCGCATGGACAAGAAACAGCGCCACCGAGACGACGTTGCGTTCCAGGATTACACGCAAGATGCGCGCAAGGTGTACAAGAGACAGTTGCGCGAAATGCAACCTAACCTCGAAGGTTACGAGAGGGAGAAGATGGCAGCGATCGAAAAGGCTGCCGCCAACGGTGACCTCGAAATCGTGGAAACAAACGACGGTGAAATGATCGCCGTCGATAAAAATGGCTCATTCTACTCCACAGCGGACTCCGTCGGGTTTACCGAGAACAAGCCTGATCGAGCAGCCGTTGACAAGCTTGTCTCAGATCTGAGGAAGGCTGAAGAGGTGCGGCTTAAGAAACGCAAGGATCGCCGTGGCGATGACGACGCCGATGTCACCTACATCAATGAGAAGAACAAGCAGTTCAACCAGAAACTATCCCGCTTCTACAACAAGGTATGTTTATGGCCATTCAGAGTGCAGAGAACTAGGGACAGACATGCTAACGGCCCCTTAGTACACTACGGAGATTCGCGACAGTTTCGAGCGTGGTACTATGATTTGATATGGATACATGAGATTTCTATTATACATTCCTGAGTTATGTGTTATGATTACACGCTCAATCGTCCACCGACTGTTCCACAATGAAGGGCCTCCGGTTTTCCGCGGTCATCATTGTAACCACGAGAATCGATTATGAAGCCAGTGGTAGCATCATCTTTTGCAGACTAGGAACTCAAAGCATGCTCTTTCGCCATGCTTTGGTGGCCAGAGCTTCCATCTTCTTCGTTCCCACTGCACCTCGAACAGTTTCGTCTTCCATTGCCTCAACCACAGCCTCCCCAACCGTGTCCACCTGGAAGGGCTTGTCCACCATCGTTCCGAGGAAGCCGAGCCTATTACCCAAAAGTGCGTTGACTTGAGATCCGACAAAACCACCCAATGCGATCGGCATCGTGAATTTTCTGCTGGAATCGTACATGAAGGGAGGGCGCATAAAGATGCTTCGCAATTCCGGAAGGTTTGATGATATCGCTGTTTCGGCTTCGCGTTTAGTCGTGATGTATCGGCTCGGAAGGACGGGGGCCCCGGATGCTGCTGAGATATATACAAAGGTCGGGACGTGTTCATTGGAGGACTCTTGCGCCAGTGCGATCGCTGGTTGCGTTGAAGTATTAGCTTGATTCGGCCTTCACATGAGTTGGAATTTAGGACATATACGAACCAGAGTCTCTGTTCATGAGTTCATAAGTCAGTTGCCCATTCTTCTCTTTTGCCTGCAGCGCCTCCCCCTCTTGTCTTTGCAGGGGATTCTGGCTTCCTAGCCTGGACGAGCTGAAAACCTTCTGCAACCCACTAAGAAGAGGCTCCCTTCCTTGCACCACGCCTTTGTAGTCAGCCTCGAGCAGGATCCCCATGCTGTGGACGACGACCGTAGCCCCATTCAAGAATGACTTGTAGGTTTTAGGATCCAACATATCCGCCCTGGCCCACTCTACAGAGCGCGACCAGTCCGGGCGTTCTCGGGAGCCCGTGACCGTATCCCATCGTGGTTCCCCGGAACGACTATGAGCATTGTGAGCATTGCGATGACCGATTGCGCCGGAGAAGGAAAAAAGTCGTACCTAAGAGACGTTACGGACCAGCCCCTAGCGACTGCCGATTTGCAAATCCTAGACCCTATCAAGAACCATTCGAGTCAGTATGCATACTCCAGTACTAGATCACGGCGAGGAGGATAGTTATACAAACCCAAGAACCCGTTCCCGCCCGCGACCACGACTCGTTTAGCGGCCATTTTTCAGTATAATTGGTCTAACCACACGTTGGAGAATATAGAAAAGCAAATGTAAGTCACGAGGTGGGCTTGTCGATCATGATGGCCGGTTTCTATCTGATTGTCCGACCGCGCCAAAGCTGTGCTAAAGCTCTGGGACGTTTGCTTCCGATGGCACCTTATCATCTTGCTATCGCCGCTGTCACGTGCCGGAAGCGTTTGTCGCGACGGGAAGCCTCCGGTGGAAGACATCCGACGTACAAAACCTCCGCGGAACTACAGTATCGACACTCCTGGGAAAACGCCTTATTGAGCCCTTTCTTGTATTTGATTCCATCAGTGAGCACCAGAGCAGCGAAAACAATATCAGCATGCCTTCTGCGACCGGCACAAAACGCGTCAAGGTAGGTTGAATCTAGGGTGGACTCGGTAATCCTGCGGCTAATATCTACAAATCTTCCAGGGCGTCTCCATCTACAGACCCTTCGGTATGCTCCATCGTCCTACCATATTAATAAAATGATCATTGCGACCTGGTTACAAGACACTGACCTCTCCAGTCTTCGGCAGCGAGGCGCAACCCTTCGACCCCGACAAGAAACCCGCCAACGCCCCTACAGACCACACCCATCAATGGCGAGTATTCGTCAAGGGAGTCAACGATGAAGACGTCTCCTACTGGTTGAAAAAAGTACAATTCAAGCTCCACGAGACCTACGCACAAAACGTTCGCACCATCGAACAACCGCCGTTCGAAGTGACCGAGACCGGATGGGGAGAATTCGAGATTCAGATCAAACTCTACTTCGTAACGGAGTCCATGGAGAAGCCCCAGACCCTGTGGCATAGTCTAAAACTGCATCCATATGGGGCTGATGCTGAAGCCAAGAAGGAGCGCAGAGAGGTCGTGATCAGCCAGAACTACGAGGAGATCGTGTTCAATGAGCCGGTGGAGCAGTTCCATGACCTACTCACGGGGGGCTCTGCCACGCCACAGCCGAAGGGCAAGGGGAAGAATTCGAAACAGGCGGCGCAGCGGAATGGGAAGACGGCCGAGATTCCGTATAACGAAACCGCGGATAATCCTTATAGCAAGACGACCGAGAACAAGGAGTTGGATCGATTGGTGGAAGCGGGAAAGACCGTGGAGCAGATGATCAAGGAAGAAAAGGAACGACTCATCGGTCGAGAAAAGAGACTAGCCGAGCTGCGAGAAAGTGAAGGGGTTCCCGCCCATACGAAGAAAAGATAAAACGCTGCAACCTATGGTTTGATTGATGGACGACCATCGCAAGAACCTATGCTCTTGACTCGAGATAGGACGCACCTTGCTCGATTTACTGCTAGCCAGCGTTGCTATTCCATTTTTGCCGGCAAAGAGCAAGATGCTGCCAGCGCATCTCCCGGGTTCTTTTGATGAAGAGAGCTAGCCTCCCCTGAATGATCAACACCTCGGAAAAAAGCTGAGCCTTAGGTCTCTAGTTCTGGCCTAAGTGGTGCTCGCTACAGATAAGGAGGTGAACACCCCTGAATAGGGCTCATCACACAAGACACCCGTGGAATCTCCTTGTGCCGCCTGTGCACTAGTTGCGCGAAAGGCACATCGGCCACAGAGTTATGAGAAATGAACTTTACAATTAATTCACAGAAGAATCAAAACATTGCGTACCAAGCCAAGAAGGGTTTTTTTTTACCCGTTGTTACAGCCGAAATAAGATATAAAAAGGGACTTTGTATCATCATGCATCATTAATCATGCTAATAATCGCTTATAACTGATGGGGAAATATCAAGTGACCATACTGGACTTCTGCCCAACCCGTGATGCCCATGCCGTGTTCTACAATCAAAGCACGAAGGTGACACGGGTTCTCCTCATTCCTCCAATGCACTCTTGAATTGTTGCACAAAGGTCCACACTTCTGAGAAAGTGTTATAGAGCGGCGTAGGAGCAACACGAACAACACCTGGCTCTCGCTTATCACACACCACAGCCGCTTCTTGCAATCTTTTCGAGACGTTCTGCAGCAACCCTGGCTTGAGCAACAGACTCAGCTGGGCCCCTCTGGCTTCGTGGTTAGATGGAGTAATAATGCTGAACTGGCGAGTCTCATCCGACGTTCCCTCCAGCAGCAGATGCTCGAGATATGCCGTCAATAGTACCGATTTCTTGCGAAGCTCGGTCATAGTCGTTTCATCAAAAACGCTCAACGCAGCACAGAGGGCCGTGAGATCGATGGCGGAGGGGTTCGATATTTGAAATCCGCCGGCACCGGGGATCGGCTTAAACTCTGCTGACTGTTAGTTTCCACTTGTTTTGGGAGTGGTGGTTCAGCTCGTGGTGTCTTACTGTTGTCCATCTTGAACCTCACAGATCGGTCACTCCCGTACCATCCCGTCAGACGATGGCGGAATTTAGGCGCATCTTCCCCTTCGTTATAATCAACCTGGCCGTGTCTCTCGTGTACGAACAGGCCGCCCATCGTGCCGGGGCCGGAGTTTCCGTATTTGTATGTGCACCAGGCCGCAAAGTCCACGTTCCAGTCGTGCAGTTTCAGCTCGACATTCGCAAATGCATGAGCCAAGTCCCAGCCGACCAAGAGATTACGAGACTGCGCATATTTCGTGATCCGCGGGATGTCAAACAGCTGTCCGGTGTAGTACTGGATTCCTGGAAGGAGGAGAACAGCTGCATCGTTGGCATGTTGGTCAATGTACGATAGAATTTTCTCCGTGGAAATTTCGTATTCGCCCTCGTCTGGACCAATGAGGACCATGGACTTTCTCGGATCTAGATCATGCCAGGAGATATGAGATTCGATGGCGTACTACCTCAAAAGTCAGCTCCGTGTTTCGACAGACCCTTCCCGATGACTTACGTGGTCACTGGGAAATGCTTTCCAGTCCATCAAGATCTTGTGCTTGGTGGCGGTTGGCTTGTAGAAACTTGCGAGAAGCAGGTGCAGGTTTGTCGTCAGTGTTCCCATCGCTGCAACTTCTTCCGGGGCTGCTCCAACGATTTTGCACATCGACCCAGCCGCTTGCTCTGATAGGAGTTGCCATTGTCTTAGTGGAGAGTCTTCGAGGTCCACGAAGTGACCCGAGACTCCGATAGACGACCATGTGTCTAACTGGGCTTCTAGAAATCTTGCCGTGGCTTTTGGCTGAACGCCCAGAGAATTACCACAGAAGTATATGCAAGGCTCAGATGAGAGACCTGGATGTCTTATTAGACATGATGTGTTGAGAAAGCAAGGAGTCGGAGAGCACTAGGACCTACCAGGCTTTGCGAGTTTTTTATGGTTTATGTTTGCCTTTGAAGGGATAATGAATTTGTCCCGGAAATTGGCCAGAGGGTCTGCTGCATCGAGAGATGCGGCATATTGCCTTGTTCCCGCATTCTCAGGAAAGGTGGGTTTCGAAGTAGACTGCGTGATGGTCATTTTTGTGTGGACGAGCGTTGTATTTTGCAAGCTGATCTTTTGGTTCTAGACGTTGGAGAAACGCAGGCTTTATAGCTGGAGTCACCGATGACATGCAATTATTGGCCCCCTTTGCATGGACCCGGATGCTCTTCCGCTTCCGCAACCCCCCGGAAGTCCGCTCCTGTCAGCGCAGGCTGATGATCCGGTCACATGTGGGGCATACCAGTCGTGACGATTTATCTCGGCGAGGAAAGACAATCCATGAAGGTCCTTGGTCAGGGAGGGGATGCTACGACTATCTCCACTACTCGGCGTCAGCATCAGGCGGAAGCCGCCTAGGTTCCGTCTCCTTTCCGTCCCAGCCCTAATCAGACCATGAAACAAAGAGAGATATTTATTTGAACCGTTCTTGCCTTTTCTGTTCACTTCAACACATAGACTTGTTATCTGATCATACTTCATCATGCTTATCTCTCCAGAAGTCACCCTTGACCAATATGCCGTCTCTCTTCGGAGTGGGTTTCTTCCTACCATCCCTCCTTTGCAGCTATTAGAAGACCCTTACTACTGGCCATGGGAGGACATAGTCTTTGATCTACCAAATCACATCGAATCCAGGACTATCCGACAAGCTGTCGGCTCACTCCCCGTCCTTTCCACCTCCCGACTCCGTGACGAGCCAGAATGGAGACGAGCGTATATGCTGCTTGCCTTCCTCACCCATGCCTACATATGGGGAGGAGAACGACCCGAGGAGGTATGCTTGCTGGTCCAATTGCTTGCCACTCAATTTAACATCTTCTAGATTCTACCACCCGCGATATCATGCCCATTTCTCGAAGTCTCCAACCACCTGGAGCTCCCACCTTGCGCTACCTACGCCGCCCTCAACCTGTGGAACTTTAGCATCAAAGACCATGCTACAGACATCACCGACCCTGACAACCTCTATATAAATTCTTCATTTACCGGCACCAAAGATGAAGAATGGTTTTTCATGATCTCCGTCGCCCTCGAAGCAAAAGGCGCAGCACTCATCCCGCTATTCCTCGAAACTATCCACGCTGCTAGCATCGATGAGAGCCAACGCCTATGCGATCTTCTTGACCAATTCACCAAGGGCCTGTCCGAGCTTCGCGACTTGCTGGAGCGCATGTACGAGAAGTGTTCCCCGGCTGTCTTCTTCCACCAACTCCGCCCTCTTCTCGCCGGGAGTAAGAACATGGCCTCGGCGGGCCTCCCAAACGGCGTCTTCTACGATGAAGGCAACGGCCAGGGCGAGTGGCACCAGTACAGTGGCGGGAGTAACGCCCAGAGCTCGCTCATCCAGACCTTCGATATCTTCCTGGGCGTGGAACACACCGCCACGGGCGATATGAAATCCAACGGAGTGACACGTCCCGCAGCAAAGACAGGATTCATGCAGGTATATACAACGCATCTCTTCTATCCTCTCCCCTTTATTGTCTTGGCCCAATCGACCCAATCTAACAGCTCGATGTTGCATAGGAAATGCGCAACTACATGCCCGGTCCCCATCACCGTTTCCTCGACCACCTCTCCCAAATCAGCAACCTCCGCAGCTACGCTATGAGCCACAAGGCCAACTCCGCGGTTCGCGACGCCTACAACATGGCCGTGATGTCGCTCGGTCGGTTCCGTGACTCCCATGTGCAAATGGTAACGCGGTACATCATCCTTGCGGCGAAGACGAAACACCCGAAAACAAAGCCGACGTCCGTGCAGGTCAATCTGGCCACGACCACCTCGACCCAGATGAAAGATCTGGATGGGAAAGTCGCGAGTGGGCTGCACGGAACCGGAGGCACGGACCTGATTCCTTTTTTGAAGAAGACGAGAGATACGACGAAGGCGGCGGCGAGTTACGTGGATTGAACTGAGCTGAGCTGAGCTAAGCTGAGCTGGTGAACTTAGAACTCTATAGCTATGATGACCGTGACGATGATGATTGTATACACACTTTTCTTTAGAGGCGTTTCTTAATAATATCTATTTGCATTGACTTCTATATCACTTGCCATCTCCGTATCCAAACCCACCCCATGACCATGATCCGCCACACACACACACACACACACACACACACACACACACACCATAGTACGGCGTAATCACTCAAACCTAGGCTAATCATGGTTATAAATAATACCCACATACCCATCAACCAACTACGCAATAAATCCTTGAGTTACATCCAACCCTCACCCAAGAATCATCAACCCAAAACTCTCACAATCAAAAGCTAATTTCTCACTCCCCGAACCTAAATCAAACATCCCATTGGACCCTTCAGAGACAGTTACGGCAACCCATGTGCTAACGTCAGACTTTAGCCCCCTGGCAAAACAACAATGTCAAAGTGTCAAAGTCAAGGCTCAAGGGTTCAACCATCTGCAGAATCCCATCAATTCGGCCGATGTTACCCATCATTAACCCCTCATCTAGGTAACTATACGGAGTACCAAGGTAAGGGTGGTTATGTACGGGATGGATAGGGTTATCGTCGGGCCCGGAGGTGGATGTGGATCCGGAAGCGGAAGCGGAAGCGGATTGGATCCGGATTCTAGCCCGTCCTTGTAGGGTCACTTCTCTCCCTTCCTGACATCATATACCCCTGTCCTGGTTAATGGTTATGTACGGCGTAGATGTAAGGGAACTGGGTGCTCGGTAAGACATGGGTAACAAGATTAGGTTTTCCCATGATGTAATTGTTCCGCGTCGCTTCATTCTTGATTATCGTGTCATTGGTAGAGACTTAAGTAAGGTCTACTCTGCATAATTGAGGGTGTTAGGTAGGTAGGCAGTGTATGGTGTAGGTATTGATATTGATGTTCTTGTGGACGTATGTATTCCGGCTTGGTTTACCTGGTTGGTAAGTAGTAAGTGGTAAGTGAGGGTGGTGATTTATTGCGTGGGGATGGGTGCCGGGGCTCTCGTTTCTTGTCTCTTTCGGGTTTGCTTGCTTGGATTTGATTTGATTGTACGGAGTACGGAGCAGAGGGGTTGGGTATGGCTATAGCTGTGGTATCGGTGTGGCTTCTTAGTTTTCTGTGATGCAGGGGTTCTGATGGAGATTGTTACATGGACTACTTGGACAGGTAGGAATGAGAGAACACGGGTGGAGAGATACGAGGTAGACGGTATGTTGTGATGGTATTTGTAGCCAGGTTACGAATACCATCTACCAAGGCAGAGTTACTAAGCAGACAGGAAAAACAGGGATGATGTTAATATGTAGGTATGTAAGTATGTGCATATATCCGTGATGAGAAGCTCTGATCCTCGAAGACTTGCAGCATTTGCATGGATAAGGAACCTTGAAGCTCAAAGCTTCTACGCAAGGGGACTGGCCGGAGAAAGTCTGGCTGGCTAGTCGATTTAGTAATGAAGAAGATACGGGCCAGCCTTTAGGCTAGCTGATGGTTCTGACTGGGCAGGCTCAGGGTTAAAGCACAGAAAGACCTCGAAAGAGTTCGCGTAGAGAAGAATGGATCGCTTGATATTCTTTCCTGATTTGCTCCATGTTTACGAGGAGACTAGGAGAAAACATAGCTAATTGGTGTCCTGTCACGCGCGACTAGCACGTGGCAAGAATCCAGACCTGACATGCTAGAGATTCCCAAACCCTTCTCGATTGTCACTACTTCGCAAAAACTCCTGGCCCTGTGAGAAGAAATTCGCCGCTAGGATGGAGAACTCGTCGTTGAGCAAGTCAGAGGGCTGAGCGACTGTGATCGAGTCAACGGCGCCCTGCATGCCTGTGCCCAATGGTGTCTGAAGACTATAATGCGGCATCGGAGACTGTGACATTCCCTGCTGTGCGCTCATACGTGTTGGTTCTGGCAGAGGCGATGTTTGTGAGACCTCTGCTGTGAAAGCGAGCGAATTGGAATACAAGGAATCGCCGAACATGCGTCTCGCTGAGTTGGAATCGCTATTGGATGAATATTCTAGGATTTCCCAGAATCGCGAGAGATCGATCAATAGGCTTTTGTTATGGGCTCCAGATTCGGGTTGGTAGGTAGCTGAGACCGCGTCCTCGAGTCTTTGCAGTCGGTTGGCCTGGAGGTGGGGGATTGCGTTAGCTAGTATCTTTATTAGGTGAATGAGAGAATATTACCATTCGAGCCATATGCGGCCACTGCTGCCCTAGGGCTTGCACGAATCGCACGCACTTGAAAAATCGGTCCCGTTTTTCTTCGCGGATGGTAGGGTTCTCCGTGAAGCTGAGTTGGAGTTCAATAGTGGCGACCACTGCCGCACTATATCCTAGAAATGGATCTGAGACGAGGAAAGACCTCTCCTCAAAGTAATTGAGAAAATAGATGATCCAGGTTGTGTGAGAAGAGATGAGGTCAGAGGTGTGTTGCAAGAAGATCTCAGGAATACTGCTTCGAAAGTTTCGGAGACTCAGAGACAAGAGCAAAGGATGATTGAGAAGGCATAGGATCGTGTGATAGAGAAACTGATTCAGAAGGAACGGCCCCCAGTAGTCCCTGTTGGCCTGGAGCTCGTCAATCGTTCTGTCGCTAAAGTTGGCGGGCTTAAACCGGTGAATATAGGGCATGTGTGATTCCACTTCCATTTGGAGCGTTATTATCTTGGAATACTCCGACTCAGAGGACCACGGGGGTATGCTAGTTGGCTTTCCATGTCGTCGAACGTATCTCGCAATCTTCGCAAACACCTCGCTCAAGGTTATGACGTAGGCTATAATACCGTGATCTTCAAGATCGGTTGTTCTGGTCCCCTCTGTCATGTTTGGTGAGCAGGGCTGGGGTGGCACGTTTGGACTTTCTGGGAAGTTGGGACAGCTTCCGTCCGGAAAATCTATGTTGTCGAATTCAACGCCATGAAGGCGCTTCATCAGACAGATACTCCAGAAACAACGTCTTCGTTCCTCGCGCGCGACTGGGGATAGTTGCCCTTGCGTTTCGAAGCCCAGATCGGCGCATTGGGCTAGATTCATCGCTAAGCTGCTGTGAACACTTGAACGATGCGTATTTCCATCTAAGAAGCTAGTCAGTATACTGTAAAACCAATAATGCAAGCCGAATCCATACTGGTAAAGTCAACCAAGCTTAGAAGACATAGACACTGAAGAGTGGAAAGCTCGACCGGCCCCTCAAGCACCCTCTTCATGACCAAGCTTCTCGCTACTTCAGTGTAACCGCTGATCTGTGATGTTAGATGAGTTGGGCTCTGTTGATGCTCCTTGGAGAACCTGATACCCAAGGCAAGCATGGCGTAGATAACTTCGGGATCACGCGTCCCGATGCTGGTCAGGAACGTTTCCCTGTGAAAGAGAGGAAGCGGTTGCGACTCGCAGTACGTGAGGTATAACTTGGCCACTGAAAGCACAGTTTCCCAAATCGGAAGCGGCGTGAGTTGATTCGATGTCGAAAGCGACATCGGACCACTGGGGGCAGACATCACATGAGGCGCTGCCGTAGGCACTTCCTCAGGCCTAGACACGTTCCTTCTGCTATACATTAGCTTTCCGCCCTGTTTTGTTATTTTTAGGGATCAAATACCCCAGAACATCAAGGATCTTCCCCATCGTGGTCTCAAGGCCACCGAGCCGCTCCTCCTGTATCTTAGGCATTAGTGCTGTGTATTCATGAACAGGAAGCTCTCGCAATGCTTACCAAGGTCTGCGAGGGGCCAGAATCAGATGGTACTTGCAAAAGGGCCGGTTCTGAGGGCAATAGTCCGTTTGTCATTGACCTCTGCCTCTCTTCGGCATAATTGCATGTTTGACGTAGACGAGCGCAGAGCGAGCAGACCGGCTGTTCCCCTGGGCATTTCGCCTTCTTACGCCTAAGACTAGCTTAGCAGATGATTCTGGAAGAAAATTGGATTAAGCCAACCTGCAGGGTTCACATGCTTGTCGTACTCGCTTGGCTGGTCTTTCCCCAAATCCAGTATTCATAGTCGAGGCGGCATAAATGACAAGGGATCCAGGTCAATATGGAGCGTGGAGGTTGTTGGAGTTATTCAAGGGACTCACCTATGTTGGAGATGATGTCATGTTATAGCGACGAGATATTTAATGCCACTTAGATTCATCATAAAACAACATAGCGATGCAAGAACTCCGCATGGCCTAATTTCTGGCAGTTGACATGACGGAGATCCGGTCCGTGTCGTTGATCTACCAGCCCGGAGGCGCTGACTAAGGCCGTAGTGCGACATTTCGAAGCATATCCAACGCTCTGATGGCCATACTACTTTCTTTGACATTCCAATTGACTATCAAAGCCGAGACCTTCAGCTATAGGTTTACTTGTAGTCTAGCTCTATTTACTACGTTTACTCAAGTTCAAGAACCGAACCGGGCACACGGGAGCCGGAAGGATTGGTTACAGCACAAGCGTGGCACTAGCATGGAAATCATGCCACCAAATGCCATGCTCGAGATGATCAAACAGATCCGGCCAGGACAGTGGACAACACGGATTAAACCGAGGAAAGAATTCACATTGACGCCCAGGCTTTATCTTATATACAACGTGGAATGTCTTCCTCTTCACCAACCCATCATAAAAGAAAATAGAGATACACCGCCAATTGGAAACTAGGCATACTATTTTATCTGATGACAGATGTTATTCAATAGACACCGTCTAGTTCTTGCCGAACCAGGTCTTGTGGCCCTGTTTGGAGATTAGTACACGATGGTCGAGCAGGATATCAGTGCTCCCGGGGATCAGAAGTAGAAGCATAGTCATTGAAGGGAGTACTGACAAGAACCATACGGCCCATGGCGTAGGTGGTAGCTAGGAAAGATTAGCTTCGAGGTATCACCATATCGACGTGTCGCGGAAGCACTCACCAAGACCCAGGCCGTAGACGGAGAGGAGGTAGGGGTACATGACGTAGGGGCTGCGGTCGGTCTTGAAGCAGCCAAATCATGTTAGCGAATTGTTCCTGCTCGAGCTGTGTATGTCGATTGCGGATCAACTGACCTTCCACCACTGACGCTTGCCGTCGTGCTGCTGGAAAAGGCGCTGGTAGAAGGGGACACGGTTCTCGCGGAACAAGAATCTATAAGCAAAAAGACCGTATTAGCACGGTTTCCTGGAAGCGAGGAAGGGCAATTGCAAGTCCGGCCAATTGGGGCAGCCCCATTACACCGACGAACTCGATGCTCAATTGGCGACCTCTGGCAGGGGATCCGGAGTTCCATCAATTGTGGACAGTGGGAGCAACGTACCCGGCCATACGAGGGGCGGTGCGGAACATTTTGGCGGTGCGAAGGAGTGAGGGCTCTGGGGAGAACAAAAACGACAATGACCAGGGAAATGCTCGCAAGCGTCGCTCAGACGATGTCGTGAGGTGTGGATCCGAGGACAGTGGCACGTGACATCCCTCTTTCTTCCGCCTTTCACCAAGCCACGCTTAGTAATGCCAGATGACTTGCGCCCGTGATGCCGGAGTGCCTGAATGCCTGGCTTCCGTCATTCCAAAAAAGTGTCCGCGGAAGCAAGATAGCGCATGCTAAAAACCAGCATTGAACGGCCGTTTTCTGTCTTCGACACCCCCCAATGGAATGTGTGCTATGGGAAACTGACAAGGAGGATGTTCAGACTTACAACCTTGGCCTATCCTCATCTTTCTCTCATCACTCATGCGCCCGGCTCTCCTCCGACTCCTGAAGAGGCCGTCAGCTCTCTCGGTGCTTGACTCTCTCGTTTCGGTCCCTCTTGGAATCGAGGAGCTGGAATCCAAATATAAGAGCGAATACCTGCGGTATCATTCGCGGGCTACGGCGGGTAGGAATGAGAACCAGGGAGTCGATCACGACCAATCCGACGATCACAAACTTCGGACGCAATCATCGCCGTGGCCCTCCAGTTTCCGCGTGTACGATATCAAATCACCACAGAGCGAAGCGACAGATGGCCGTGATCGGACAAGACAGCCCGAGTTGTCAACAACATCAACCATCAAGCCGACGCGAGAGGTGGGATTACAGTTGGGGAAATTAGAGTACGAGTCTGACATTGGACATACGGATGGCATTGGGACACGCTTGGTGGACGATCCGGCCCGTCGGCATGATTTTGCTCTGTGGGAAGAACTTCTTCGCTATCGACAGCGGCATTATGGGGATAAAGGCACGCAAGATATCTGGGAGGGCTTGATGGTGCGGGTGGAGGGTGTCCAGCTGCCTGTCAAGGGTGAACGGGCAAACTTTTTTTGGCAGAGCTTCGTGGACTTGGCCTTAAAGCGACCAATTATACTGAACGAGCTGGTCAATTACGCATTTCGTCTATGGGAGGAAACCGGAAACCGCTGGGATAGGCTCTATGAGGCCGTTGTTGGGGGGTTGATTGCCCGCGAGATGCCGCAAAAAGCCGTTGAATGGCACAAGAAGCTGCAACACCCTCATTTATCCGAACCGAACGACATCCTACGAATCTTCCAGTCAGCCATCGCGCCTCGTCGTCAACCTAACAAAGAAGTCCACCACTCGAAGAACCAGCGCACGTCAACCGGGCTATGGGTCTTCCAGAACATTTGTCGCTCTACGAAAGGACATCGGATATATGGGCCCGTCATTTCCACATTGTTGCGCAACGGTCTCCATGAAGATCTGCCCCGGATGCATCAGGTCTTGGTGGCGCAGAACGACCATCCCGAAACCTACGAAGACATTCAACCGTTACTAGAATATGCAAAAGAAAAATGGCCACCTTATCGGCGCCAGAAACTCGATGTTTACGTCGAATCACGTTACCCCGAGCGGACGACTACGACCGCAGATAGCCCCACTACGAAAGAATCAGAAGCGGAGAAAGGAGCAGTGCGTGAAAAGAAACCTTTCAAGGATGAACTTGGTGCGCGCCTTTTCGCGACCAAAGCCTTGAACTTTGAAATGATCCTTTCCGGACTGCGAATGTTCGGCGTGCCGGCTATTGGGCCGCAGACGCTTCGCGAGATGGCCGTTCGGTCTCATGGGGGGCAGGACATACTAGAGAAACTCCGGCAGCTCCAAGCCGCGGGGATTTCAGTTGCAGATAGCGTATTCACACGTCTTGTTCGCAAGCTAGCAAGCCAACATCGCGAGGTCCTTCTGTCCGATTTTCTCCGCAGCGACCAGCATTTTGAGATGCTGGAGGACGCCGCGGCGCAGGAATCTCTACTGGTATCCTACTACGTCGCTCGTGACTGGAGTCAGTACAACGTGACGCTGGCCATCCTCGCCGAGATCTCTCCAGAGGGGCCGGACCTCTCCAACATTCACTTTCGGAAATTCATCGCGGCGGATGAATGGCACTTCGCCTCCAAGTTTGTCGATGACATGGCCCTGCGCGGCAGTTCCCTCTCCAAAGAGAGCGTCGAGTTCATGGTGAAACACATTCTCCCAGGCCGCCAACCGGGCCACCTACCACAGAAACTCCGCGGTCGCTCTCTCCCCAAGGACATGGCCTTTGTCGTTCAGAATCTGCAGCGCGCCGCTAAATCGGGCACGCCGGTGTCATCCGAACTCTGGATTGAGATGTTGAAGCGACAGGGCATGATCAATCGCTGGTACGACCTCCGGGACTGCTGTCTATGGCTAGCTCGTCAGTACTCGCCCGCGCCGAAGCACACCGTGGGCTCCGGCGTGAACCGCAGCGCCGCCAGCCCAACGTCGGACCCCCCATCCAGCGCCCGCGACGACCGTCTTCTCCAGACGATTTTCACCGGCCAAATGCAGGCGGCGATCGTGTCGTGGGGGTTCAAGATGCGAATCTCGCGCCAACCGGACAGGCCGTACGCGACCTTCCGACCGGACCAGGAAGATCTCATCCCCTGGGTACGCGGACTCGTCCTGCTCCGCGAACTGGAGCAGCACGGGGTGCATTTACACGTGCGGGAGATCCGGCAGACGTGTCGACAGCGCCTGAAGGTGATCTTCGGACCGGCGATACAGTCGAGTCGGCGCATGAACCGCATGCTGCGGCGCGAGAACCCTTACAATCTGGAGCGGGTCATCGGCGATATCAATCGGGTCTGGGGCGAACCGTCGCTCTTCGGCGGCCGGGAACACGTGGATCTGTTTCGATTAGTGAATCCTCCGATCTCGAAGATGTCCCTTCGCCGGATGGGTCGGAGCGCTCGTCAGCGAAAGGCGGCTTCCAGGAGCCTGGATGTATAGTAATGTATGTATATAGACTTGACATGGCATATGATACCAGATGGATGGACGGATGTACTATGATAGACCAATATCATATTGTAAAAATATAACATCACTAGACTCTGCATATCTTCAGTCGCACATGGTCCGTATTGATTTCCTAATGAGTCCAACCCTCGTATGACAGACACGAGGCCATCTACTGTATACAATAACTATGAATAATGAACCTTCAACATTCAACACCGCCCATCCGCCGAGCCACCCACGGCTGGCGCGTCCCTTCTGGGTACGCCGTTTCTAAGAATAGTCGCGGAGGCAACGCGGCCAGACGGTGGCCGTGGTGGGTCCTTCTCTCACCCTGTCCTCTGTATTGTCAGATCGACACGGCATGCGTCACCTTGGGGCTACTGGGCTCAGTGAGAATCGGATTCTGACTGGCATTGCAGCCGGTGCAACGACGGGTGCAGTGGGGAGACGGCTTAAAGATCCAAAACCAAAACATTTCCATTTATCTGGTCCACTTCCTGCTGCCTGGAGAAGGCGGGCAACGTACGTACTGTATTATTATCCTCATTCCTCACCAGATCCACGCTTAATACAATACAATAAAACCCTTTAATTCTGTCTACGCCACTGTATTAACCGCGGAATACAGATCCAAGGCTCTCTCTTTAGTTTAGGATCCTCCCAGTGGTGGTCAATAGTGCTCCTCCTGCCTACATCGTGCTTCCAATATTGTTATTCTGGTTATTTACCGACCTTGGGACCAAGACTACCAACAGCTGTCACAGCCTCCTTCAATCTTCCTCTTTTCTTTGCTTCTTTTTTTGCTCGCCTTCCTCTCCGTCCCTTTCATTTAACTTAAACTTCCCTCGTGTTTGATCTGGTCTTTGCTTCTGGGTCTGGCCCATCAGCATTCCATTCCATCTCCTCCCTCCTCCTTTCTTTTTTCGTCCGATCGATCGCCTTTATACCTGCTGTCTCCCGGCGCACTATTCGACCCTTGCGACCGCCCCGTCTACCTACCCTACATACACCCATCCATCCATACAGCGATATCGATCCATTCAAGACCGCAAACCAGCAAACAAACAAACAAACGAAACGAAACAAATTATGCTCGGACGACTCGCCGTCCTCGGCCTTCTCCCCTTCGTCGCCGCGAAAGCCGTCCTCCCGCGCGCCACCACAGCATGCAATAACTCGCCCGACCTGTGCTCCAAATCCTACGGCGACATCACCCACCTGGGATGTCACAACAGTCCGTTCCTGAAGGATGCGTCGACGAGTTATTCGAGTTTTGGAAATCAGTGCGTTTGCTCTTTTTCTTTTACGGCGCTTTTGTTTTATGCGTTCTTTTGTTGGTTGAGATGGAGTGGTTGCTAACGGACTTTCGTATCATCTAGGTATGTGAATACGACGTCGCAGCTGGATGCCGGTGTTCGGCTCGTCACGGCCCAAGTTCATAAGAAGGATTCGGAGTGGCATTTGTGTCATTCCGGGTGTGAATATTTGGATGCGGGGAAGTTGAGCTCGTGGTTGTCTGAGATTAAGGAGTGGTTGGATAGCAACAAGAATGATGGTATGTTCTAGATGCTGGAGAAACCCGGTGGTTGAGGGGGAGGAAGATAGATTGAATGCAGCTGACACCGCTCAAGTCGTCACGGTATTGCTGGTCAACTCCGACAGCGCCTCGGCGTCCGACATCGACTCCGAGTTCAAATCCTCCGGAATCAAGAAATACGCCTACAAGCCGACCTCGCAGACCTCCGCTCCCTCGTCGTGGCCGACCCTGCAGGAACTGATCAAGGATGATACGCGACTGTTGACGTTCGTGGCGTCGCTGGATGCCTCGAAGAATACCGACGCGCCGTACCTGATGGACGAGTTCAACTTCATCTGGGAGAACCCGTACGACGTCACCTCGCCGTCCAACTTCACCTGCACGCCCGATCGCCCGAGCAGTCTGAAGGGCGACACCTCCTCGGCCCTGTCGTCCAACCGCCTGCCGTTCATGAACCACTTCCTCTACCAGTCGGTGATCTTCGACATCCAGCAGCCCAACGCCACCTATATCTCCACAACGAACGCACCCTCCGGCGGGACGGGAAATCTGGGCGACGCGGCGTCCAAGTGCCAGAAGGCGTGGAGTCGGCAGCCGGCGTTCATCCTGGTCGATTTCTTCGACAAGGGACCCGCCATCGACACGGTGGATAAGCTCAACGGCGTGAGCTCGCCCACGGGACGGAAGAATGTGACCGCCATTTCGGAAACCAGCACCGCGACGACCTATAAGAACGTCTTCAAGGGCCTTGTCGAGGTCGTCCAGAAGGCCAAGGCCGGTTCCAACCCCAGTATGGGCGAATGGATCTGGGCCGGTGGTGACTGGGGCTCACTGGGTGGTGGACTCACCATCTAAGTGACCCGTGAAAATGTCTTGTTTCCATTTATACGTAATTTTTTCCCCTTCTTCTTTTCTGTTTCGGATATCATTCGCCATATTCCCTCCGGTTTGACACAAGGGTTTTAGATCAGCGTTTTGAGCTTTGGACAAGGGACGGATGTGTTTTATCTTTTGCGTTCCTTTTCACGACATTCCTTATTCCCCCACTTATACATAAGTCGGCATGATATGCAGATAGAAAAACGGGCGTTTATGGTTGTTAGTCACTGTCACTGTCACGAATTGAATTTGATGACTGTTATGAGTCTTCAACTCCCGTAGTCTTCCATCCATCCTAGTAGTATAGGGTAGAATGTGGCAACCAGTCAGTCAAGATCAGCCTCCAATTATAAGCACAGTCCGAAGTGCCAAGGGCGAAGTACGGTGGTAAAACAGTTTGCGCCGTCCATTTTCCAAGCTCCCATCTAAGGAAACACCGATACGAAGTACAAACACACCACTCACTGGTCTAGATATTACTCCTTGCCCAATAACTGTCGGATTTTATTGACCTTATCATCGAATGACTGCTCCTTGTCGATTCTGGACCGTCGAAAAAGGGGGGGGAAGGAGAGGCAGTTAGCTCGAGCTCGGGTCAGGAGAGACGCCACCGGCCACCACTTTAGGGGAGAAGGGAAGTCGTAGGGAGAAAAGGGGGAGCACGTACCTCGAGCCAACGCGAATGTCGGTCTGGATGCGGACGATTCCCTGCTCGTGGAGAATGGTATGCGCCTGGCCAATGACTTGGTGGACTTTATCCCAGGATCCCTCTGTGATAGGCACATGCATATAATCCATGAGAAAGAGGGGGACAATAGAAGAAGAAGATGATGATGATGAAGAAGCGGTGGGATCCGGGGATGGGACGGGGAAGGGGAAGGAGACAGCGGCAAATAAAACGCCATTAGGAGGGAGGTTTGCAATTCTTGGAAAGCCAATAACATAGGATTGCTATTCGGTGCAGAAGGTTGTGCGACAAGAATGATGCAGTGAGACAAACAAACGATCTATCAATCGAAGCGACGTACCAAGGGTTGTGCCGGCCGAGTGCATCACATACTTGATGCCGGATTTCTCGATCAGACGCTGGACGTCGGCGATTTGGGCAGAGACGGAGGCGGAGGCGGTTCCAATCTATTGGTTTTTGTTAACATGAGGAATTGAGTTAGTCGCGGCGTTCTGGTGGGATATTCTGGGATTGGGTAACTGATAACACTAGGCGAGGCTGGGGGAGGGTTGCATCGTATAGACGGGGAAGAGCTTATCATGACTTCAGGACCGGATCGGATTGGGTTCGAGCAGGAGGAAGGACCTACTGGAATCAAGCAGAAGTCGGCGGTGCAGTGGGCGGGAGTCGGAATGGAGGCGATGTCGGTAGAGGAGGCCATGCTGGTTGCCTGTCGTGTTATTGGATCTGGTCGTATGATAATATCGTCTCCGGCAAACGTGCCGCTTGGGATGGCCTATTCTGGTGTCTTGCAGTGACAGGAATAAATTAATTTGGCGAGAAACGGTGTCAAGTCCGACGAGAGGGAATCGAGGGAAGAGAGAGGAAAGGAGAGAGAGAAAACGCGGGGTTGGAGGGGCACTGCTTTAGCTACTGACAGTAACTACGGAGTACAGTCGACAGTCTACAGTTTACAGTCCACTCCGTCAGCGACCTTCTTTCTCCTCGTCCATCTCTGTTCCTGATCATGTCCTCATCGAACAAGGACATCACCCAACAGATCGATAGTATGATCGGGCAGCCTGATGCCCTCCTCGGTCGAGGATTCTCTCCAGATCTTCCGATTGCTGCGCTGACATCCAGTCTCCGTGGGCCAACTCATCGCGATGTCTGCCCTGCGAACGGAGCAAAGTGTCCACTTTTCAATGGAGATGGTGCATTGGGATGCGTCCATGACATGATGGACGTCGATTGGATCTGTCGGGGGACACAAGTCCGACAAGGATCGTCTCTCGTCATCTTTTTCTTTTTCGCGCTCCTTACCCCAGATCGTTAGAGACATCACCACTAAGCCCTTAATCCCTGGTCTCCGAGTCCCAGGTGAACACGGTTGGATCTGAATCTAATGATCCTGGGGGCAGCTGCTAACAAGGCTAGCGATCGGCTTCGACACGTCGCTGTGATGACCCGAAGAATTTACTAGAAAACCCCGATGGAACCCCAGGAAGGTCGATGCCAAGAGGCTGTCGCTTCCCTTTGAACCCGTCAGAAAGGCAAAAAAGATAATCGGATTATCCCTCCCACTTGTCGCTGCCAACGACCCGTAAGGCTGGGTGGATAAGAATGAAGAACAGACCGGGGGGACACGAACGATAGACCTTGGCGTGTCTCCCTCGACAAATGGACCCTGCGTCATCTTTCTTTGTTTGAATGTTTCGCGAGTCAGCCAGCCAGAGAGCCTGAAACTTAGGTTCGCGATCCGAACTTTCGACTCTTATCTTTTATTTTTGAATATTAATTTTCCTTCCTCAGCTCACACTGACCTTCAGTCATACCAGACTGTTGATATTATTACCAACCCCCTATTCACCCCCTTTTCTTCTCTCTTCCTATCCTTTTTCTCTGCTACCATCAGCCGTTTCTTTAAACTTTGCCCGTCATTCCCTAGACTGGACGCGGTGATTGGTGGCAAACGAAACTCTCGCAGGCTGAATGTGACGCACCTCCGGCCTGGTCTGACCGTCGCTCAGTCAGAATAACGACGGAGAAGGAACTACTTATTACTCGCATGATCTCAGCATTGCCATTCCCCGTTTCCTCGGTGATCGTCAACGATTTTACTCGTCACAATTCATCAAATTAAGAGGCCACCCACGAGTCTTCGCTGACCGCCTATCGTCCTGGGGTCCGAGTTCCTCCAAGCTGCCTGTGTGCCCGACCACTTGCGATCGAACGCACTTATCTAGTTGGATCCCCGGAACTCCAACTGGGCCACATTGCTCGTCGCCTCCCTTTCTCCCTTTCGAGCTGCGTGCGACGGGCTTGCATGCGTTTTTCGTGCATCCGATGCGCGGCGTCGAGGCGATATCAGAATACTTGGAATCATTGTCGGTGAACGTGCGCTGATTGGCATGAAATCCGCCTAAGACTCCCAAGAGCCAAGCGCCACAGGTGCTGATACCACTAGAACCCCTGCACCGGCCTCAGTCACTGATCTAGAAATCCTTCCCGCTAAACGCTATCTGGCTTGGAGGATTTTCCTTCTTTAATATCTCTGGGGTTGCCATCCGCTGTTCCGAATTAGCCAACGGGGGGGTTTATTTTCGTCCCAAAAAGCCAAATTAAAAAAGGTCGAGCTTGGATAGATCGGTCATAAATTGCCTCGTGGATTGGCGTTTAATTCTTCCCATTACTCAATTGGCCAGTAGTGACGAAACGGAGACAAATCACTACTCTGCAAACACGAAGACCAGAAAGACCCCTCCTTTCAAAAAGGACGGTCTCTATGAGAATAAAATACCACGAAGGAGAAAAAAGAAAATAACTTGCCATCCCGAGATCTAACCTGGTTGTGCTGGAACGGTCCGCACAACTGGGGAGCCTCTCTACCGTCCCTTTTGGGTTCAGTGCATCTGCGCACTGAACAAGTTTTTTTCTTTGCTTTTTCAGCCCCCCTTGCTAATCTGCTGCCTTCTCCTCCAACTATTTATTCGGCACTTGGTAGCGTTGCCAGGGATCCCATACGGTTGCGGCCGTGCCTTCCTTTGTCTGAGACTGTCAACGCCATCTTAACTGGGGTTGTAGTTCCTCCAGAGCCAGGCCTTCTTTCCTCTCCCCCTACTGTCCATTGCGGCCATGGTTCTTCCACAGAAGAAAATCCCAACACCCTACTTGACCACATAACGAATGACAAAATCCAACCTGCTGGAGCTCCCATTGGGAGCTCAACTCGTTTATCTTGCAGAAGGTGGTGCCAATGTCATCTACAGAATCGTGTCCAACAAATCCTCCGCCCACCGGTCCAAGAAAGCCAGCTCCTATGGCAGGGAATCATTCAGCGTGCCTGCCGAATTCAAAGGAAAACTGCTTCGACTTCGCAAGGATACGTCGTCAGGAATCCCCTATCAGGAAATTGCGCGGAATTTCGACCGAACCATCCGTCCGTTGTTCAAGCCGGAGGAACTAGTAGACCAGGAACTGGTGTATCTCCCTCGAGGGCTTGTCCAACAATGCAACGAGCAGTTGCACGCCGCCGAGCTGAGCGGTCGACGTCCCAAACGGCGTCACGGTGCCTATCTATCCGTTACGGAGCCCTTCGGTCTCCTGATCACAGACATGACCGTCTTCGAGAACCCCGGGATGATCCTTGCGGAGCTGAAGCCGAAATGGCTTCTTCAATCGCCCTCGGCGCCGGCAGCTAGCCGCAGATGTCGCACATGTGCTCTGCGCGACATGAAGAACCACGAAGCCCGTCGGGCTGGCCGACCCGAAGATCGCTCATTCTGTCCTCTGGACCTTGTCTCGGAGCGGTTCGAAAATGTCCTCCGGGCCACCAAATACGTCAAAGGGTGCAAGGACCAGATGCGGCTGGCCACGGTACTTTATCGAAATCCTACCCTCCAGCAGCTGTTAAGTCACCAGAAAGCGACTAGGGAAGTGGGACTCCATGGACCGCCGGCGCAGTCTCGAGGGAAGTCGTTAGCCATGACTTTGAGAGACTGCACGATGTTCATCAAGGTGAGTTGCCTTATCCTCTTCGTCTGGCAGCTTTCGAATCAAACAGAACTGACCATCTTAGATGCCCCTTGATGATGAAGGGGCCGTTGAGATCCGTCTCGGCGACCTAGACCTCAAGACCGGTGCTGGCGGTAAGGCGCAGTATTGGCATGACCTAGAGAAGCAGCTCATCGACCAAGACTGGTACATGGGCTGCAAGGGCTGTGGCTCTACAAGTGAATGTGCGCTGCACGCCCGGGGGTCTCAATCATCAATCTAATACTACCCTATCGGCCCCTATTTCTGTGTACCTCTCCCTCTCTATCTGTCTCTTCCCTCCTAATCTCCTAATTGCCCCTCATACACTCTTACACTCATCTCAATGAATCGGGGTACACAGCACCCATACTAGATCTGCCCTACACGCCAGGTCTATTCTCTTTCGCACATCACGACGAAATGATAGATGGGATTGTTCTATTCAAATTACTCTGTCTGGTCTCTTTACATTTTGATTAAGTTTCGCCCTTTCATTCCACGCCTCTTTCGTCTTTCCTTTTTATCTTCCGGTCTCGGTTTGGGTTTCGGTTTCGGCTGGGCGGTTCTGTGTCTATTCTTGCGCGCAATCTTTTTTTTCCCTAGTTATTGCATCTCGGTCATGGGTGGCTTTATTTATCTATTGTGTGTTTGCTTGTGTGTGTGGTGTGTTGTATAAGTACCCACCTATTTATCCACCTACCTTGCTATGCGGTTCCCATCGCAACTATTATTAGTACAGGATATAGGTTTAGTTATTGATAGTAATGTTAATGCGGAGATTCGTTTAATGATGTCATAATCTGACTCTGCGGAGGCCCGAGCACCGGGTGTTTAAATGTCACTTTGGATGACTACTTAGGTACATATGTACCCAACGAGCTACGCAGTAGTAGTACAATATTGTCTAAGTCCGTGAATTATTGCTTCCTTGAAGAATTAAGGCTTTTTGGAAGAGAGACCAATTAGCCTCGAGAACAAGGTCTTTGATATTAACTATACGATTTATGCCATAGCCAGAGAAAGATCAGATATTATATAAATGCCAAGAACACACCAACACCAACACCATACCTCGCTAACCGTCTATATGCAAGTAGATCTATACGCAGCAGAAAATATACGAATAGAACAGGGGAATAGAACACCACCCGGATGCAAATGATTAGAGAGCCAGTTAAAAGAAATCTTGCCCATCCAGCCATTGAGAGTCAATGGCGTATGCAACTAGGTCGGCCGCACAGCACATATCCTCGTGTCCGTGGTCGAGATCCAAAAGCCCCAAGACACTGGTCAGTCGATCCTGGAGAGTCTTCTGCCATTGAGAGGCGTTGGACTGCACTTGTGTGATAGCCTTGTTAGAATGAAGACTATCTTTCTTTTGGGACCTGGATTTGGGTTGGACTTCCTTATTAGGAGAGCGTGGGGCAAGAGGTTGTCTTTGGGGAGGGATCTCGGTTTTGTGATTCTTCAGCAGGGACTTGAGGAGGAAGAGCAACCAGATGAGATTGGTCCGTGGAGCGTATTCGACCCATATGCCCGGGATATCAGCAGGCTTGGTGGCGTCCAAGGGCTGTCCTGTGTATAGTTGGGCGCGCATGCTAGTGGTTGTCAGTCAAAATTTCCCCGGGACGAAAGAGGAACTTACTATCTATAGGTATTTCTCAGTAGGATCTCGTCCTCATCCCGACCAACGGCATGAAAGATTTGCTTCTTGTCAAGGTCAGACGATGCAATGTCAACAACTTCGCCTGCTTCCTCGGCAGATCTCAGTTCGGCTCGGGAGAGCGAATAATCGATGATAGTGGTCTCCAGCGTGCTTATACCAAACCCGCTGGCAGATGACAGGCGCATTATCTCAAGCTCTGTCGGCGGGTCCATGCGGCCGTCCGGTCGGATACTTCTGATACAAACATTGCCAAGATGAAGATCGCGATGCTGTCCTTCTGTTAGTAGCCTGTCATTGTTAAGGTCGGAGTAGTCATACCTCAAACTGCGCATATTCCTCGGCCCGCGCAAGAGCCATCGCCACTCCCCAGAAGATATCATAGATCTGGAAGATGGATGTCCAAGAGAACTTTTCCAGCTCACACCCGGCATCGTCCATCTCTATAATGGCCCAGAGTTGCGAGTCGGGATACGATCTTTTGCTTGATGGGTTGGGATTCAGGCAGTCATCCATGGTCTTTTTATAGTGATCCCATGCTTTCTGGAACGACTCCGGGAAGCGGCCCTGAACGACGTGGATTTCTCTGAATCGCGCGAACCCTGGGATGGGATCCAGGTATTTCAACATTTTGACCTCGGACACGATTTCGTCGATACTGGTGAATTTTTTCGAACCAGGACCGCTCTGCGCCCGCAGAGGAACAACCTTGAAAACACCATCCCCGTAGGCCTTTAGACGAGCCAGCTTCGACTTCGACATTTCCTTCTTGCACACCTCCTCTCGCAGTCGTAGCTTATAGACCTCTCCGTAGGAACCTTCGGCGATCTTCACAACCTCCAGCATATTCCCCGCGCGAGCGGCCCAGGAACCGAATTTCTGAACACTCTGCGCAGCTACCGGCGATAAGGCCTCGTCGAGGATGGTGCGAACATAGACATTGGCTTTTTGGTCCGATACGAACCCAGCCGATTGTCGTTGGACGGGCTTTTTCTCTGCGGGTTTGGTCCTTCTTGTTGCCCGCCTCCCGGTCTCGCTAGTATCATGGTTCTCCTTTGGCTCTTGCTTTGATCTCCGTGCGGTAGGTTTCGGACTGACCCTCACTTCCACCATCGTCTCTAATTGTTTCTTCGGTGCTGCCTGAGGCTTCGAAGAGGTGGACTCTGCCGTCTCGTTTTCCGGTTCCACATTCGGCGTCTCAATTTCTGGCGTATCGGTGAGCTCCATAGTGTTGGGTATCTCGTCAACATTTTCCGTTGTTTCTGGTATCTCTTTGACATGCTCCTCTACCTGCTCGGTAGTCTTCTCACTGGTCTTCACCGGCTCAACCGGTTCCTCCTGCAGCGCATCTTGCTTATTCCCAATCCGGACCTCAGCCAGCTTCACACGGAGCGAATCCACACCATCCTGAACCGTCGTTGACGATTTCTTCATCTCCGTCTTCGCCGGACTCCGCTGATCTAACACCGCCCGCGGCGCATCGACCTTGCGCTTTCCATAGACCCGTCGTGATTTCGCAGGTTTCGTTTTCGCTTTCGACGGGGCTTGTTTGGGCGTGACGTCGCCTGCGACGGGGGAGAGGGGCGAGACCATTGCTGCTGGCGGGTTGTGCGTTCACAGAACCAGCAGCCTGTGTTGGTGGGTTTTTGATGGGATATGAGTAGTGGGTTTGCGATCGGGAGGGAGGCGTGAGTTTGTCGGTGCTGTCTGTTAGTTCGCTGTCTTGGAAGGTGGCATTTGGGAAGGAAGGCCCGTTTGGAGAGTTATTGACTCCTTGCCCATAGTAGACTAGCGCGGTGGTTGCTGCGGTGAAAAGGATTATGTAAGTGGGTGGGCTGTGGCCAATCAGATGGGCGGGGTTTAGTTCTACGGATGGGACAGAGATATGGAATTCTCTTTGCGCTGTACTCTGATGGCTAAATATCTTCGATGAGTGAAAATAAACATCTAATCTTACAGGGCTTAAAGCTTACCTTGTGATCTTCTACGCCGGAGGACCGGATTGTGAGATGGCCCTAATGAAGGACTCATTTTGTCCGAACTAATACAATGCAGGCATGCAAGTACACAGGACTTGGTCCAAAAGGCCTGATTCACCAAGCCAGGCCTGGACCACATGAGTCTCTTAGCAGCCCTCATCGCTAACGGTCTCGAAAAGGCAGCTCAAGCCCTAGCTCATCCTCCATGGGTCATTCAGATCATGATAGCCGTGTTTTTATTCTCGGAACTCCTGCGTAACTCTAGTAGTAACGGTAGCACGAGTGTTGGGCGATGAAACCCGAAAGGTCACATCATCTCCTAGCGTTGAAGATGGCAGATGAAAGCAGGACAGTCGGTGCAGAATGCCGATGATATTTACCCCTGGGGCTGACCCTAGCGTCGAACATTTGTCGGATCACGGAGCGAAGAATGAAATCGATGTCCATGATTGGACATGTGTTATGGAAGGTGTGTTAACCACTCTTCAACACGGCTTGGGATCGGCGAGACAGGTCGCAGCATGCGACTGGGTCTGAAGTGTCCTGAAAATACTCCGTACTTTTCCTGTGGTTGATGGACTCGCTCAGATGGGTTGTCGCAGTTCTATATTTCCATGCCGTTTGAACAATTCAAGCCGTGTTCTTGATAGTGGAAATCATCATAGAAATGTTGATATGCGGTATTCCAATGTTCTCGGACCTTCTTCGCCTAAAGTAAACAACATGAGTACCTAACTAGATAATAGTAGATACCCTTGTCACAGACTCCTATACACCGGAGTAGTTAAGGGGCGGCAGTTGTGCAGTGATCAACATGATCCATACTATTTTTGGCCCGTTAGCAGCAGGACGGTAAACAACAACAGCAAGAAAGTTAAACATCAAGTGGAAGAGCACAGAAAGGCTCCAGTTGGACCGACAGAGGGTATGGTATTGGCGGAAGTCGAATCCGGCTACCTCATCGCGAAGATCCATGCGCTGCAAGTTTTCTCCGGAGTTTAACCCATTCAAATGATGGAAAAGCAAGTCGGAGGGGATCGGAGGTGGAGGAGCGAGCTTCGGGGGAGTGACGCAAGACTTAACCTGCTTGGGCCTTGACTAGTGCTGCCTCTAGTCCTGCCTGGTACCCGCCTCTTTTTTTTTTCTTCCTTTCGCCTCTTCCCCGGTCGGGCCCTTTCAACCTCGAGAGATCACGGGGAAGGAAAAATGCCAGAACAGAGCCAGAATAATTTGATAGAAATTAGAATGATAAGAAGAATACTGAATTCCACTAGTCTGTAGACACTAGATAGTCCGGCGCACAATTCCTGCACTGCTGGAGAGTTTCCAGCGCATCTCGTGGTGTCGCGTAGATCACGCGAGTCCCGACCGGGCCTGTGACGGACCCTCGGGAAGACATTTCTTTCTTTCCTTCCATCCATTCCTTTTCTTTCTCTTCCCAGCTCTTCCGGCTTATCGTCGCTTCATCCCCCTCTTTCGACTCCCCCACTGGGTGCTGCGATCCCCATATTACTTTATCCCTTCTCCCTTTCGTCCTCGCTCCTCATCTGATGATTTTCGCGCCCGTCGACCTCGCCCCCGTCCTGCCTTAACGCCCTGCGGGTTTCGCCCCAGATTTTTACCCCCGTCAATTCTCGATGACTGGTAATGGCGTTCAACTTCAACTGGTCGCCGCTCATGGCGGACGCGAGTTTCTACACTCGCGCCCAGGAACTGTTAACCGCGGCCCTGAATAAATCCCCCAAACCCCCGATCATCGTCGACGACATCATCGTCTCCGAACTCAATCTCGGCTCTATGCCGCCCGATCTGGAAATCCTCGAAATCGGCGACTTGGCCGAGGATCGCTTTCGAGGCATCTTCAAGATGTCCTACACGGGCGACGCCTTCCTGACCCTGAAAACCCGGGTACAGGCGAATCCGCTCAATACCTATCTCTTCACAAGACCCTCCTTCGCCTCGCCGTTGCCGTTAGCTGCAGCGTAAGTAGTGCCCTGTCTGTTTTAACATATACTGTGCGCTCCGTTGTTAACGGGGTCCTTTTGGTGCGACAGAACTCCTCTCACAATCCCCCTTCAAATCACTCTATCCGACTTCAAACTCTCCGGCTTCGTTATCCTAGTCTTCTCCAAGCAAAAAGGAATCACCGTCGTCTTCCGGAATGACCCACTGGAATCGCTTAAGGTTTCTTCGACATTCGATTCGATCCCCTTTGTTCGTGACTTCCTACAAAAAGAAATCGAGGGTCAGCTTCGCATCCTGTTCATGGACGAGCTACCCGCCATCATACATCGACTATCCCTTCAGTTATGGGTCCCCGAATACCGCATCGGGGAGGAAGCGCAAAACCGCGCCGACAACAACGCGGCAGCCGAGGGCCCGGGTCAAGATCCGTTGGCCAGTCCTCCTCAGGATCCAGTCGATGCTCAGGGAAATGCCCTGAATGACTCGGATATCGCCTCGCTTTCCCTCGACTCCTCGGTTGAAACCCATTCGCTATTTTCGCAGAAGAATCTTCTGCGACTGGCAACTCTCACGGATTCGCAACGCACATTGTCGCTCTTCACCCCCTCGATTCGAGAAGTGGTTTACCGTGCATGGACTTCGCCTTCCGACCAGGGTGACGGAAATGGAAGCGTCATGTCTCCATTAAGCCCGGTACTATCGCGCACTCAATCTCACGCCGGCAGCATGTCTTCCTTCCAGGACAATGCTAGCATGGTGTCGACACACAGTCGATCGTCTGCCTCGACCCACGCCTTTAGCAGTTATGGTCTGAGTCTTGGGGCCGGTCGTCATTCGAAGGCCCATTCTAGAAAGCGCAAGAAGCGTGTCGTGGATTTGCGCCGACCCAAGGCTCCGGAGGACTCGGCAAGTGTCAGCGATGAAAGCGCCTTCACCGAAACGACCAGTGCACCATCGGTGTGCTCCGCCCCGCTCCCGGTTGTCAATGAACAACCCGACGATCCGGTGACGCCTCCCTTGTCCCCGGATAGCGATCTTCAACTTCCGACAATCCCCGAACGGCATCGCACAAGTCTTTCTCGCCCTACCCCTCGTCGCAACATTGCAGCAGAGATTCTGCGTGAGCCGGGAGAGTCTTCTTTGGCACCCACGAAACATGGAGATGTCGATGTGACTCCTCGAGCTACCGTGCGCCCTCACGGCGCCTCTCAACGCAACAGCCAAAAGCAAGAGGCTGAACCGTCTCGGCAGTTGCCGTCTACGATACTTCCATTGGTCGAAGAAAAGCCTAGTTCCGGTCCGGTCGACCAGGCCTTAGTCGAAAGGCTAGCGGGAGAAATCGCCCGTCGAATGCGAGACGAAAAATTGATGCCCAGCACCTCCTGCAGCCCTTTCTGGGGCCGTGCCAACCACGAGGACTCTCCTCCGCCGGCCTACGGCCAGTGAGCCTATAAACACGAAGAACCCGATGGTTCTCTGCCACTCATTAATTCTTTTTTACTACGTTCTTTGCACCAGCGAGTCTGGTATATTTCTTACTAATGACCGATACGACCTTGGTTTTAATTATATGCTTGTTTTCGACCTTTTGACCTCGACTTTCGACCTTATGGCTTTCGACCCAATTGTGACTTTCAGCGAGACTATATACTGTACATTGTTTGTTTCCTCTGGTGTATCCTAAAAGAATCTGGGCGTTTCTGTTTTTCTGTTTTTGTGCGGATACCACTTCACTCGTTTTCTTTTTTTCTGTGAGATATATTTGGGACTTCTGGTGGTATCCGGGGATCGGTGGTCGGTGTTATACAATAACTAATTGGTTATCAATGCTTATCATCATTATACTCATACTTATACTGAATTGTATTCCCTCCGACTGTCCACGGAAACGCAGAGAAGTCTTGGCGTGGAGGTACCCAAAGCGGCGGCTCCACCACTAGCTCAAGTCAAGCGATCGCTTTGCGACGAACGTCAACTCGCTCCCGTTCTTTTCCCTCTCCTCCTTCCGCCACGTTGTCAATCCCCGGACGGTTTAGGAGCCTGCTGCCTTTACTTTCCGCCCTTTCCCTTTCGCCATGGAGGGTTTGCTTAAGAATGTGTTCGGTGGCTCTCAGCCATCGGATGCTGCCAAGGTTGAGGATGGTGAGTGCCGCAATCCATTGGAATGACACCCGGGCCAGGGCCCATCAGCATCGTCCTACCCCGGCGTGAAAGGATCCCATCAATTGACTGTTGTTCCTCATTAGACTTCGCCGACTTTGTGAACGCACCGGACCCATCTCCCACCTCTATCGTGGCCTCTTCGGCCTCCTCGGTGCCTGCATTCAACACCGAGGGCGTCGGGGCCGGCGTCCCGTATACGAAATGGTACCGGGTGTGGGAACGAACGTCGCCCAAGGACTTCATCCAGGAGGCTATGGTGGCGCCCATCATCCTGTTGATCGTCGTCTTCCATCTCTGGGGCACCCGTAAGAACCGACGCAAGGCCCGGGACTGGGCCCAGGCCCACGCATCCGCCCTCCACAGCGAGTTCGCGGTCGTCGGCTTCAACGGCGTCCGGAAGTCGGAGGTCACCTCGGAGCTGACTTCGCCGGAAGATTTGTTGAAAGAGAAGACGGCCCAGGAGTTCACCTCGTACGCCACTGGCCGCCAGAACGTGGCTTTCGTGGACATCGCGATCAAGCTGCCCAAGCGCTACAACCCCGTGACTTACTGGATGGATGTGGTCTTTGGTTTCCTGTTCGACAGCTGGCAGGCGCCGACCGAGACCTACGAGGCCGTTGCGTATACTTTTGATGGCAAGGAGAAGGACGTGGTTCCCGTTCCTGCTCAGGATACTTCCTCGTTGAAGGTCAACAACTCGGCCTACGATGGCTTCATCTGGGCCGTTGTGCACAAGAACCATATGCGCCAGTTCCGTCAGGATCGCTACGATGCTTCGATGACTTTCACCAAGGACAACGCCAAGCTTCCCCAATGGGCCACCGTGATGACTGAAAATGCCGAGATCACCGACGCACTTCTCACCCCGGAGTTGATCCAGGCTGTTGAGAAGGCCGGCGATGACTTCAAGTATCTTATTGTTACCGACCAGCCTACTGACCGGCCTTTGAAGTGAGTAATCTGCCTTTTTGCCTATGATGTTAGTCTAACCCTTCCCAGGATCGAGGAGACCACCCCTAGAAAGCGCATTCAAATTTGCGTGAGCCTTCCCTCCTCCGCTTCCGGGTATGCGTCAACGCTGCCCTTGTTCACCCAGTTCCTCCGCTTTGCCGATAAGCTTGTGGCGTCGGCTCACTTCCGCGCCGAGGTGATGCGTAAGGTCCGCAACGCCCGCGAGGAGGAAATCAAGAAGTTCCGTCGCATGGATGAAGAGGAGAAGGCCGAGGAGCGCAAGCTGGCTGCCGAGAAGATCAAGAAGGATGAGCGAGAGCGTATTTTGCGCGGCATGAGCGCCGACGAGCAGCGCAAGTTCCTTGACCGTGAGCGTGAGAAGGGACAGCGTCGGTCCATGAAGCGCTACACCAAGAAGGGTTAAACACGGTGTTCAAACCCAAAGTGAGAGAAAGAAGGATAAAGGAGCGGTGGTTTGAAAAGCGATTTGGCTTGTAATGCTGCGTCTGCATACCTTCATGTATCATGTATTCCTAATCTATTTGGTGAGTGTTAGGGGAGGTCAGGATGTTAATATTGCTTCTGTATTCTGCTCGAGAAAAGCAGAAAAACCGAATTGATGTCGTTGATCATTGTTATGGTTATGACCGTTCTAATGCGAGCATTGTATGAGGTGGTAGCAGAACTTTCCCTCAGAGGGACTCGGTTTCTCTCTTCCATCCCTCCTTCCTTCCTCACCGAATTGACTCCCACCTTGAACTTCATCTTTTCGAAATTGAACTGATTCCCAATCATTATGCTTTTATCAATGCACTCATTCTATTTAAGTCCCATTCGTACCCATCGCCATGGCGTCCACTCTTTTTTATCCCCTGTCTATCCTTACCCTGTTCACTCTCTTGACGTCTATTCTCGCCTCCCCAATGATGATCATGACCGTGCATCCTCCCAGGCACGCAACATCCAACGTCTCATTCGAGTCTGACATCCCAATATACGCAAAAGTATCCGCCACGGATATCCCCTTCCCTAGAATTCCCACCTACCAAAACAATAACTCGTCTACGCGCCCCAAGACTCCCCATCTACCAGGTCACACCCGGTATCGGAACGACACCACGACAGAAACAGTCCCAGTGGGCACGATGATCACGGACTGCGCTGTCCCCGGCACTATAGCTCTTACCTACGACGACGGGCCTTCTCACTACACGCCGAAGCTGCTAGACGTTCTTCTGGAATACGACGTCCGCGCTACGTTCTTTGTAAATGGCTATCATCTTCAACATGAAGAATACACGGAATACTTGAAGCGGGCTAGTGAGGAGGGTCATCAGATTGCATCTCATACGTATATCCCCTCCTCTCTATGTATAACTACGCTATCCACCTCCTTAGATCAACTTCACAACCATGAATTACATAACTAACATGACACTTCCACCCCCAGGTACGACCACCCTCAACTCCCCTCCCTCGACTACGATGGCATCTACGAGCAAATGACCCGCCTCAGCGCCAAAATCCGTGACATTACCGGCCGAGCGCCGACCTACATGCGGCCGCCTTATCTAGAAGTCAACGACCTGGTTCTCAGCGTCCTCGGCGACCTCGGATACCGGGTGATCTCAGCTAGCATTGACACGAAGGACTACAAGCATGACACGCCGTGGTTGATTGATCACAGTTACGAGCGGTTCGTCGAGGAATTGGAAGCCGGCGGGACGATCGTGCTGGCGCATGACACGCATCGACAGACGGTGGAGACGCTAACGAGGGAAATGCTGGAGGGGACGAAGTTGAGGGGGTTAAAGGGTATGTGTACTTTGCTCTTTCTTTTAACAATATTCATGGTCTGTAAATGAATGGAAAGAATTACTGACTGGTTCCTTGATAAGCCGTGACTGTGGGAGAATGCTTGGGGGAGTCAGAGCGTCTTTGGTATCGTTGATGGGCCCGATAGGGAGGTTTGGGTGTCAATTGAACATATATATCCTGATCGATATGCGGTGGGGGTCGGTTCTTTGTTATTATTGTTAGAGGGGCTTGGTTCGAGGTTTATTGTTACCCTGTCCGCTGGCTGACTCTGTATATGAATACGGTAGAGACACTTGGTTACCGAATAGTGGATCCTGAAATGGTGTTTGATTCACTCAGTAGAAAATCTGACATTAATCGTCCGGTCTTAACTTGACTTATTTGCCTGCTTGATACTGTGGGTTGGTATGCGAGTGATTTGGTTCTAGATTCCGGGGAGTCACTCATGGGTCTTGGTTTTGTAGTTCTGGTTTTGATATCTCAAAGTCAATCTAAACTGTTCGCCTCTTTTATTGGCTCAAGATACCAAGTATATAGGATAAGGTATTGCTCCTCTTTGATCCTGCTTGTCTAATCTAGACAGAATGATCACGTTATCTTTATTTCAGGATCTCCGTCAACATATGTAGTTATCGATTTATATATTGATATACGGGTTGTTCAAGGCCGTGTCCTCTAGCTTGTGAATATGCACAAGTATACAGTACTTCATGGCTCTCTGCTTATTTATGGATAATGGCAATTTAATGCGATTAAAAATATAGTTAACTAGGTGAGGATGATGGATTTTAGAACTCTAAACTAAGATGTTGAATTTTGAGCCGAACGTCTCTAGCTGGCATGGTATTTATGTATACTCGGCGAGAGATATTGAACCCATATTCTAGATAAACTGTCCTGTCTAATTAATTAATGCTGTATATATATCGAAATGAGGTTAATCTATTCCAAGACCTGGCTATATGCGATTTATTCAATCTATCAGTCTCATTTCTTTCCTTCCCTCCCCTTCCCCCTCAAATCACATTCCTAACGCCGATGTACAGTATATATAAAACCGAAAAAGCAAAGGCGAAAAAAAAGAGGCCGAGAGGAAAAACAAAAGCCTAAGCACTCGAAACCCCAAAACTCAACAAACTCCCCACCGTCAACCCGCCCACGAGCATCAACCCCATAAACCCACCCGTCGGCTCCCTCTCGTCCTCCTCGACCCAGTGACCTGCGCCCATCATACAGCAACTCCCTAGGTACCCGTTCGAGACACCGAATAGGAGCTGCACGACACCTAGATAGAAGAAATCGCTGGGGACCGCGGCGCCGCGGCCCCGGATGTTGCAGAGGAGGTAGAGCGGGATGAAGATTATGCGGGACAGGGAGAGGAGGAAGAGGGACCAGGGGCGGTGGGCGAGGGAGAGGGAGGGAATGAGCACGGCCATGCGGCCGGCGAGGTCGCCGATATTCCAGAAGAGGAAGGCGAGGGGGATGAAGACCGGGGGGTCGAAGATGCGGGAGCGAGTGGCTGGGTCGGAATGTACGGATTCGATCTCTGAGGTGAAGACGGGGAAGGTCATTGTTATGGCGTAGCAGAGGAAGATGGAGAGGGCCATGAGGCGGAGCTTTTTGAAGAGGGTGAGGAGGCTGATTGTTTTGGTGGGGTGGTCATTGTCACTGTGGTTGTCGTTGTCGTTGATGTCTGGGGAAGCTGTATGGGTTTGGTAGTCGGTTTGGAAGATGTCGGGGGTCAATGGGGAGGTGGAGGAGCGGCGTTTGACTAGAGAGAGGAAGGCGAGGAGAGCTGAGAAGGAGACCAGGGTGGCGGTGATGAAGTAGGCGAAGGCGGATATGGACGATTCCTGCGGTACCTCTTCCGGCTGGTCGGCCTTTCTCTGCGGCATCACGATGACGGAGAGGATCTGAACAATACACGGGAGAACGCCCGCAACGCCCTGTCCGGCCATGATAGCCTGGGTATACTCCTCCCTGCCGAATCCGGAGACATAGGCGAACACGCCGTTCTGGTTGATTCCCGTAGCCAGACTCGCCCCGAAGACCATGACCATGAGGAAGCCGAAGTAGGTGCTCACGGAGACATGTTTCGCGATGATGGTGGAGAACGCCAGCAAGGTGAACACGGCGATATTGATGAGCAGCGAGATGCTGATTCGTCTCGGGTAGGAGGCATCCTTCTGAAGCTTTGCGAGGATAAACACCGAGCCCAGGTTCGTGATAGTGGACACGGTCAGGATGGAGGATTGGTAGTGGGTAGCAGCCCAGTCGTCCGATTGGAATCGATGATAGAAGTATGGGGCAGCGGCAAGGAACATGTTCCTGATAAAGAAGGAGACGTTAGGAAGTGATACAAGGATGAAGCATGGTTGAAGCTCCGGACTTACCACGCCCACAGCATCGAGACCCCCAATAGGAAGAATACAGCATATTCAAACCGGGAGAAGCGAGGGCCTAGCTGACGCTCTGAGGAGATAGACTGGTGATCCTCGTCATCGGGGTTGAGCGGTTGCTGGATAGGCTCATACTCCGGGGGAGGAGAAGCTGCCCATTTCCGGATGCGATCCATAATTGAGGATGTAAAGTTAATATAGAGTTCAAGTCCCCTTTGGGTAGAAGACAAGGGACCTTGGAGTTGAGGAAATCAGGCCATCATTGAAAATCGATGGAGGGCAAGTGACGTTGTCGCGAGGAGGTCAAGTCATCTGAGGCCGATAAGACAAGACGAGCAGGGATCGCCAAGCCGCGGGTGGGTCACATGAATCATCGTTATCGGGACTATATCTTCACATTCCTAAGGGGAACGGAGTACGAGGACACATTCCGGTCTGGCTTGAAACTGCGTATAGTCAAGTGGAGATTAATTTATTATTTCTCTATACCACTCCTCATCCTGATCATCAAATCCCATCAGAGAGGCGATGGTCCGGTGATTGCTAGATACATCAAACATAAAGTGTATAAGGCACAGAATGGAAGATCGGTATACTCTACAGTGCCAGCGTCCTCCAAAAGATAAAAAAAAGAGCTAAGAAAAATATCAAGGTCAACAAAAAGCAATCGACCATAGAATCCCAATCAGATGGGTATGTGCATGGAGTCGGACTCGAAAGAAAGCCAGTCTCTAACAAGCCTATTACTCGTTCTTCGATTGCTTGGTAACCGCTTCATCTGCATCCTCGTCCTCTTCCTTCTCCAGATTCCACAGTTTCTCCTCGGTTTCCGGACTGACGGGAGCATTCTGGGGCGGATGTGTCGCATCCCCGCCGCTCATTTGCCATTCCATTAATTTGGTGAAGGCACCGTCGGGGCGGGAGCTCAATTCTTCATACGTGCCATGCTCCGCCACACGTCCGTCCGGACTGAGGACGATGATGGTGTCGGATCGTTTGATCGTAGAAAGTCGGTGAGCAATGCTGATTGTGGTGTTGTTGCCGCGCAGGAGAGCAGCAAGGGCGCTGTTGACGAGAGTCTCGGACTCGGCGTCAAGCGCGGACGTGGCTTCGTCGAGAATCAAGATATCCGGATCCTTAATCAGGGCACGGGCAATCGCAATTCGTTGCTTCTGGCCGCCAGAAAGTTGGGCTCCTCGAGCACCCACTTGAGTGTCAAGTCCATCCGGCTACATCGCTTGTTAGCTTGGAATATGAGAACAGGGATACGGACACACTTACGAAATCACTGATGAACTGACAGTTGGCCTTCCGGGCAGCTGCAATGATCTCCGACTTGGTTGCTCTGGGGCTGCCGTAGGAAATATTGTCGGCAATCGACCCGGAGAAAAGAACAGGCTCTTGTGAGACGACACCAATCTTTCGTCTAAGAGACTTGGCGTTCATCTGACCGATGTCCTTTCCATCGATGAAAACCTTACCCTCGGTAGGGTTGTAGAACCGGAGTAGAATGGAAGCGATGGTCGATTTGCCACCTCCCGAAGGACCAACAATGGCAACGTTGGTGCCCTGAGGGATCACGAAATCCAGGTCCCTGAAGATAGGCACGGCCGGTCGGGTCGGGTAGCTGAAGGAAACATTCTCGAAGCGAATAGGGCCACGGGCCGACTCGACCTTGATGCCCTTGGTGGGGGAAATAGTAGGTTCACGGTCCTGCAGCTCGAACAGTCGACTGGCGGCACCGACTCCTTTCATTAATTCGGAGTAGAAGCTGGACAGGCCAAACATGCTTGAGCCGGCGTAGGCAGTGTACATCAAGAATGATGTCAACTCTCCAATGCTGATAGCGCCGCTTCCAACCATTCCGCCTCCGACGTAGAGAAGCGCGAGTATTGTCATGTTGCCCATGAATCCGGTCTATGTATGTCAGTACGTTCATTCACCAGTTCCAAGAGTCAGGAAACATACAGAACTGAAGAAAGTAGCGCTGATCACTGATTCCTTCTTACCGAGGTCGAAGATCTTGCGCACTTGAGTGTTGTAACGATTAACCTCAAGAACTTCTCCGGCGAAAGACTGACTCGTCTTCACATTGCCCAAGCGTTCCTCGGCGATCTTGGTCAGATTTCCCAGGTTTCTCTGAATCTGGCGACTCAGGTTCCGGATCGCTCTTCCGTAAAAGAAAGCACCAAGACCAATCGGAGGGAGCAGTATAGCTAAGATGCTGGACAGTTTGAGACTGACATATGCCATCAAGCCAAATCCTGCCGCACCACTGACACCTGCCCGCAGACCGTCCGACAGGTTTTGCGTGATACTCTTACCCACGATGATGGTATCGGAGCTCAGGCGAGAGATCAGGTCACCGACTCGGTTGGCGTCAAAGAACTCGGCGTCCTGGATGAACGTCTGCCGGAAGAGTTTCGAGCGAAGTCTGGCAACGATGCGTTCACCAACAATGCGCAGAATGATAATTCGTCCATAGTTCGCGGCAGCGCCCAGTGTAAGAATACCGGCCAGAGCGCCGTAAAACATCGGAACGCTCAGTCCAAAAAGCTCGGTAGCGCCGCCTTCGGAGGACTTCGTTGCCGCATCCATGATCTTTCCGATGGAAAACGGGATCGACATCGTGATGGACGAAGACACCAGCAGGAATAGAAACGCCAATCCTAGCTTCCTAGCCTCGGGTCGCGCAATAGACAGCAGTCTCCAGATCTCGGAGAAACCAGACTTCTTTCCAGAAGCTCCATCTTTGGCGAGTTTTGCCCGAAGGTTGACCTGAGCCGCTTGCGCTGCCCTTTCCGATAGTTCAAACCCTTGCTCGGCTTCCTCGTCTTCTTTGTCTTTGTTGGTTTTCTGGTTTGCTTGCGGGGTGTCCGTCGTTTGCGCGGTCGTCTTGTTTTCTAGGGAGCGTGAGGTGGAGGAAAGGAATCGTGAATTCTGCAGGAACCGCGACTGAAGCCTGAAATTGGCGTAGAGGAAGTTCGAAAGACCAGCAGGCTGACGGATGCCGTTGGTATTACCCTTGCGAAACGGGGTGGAGAAGCTGGAGAACGAGCGATTGAGACCACGAGCACCAAACGCAGGCGCCGAGGCGTTGGCTCCAGGGTAGAGATCGTTCAAGACACAGGTCCTCGGTTGGACGAATGGCCTTGAAGCTACCCCTGGAGCCCAAGAAGTAAGCACCCTGACTCCGCGCATTGCGGAATTAAAGATGCGGAATCGGCCGGCTGTTCAGAAGGAGGTCACGGGGTATAACGCATTGCCATATCTCACTGAACGAGCTAAGAGATGAGAGTATTCATGTCCGTAGACACCGGAAGGTATTCGGGGGAAGAGAAGAGTAGCGCGGCAGGGGAAGGAGAAATGACCGGAGCGAGAAGCGAGTGACGCTTGGGAAGACTTGGGAAGCATTAGCCAAATCCGATAATCGCCGCGTCCGACGGGCTTCGGGAAAGGTTCTGCCTAGGGTCACCGCCTGCCCGGGTGCTCCGCTGGCATCCAAGGCGATCCATAGCTTTCGATGTGTTGCTGCAGTGAAGAACATAGTGCTGGGACTAGCTCGTTTCTTTGATTTGGTGGTGACATTTATCTCGAGCGGTTCACTTCACATACCTGTTTCTCCCTCTGTGAATATACCTACCCCTCCATCCACCAACTCAAGGATCTGATCCTTTATTGTTTAGAACCCCACTTCTACTGCCCCTCTTATAAGCAACAGCCTTTTCTGTGCCCCAAGATGGTGCTCGATTACAGCAAATGGGACGCTTTGGAGCTGTCCGATGACTCCGACATCGAAGTCCACCCTAATGTCGACAAGCGCTCGTTCATTCAGGCCAAGCAGAACCAGATCCACCAGCAGCGGGTGCATCGCCGTTATGAAATCGAGACCCTGAAATACGAACGGATCATCAACGATGGACTCCTTTCGCGCATCAATAAACTCCTCGCGATCCTGCGGGAGAACCAAGGCTCAAATACCCCCGAGGAATTCGTGTTCCAAGTCCTCATGGAGAGCGCATCAAACCCCGCCGAGGATTCGCCCCCCGAGGCACCGGAAGGTGTCCACACGCAGGTCAAGGAGCAGCCGAAATACTCTCAGATGATGAGCTCCCTGGTAGACCAAGTCAAGCAGGAGATCGGCGATGTCAGCACGGAGGAAAAGACCAAGGCGTACATCAAAGGGGTGCAGGGACACAAGGACAAGGTGCAAGGACTGCAGAAGGAACTTTTGGAAAAGCTCGCTCAGCTCGAGAAGGAGGAGAGCAGCAAAATCACGAGTGACCAGCTGCACACTGGATTCGACACATCTCATATCGCCAAGGTCGAGGCCGACAAGGCCAAAGCGGGTCAGTCAGAATCCGTTGAGCTTCTGAATCCGGCAGCAGGAAGCCAAGCCTCATCGCAGAAGCCTGGCGCCGATGACGACGAGGAAGAGGATCCAGAGAACATGAAGGCTAGCGATCTCGCCAAGCGGTTCGCGAAGATCAGCCGTAGCGACTACCGCGCCTTGCAGCAATTCATCGGCGAAAACCCACAAATTGTCGCAGAGAAAGAAACCGACGGTCTCTTGGTTGAGGCTTTCAATAGTCAAATGGCCGGAAAAGATGACCATGCTCGTCAGTGCGTTCACCAAGGACTGCTGCTCCAATACTGCCGCTCTCTGGGCCGCGACGGAATCTCCCTGTTCTTTAAGCGGTATGCACCCATCACCACCCCTTCTCACTAGAACGGAGACTAACATGAGCTTTTTGTAGTATCACTACTAAGGATCACCAAGCGTCAACACTCTTCCAGAAAGACGTCACTGAAACCTACCAAAGAATCAAGACCCGCGCCGCAGAGCTCGCGAAGGATAGCTCCGCCTCTAACGACCCTGCCGGCGTGGAACAAATCCAGCTTCATGCTGTGGATCCTAACACGAAGATTACAATTAACATCCCTGCTGCTGACAGCACGGAGCAAATCGAGATCGAGGCCCGCAAGGTGTTTGACTCCTTCTCCGAAGATCTACAGAAGGCCCTGGCCTCGGAGTCTCTGGATGAGGTCAACAAGGTGCTCGGAAAGATGAGCGTGCCGGACGCCGAAGATCTTATCGAGAAGCTCGGAGACAGCGGCATGCTTAGTCTGGAGGAAGGAATCGTCGATGCGACCACGGAAGAGGGCAAAAAGAAGCTAGAGGAACTCGAGGCTGAGGGCAGAAGGGAAAAGAAAGAAGAGATAGGCGAGCCCGGAGGTGATGTTGCCGAGCTGGACTAAATCTGCGGATTGCTGTATAGTTCTGCCGGCTTGGTTTCAAGGACACAATAACCCGACAACCGTTTATCGAATTACCCCAAAATTGTCGTATTTAGGGGATTCTATATTTTGTACAATCCTCGCGTTCATGAACAAGCGTCATGTTCTATAATTCCGAATTTGCGTATACAGACCGATCTGCAAGTTCTACTTAACTATATTGACAAGATGACTGATGATCAAAACAACCTGTATGCGTTATTTACCTACATAGATTAAGAAAGAAAGCGTTTAAGATAAGAAGACAAGGGTGGCAGAATAATAAGCTAAAACAGAAAGAAAGGGTGTAAGAAAATCATGCGCAACAAAATACGGGCCAATTCGAGAGGACATGTCAAGCACCTGAAGGTAGATAGAGGGGATAAGTGGAATAGCGGCAAGGTAGTCATGATAGAGGCGCTGGGATGCAGTGATATCGAGGAAAGTGAGGAAGACTCTCATGGGGTGTTAAGACACTCCTTCCCTAAGCTCGACCCATATCTTGAAGGGAGGGTTGCTGGTTTTGAGTCGATCTCACGATCTAGACCCCACTGACACCGGGGGCCTTCTCGTCTTTCTTCAAATCGAGCAGCAGTTCACGGAAACGCTCCTTGCCAGATCCACTGGCACCGCCCTTGGTCCCCTTTCCAGAAATGTCAACCAATTTCGCAATGCGCTCCCAGCTGGTGCCGCCAGAAGAGGTGTCCTCCCGGTTGGACAGGAATTGTTCGGCCTCGGCCTTCGTCTGCGCACGGAGCTTGTCGGTCTTGTTGTTGTAAGAGACGTAAAAGTCGTCGATGTCTTCTCTGGCCTTCTGGACGGTCGACTGCTTCTTCTCCTCCGAGATCTCGGCACGGCGGGTGATTTCCGCATCACGCTTCTCGCGCCATTCCCTAGTACAAAGCTCAGCGTTAGAGAGCGCGGATTGTTTGGACATCGAATAAGGAATTGGCGCATGGGGTGAATTGCGACATATCGTAGAGTACATACCTGACGGGTTCAGGTTCCTCCTGAGGTTCTTGGTAGCTAGAGTAGCCGGTGGGCGGGAAGGGAGCACCAGTTCCAGTGATGGTACCGCCAGGTGCAACTTGCTGTTCGGAAAAGGGGGGATCACATTAGTGAGTGTGTCCTTGTTCTTGACAGGTAGATCGTACCTCGTTCTGTGTCTCAAGAGCAGGGAACGACGATTCGAACCCTGACATCTCCTCGTGAGAAGGGCTGCCAGTCGGAGCAGCCTCCGCACCGCCCAGCAAATCGTCATCGTCATTCTCGGCAACGTGGTCCTGCGAGGTAGCGAACTGTTCGGCATCGTCGCCCAGCATCGCCCGCTCGCGGGCTAGGAAGTCATTCTCGTCGGCGCCGCCGTTGGTGTCAACAACTTCGGTTTGACCTGCACGCCGATTAGTATCCCGGGAGAAGGTGCAGTAGTGAATGCGGGTTGCTAACCCGCAGAGAAATCCTCCAGAGAGGGGAAACGGTCGGCCATGATGGATGAAGTATGGTTGTGGAAGAGAGTAGTAGTATCGGTGGTCAATCGCGAAAGAATTCCGGATCAATGGGATGAGAAAGGAGACCTGACGGGAATGTGAGGCTCCAGCTGGCGTCAAGATGAGGGTTGCCGGACGGAGCGATGAATGGGGGAGACCGCCGGGGGTGACGGATTCTGCCGACCCGGGCGGTGAGCAAGCTTAGGACAAAGGTGCGACGAGTCCAGCTTCACTGCCTGTCTCGACAAGTCACTGTAAGTTTGTCCACAGGCTCTATTGATCTGGTCTTGAATCAATAGAGTGCTCATAGAATCATTTATCAGACTTTCACCCGAGAAGACTCTCTGAAATCTCGTAAGCGATTGTCGCAACAGCACACAGGTTTCGTGTTGGCTCTACTCGCAGAGCTACTTCTCTTAGAAGCCTCACTTCTAGTTTACTTCAGAGAGATCATCCATCTGATTGTCGCTCATTCATCAAAATACAATGGCCTATACCGATGATGCTGTCAAGGCAAAGCTCTCCGCGCTCAATGAGACGCAGGAGGGCATTGTGACTGTTGCGCAATGGGTCATGTTTCACAGGTAACCCAATCGCTGTCTACATGTTCTAAGTGACAGAAAGATGCTAATGTCTGGCCAACTAATAGACGACACGCCGATCGAACCGCCCAACTTTGGTTGCAGAAACTCCGTGATTCACCTGCCCCGAAACGATTGAATTTGGTCTATCTTGCCAACGGTACCGCTTGATCCGGCGTTCGAGTTTGATTCGGAGTTGACAATATATCTAGAGGTTGCGCAACAATCGAGAGCACGACGGAAGGATGATTTCCTTATTGCCTTCTCCCCGGTTGGTGATATCCTCTACTGGGCAAACAGAATTAAGCTAATGGGGCCAAGGTCATCGCCGAGGCTGTGGCTACCGCATACAAAGGTGCTTCGAACGACATCCAAACAAAGCTCCGGAGGGTGGTAGAGGTGTGGAGACAAAGATCAATCTTTGAACTGCCTATTCAGGAGGCTGTAGAATCACGGGTGGACGGTATGTGCTTGCCATATGCGATCAAAGGACTATGCTCATCATGCGATAGAAATTGATAAGACTCGCTCTACTGGCAAAAAGCCCCCTCTGGGAGGCTCGCTGTTTTCTGGGCCTTCTGGCTCAGCCACCCCCTCGGAGCTCCAGCCTCTTGTTCCTCTGCAGGTGGCCCTGTCTAAAAACACCGTGGCCTCCGGCGCATCTGCTACAACCGCAAACGCAGAATACGAGAAGCTGAATGATCCTAATACACCACTCCCGACACCCCCGGTGCACGCTGCTCGCCTTAGTCAATTGCTGAAGGCACTTGCGAACGCCGAGAGCTCGGTATCTGAGGTCATCAAGTCGCGGACTGCTTTAATTGACGGCCTCGAGAAACTCCTGGAGACAAACCGTTCAGCCCTGTCGAAGGAGCAATCCTTGGCCGTTCAGCTTTCTGAGAGAAAATCGGAAACCGAAGCAAAGAAAAGAGATGTAGAGGACGGAATCATGAGAGGACTATCTGCTGAGAATTCGCCCGCTGCTAACCTCGGCGACGCTGGGCTTGGAAGCGAGGCAGTTCCTCGACCGGAGGTTGAAGCTCTGACCCCTCCACCCGTGGAAGCTATTACTCCTGTCGGATCTCCCAAGGGACAGCAGGAGGCCAGTCTTCCTGGTACATCTCTTGATCCTCAGGAACCAGCAGGATTCACCCTAGGGGGCTTTACATATCCCCCCACAGGGTCTTCTTTGCCCGGCACCGACCTGTCTTCAGCTTATACTGACCCCCAGGATCCTAACGGATTCTACGCCAAAAAGCGAAAAGTTGATCACGGCGAGGAAGATTACAGCAAGTTTGCCAGCGGCGAGCTTGATGCTGATGTTGCTGAGCTGTTGCAGCAGGAAAGTGGAGCGCCGCAGCAGTAGAACAGCCTAGATCCATTGCAATTCTTGCGGGGACTATTGTTAGTATCGGAACGGTGTCTCTTGATTATTAATTGATTTTTCTTTGAGATTTTTCTTTGAGAATTCTCTTTGTCTTTTCGTTGCCTTTTTGCTTGCAATTTCTGTCTTGCATGTATTCGTTCTACTGAGCGACCTTGGTATTTGCGCTATTGATGTTAATTATAACCCTTCACTGTCTTATGGACTTGGTGCATGGTTTACACGGCATTTGCTTGGTGAATATCTAAAAATCAGGTGACAGTATTTCATGCATGCACAACCATCTACAACCCAAGCACGTACGGTCCATTGAATCCAATAGGAAACTACATAAACTGCATCAATGACATGCAACTACAAGTCTATATAGTCTAGTGATGCTAATCAGCTCTTGATTCCGCTAAATTAAAACTACTATCATGGTATCTGAAACAAAAAGCGCCAAAGTTTATCGATATATGCCCGGTCCTTCCCATTTTTTCCGCAGGGAGCGGTCCAATGTCGGACGCCTCTTCCGGCGGTAAACGAGTTCGAAATTTCGGGGCACAGCGTCGGGTGCTGGCTCGTTTGATTGGGGCGGCGGCGGCGAAGACGGAGGAGCAGGCGGGGGCTCTTGAGGGGACGAGCCGCTGTTCTTAGGCTTCACGAGCAGCAGAATGAACATGCCAGCGACGAGAATGACCAGTAAAAGCATGATTTTGCGTTTGATGGTACGTCGTTGGTAATTCCCGGCCTGGAGGAGCGGGGTGTTAGTTTAGCATTTTGGCGGAATTCAATAGCCACAGGGATAGACGGGAGAGGATGGAGGCTTGAGAAGAGACGTACCACTTTCAGCTCCTTATCGGCGGCTTTGACTTCCGTGCCCATCTTTTCCACGTTGTAGTCTATCCGGTCCAGCATGGTCCCCTGATCGATGACCATTGTTTGCAGTTCGCGGAAGATGTCTGATAGTTCGATGATGCCCTTGGCGATGTCGTTGATTTCTCGCTCCCGCTGCTCTATCGCAGCGTCATTCTCGCCCGTAAGTCGTTGCGACGTTTGCATGAGAGTCGATTGCGAGAAGGATTTGTCCGCGTCGGATTCCATCAACGAGGGGTCTGTGTAGGGGTTCTGTGGTGTAGGCGCGCGTTCAAATGGTGAAGGACCGACTTCTAATCCTCGTAGTTCTACAACGCAAATGTCCAAGTCAGCACACGACATGTCTAAAGGGGCGGGGAAGAAGGAAGGAAGGACCGCTCACTCTTTAGATAAGTACTCTGCTTCTTCCTAAACCTCGCACTCGCATCCTGCACCCTTGACGCCAGCGAGATCTGAATATTCTTCGCCATGGTCTCATCTCCATTACTGACACTACCCTGTTGTTTCGCCTCGCGCACCATCGTCTCGATTTTCTGAACGGCTTTCTGGCAGTCGTGGAAAGCTCGCGTGATGCCCTGCGTGAAGCGCTCGATGACCGCCTCTTCCTGCCGGCGCGCATCCTCGTCTCCGAACCCCGGAAGAAGATGTTTCTGGTGCAGCTTGTCGAGGTGTGCCGACTTCTGCGCAATGTCCGCCAGCAATTCCGTCACCTCTTCCTGTATGTCAACCCAGCGCGGGGGCAGCACGTCCATTTCAATCACGGCGTCGCCATCGTCGTCGAAGCCCGTCGTATCCCCGATCAGCCTCCTACTTTCCTCCGCGTGCGACGGCGTGTCGGAGAAGCCATTGGTCGAGCCGATATACCGTGGCTTCTTGGCCGGGTGGTGCGTGAATGATTGCCGGTAGGAGATGTATCTGGGGAACGGGGCGATATGAGTTAGCTTCCGACCGGCCCATAGCCTCAGAGACTCCGTCCCAAGGACAGAGTCAAATTGAACGGAGATACGTACAGATTCGTTCGGTCTCGCCACATGATGGAAGACAAATAAGCAGCGGTGCTAAGAAGCCGGGGTGATCTTGACGGTTGTCCTTTTTAGACTGCCTGGATCATCTCGGGGGGGCAGCTTCCGAGCCGAGACCAGTCAGGAGCCAGATGTGGATGGATTCAAGGTAATAGTGAGATCAGCATGAACACTAGAGACGGTCGGGTGTAGTTCGATTGGCATATAGAGCATAGAGACTCGTCGCTATACAAGGACCTCTACTATGTGCCTTCCGCATGATCTCCGAGGACGGCCCACGTGAAGGGGAGACGGCGCCAGTCCCGTTTGGGCCAAGCGCAGTCTGTCCTCCGTAATTCTACGGTCTGGTATGGTCACTTTGGTATTTCTACATTTCTCCAGAAGAAACCGACTAAATACTATCTCGATTGTATAACTGTCGGGCTGAAGACCTCGTGTCGAATAAACTCGACTTTCTTTGCATGTCCTTCTGAAGAAAACTGGACTGATGCGGTATTGCAGATGGAGTACTTCAACGGGTACATGCTCTATAATAGACATCATACTACAGTGCCTGGATGCCAGCTGGTCTTGCCTTGCTGCAGGACGTACAGCCAGGCTCAGCTGGACCAAGATACCAATTTCTGCAAGATACTGTATATCTTAAATCGACTGGTTCCTGGGATTTGCCTTTTCAGCCTTACCCCTCGGCCTTGTCATGCTAATGCTTTACTTCCCCGAACGAATACTTGCTGCCTTCGCTAACCAGTAGTTCCTGTCTACTCTTGATTACCGGGATCCACGACGCGTAATCCATAATTAGAAGCAAGTAGTTGACTTAAAAGACACTAGTGACAGTAGTGACGGTAGTTAGAGGCGTTAACGAAGGCTGGTCGAACGAATTTTCCAGAGATTGGGGAGTAGCAGGCGTAAACATTAATCTTTCACTAACGGGCTGAGCTGAATCGCCCGGCGGGTCACGTTTCAGGCATCCGCGGGCGGGCTGCCTGAGGACAGGGCGATGAGTGCAGCAGGCAGGTCGTCAGTTACACTAGTTTGGGTCGGCTTCCCCTTAAACAACACTCGCTCTTCCCTTCTCCTCCCCCACTAACTTAAACCCATCGGCTTCTGTCTTGCACCACCACCACTAATCCCCCATTCCTATCCTTTGCCGTTTCTTCTCTCTTCGCTCATCTTCACAGATTCATCATGGTATGACGTTCCCTTGCCTGCCCCCTTCTCGCTCCCATATTTTGCCCAGGCGCGTGGGAAAATCCCCCCCGCCTTGCGGGGCATGGTCTAGCCGACATTCTGCTGAGCTGAATTGCTGACATCGCATTTGCCCAGGCCGACTCTTTGACTGAAGAGCAGGTCTCCGAGTACAAGGAGGCCTTCTCCCTGTTCGTAAGTGGTCCATTCTTCCTGATGTAATGATGGGGAAAACGAAGCGATCGTGCTTTGTTTTTGACCCCCTCAGCCTTATGGGAACATTTCCAGCTCACATGAGATTTTGCCTCTTCACAGGACAAGGATGGCGATGGTTAGTGCTATTCCGGTTTCCCTCCCAGTTCATCAGCCTCACGCGACCGGTTCTTTTCCGTCGACATGGAATTTTTTTTTTTCACGCTGTTGCTCCCGGCGACCGATTCGCAACCAGGACGCTAATCTGTGAATTCACGCTGCAGGCCAGATCACCACCAAGGAGTTGGGCACTGTCATGCGCTCGCTGGGCCAGAACCCCTCCGAGTCTGAGTTGCAGGACATGATCAACGAGGTTGACGCCGACAACAACGGCACCATTGATTTCCCCGGTATGCGATGATGGACACACCGATACCCGGAAGAGGAAGCGATCCTGGAAACCCAGCTGCTAACCTCATGCAGAGTTCCTGACGATGATGGCCCGAAAGATGAAGGATACCGATTCTGAGGAGGAAATCCGGGAAGCTTTCAAGGTCTTCGATCGCGATAACAACGGCTTCATCTCGGCCGCGGAGCTGCGTCACGTCATGACCTCCATCGGTGAGAAGCTCACCGACGACGAGGTCGACGAGATGATTCGCGAGGCGGACCAGGATGGCGACGGCCGGATTGACTGTACGTTGTGACCTTTGCATGTTCTTTTCTGAACCCAACTAATTAAATCCTCCAGACAACGAGTTCGTCCAATTGATGATGCAAAAATAAACGTATTTCTTTTTGTCTATTTCGTGCATTGATAGTGAAAGGGGGGAGAGGTGGGGGCCAAGAAATTACATTCCATCACGTCTCATCTCATTCTTGTGCCGTTGTCTGTAGTCCTGGTCTCTTGACTGCAGAATACCCTGCGGCTGTACGGGCTATGCGTAGCCTTGTTGATATTCCCCGGGGAAGAGTAGAGTGGGATGGACCTTAGACTTGTGAGCCGAGTGGGTTGAGAAGATGTTTGGGTGTCAGCTTTAACCAGATGAAGACCAGACCATTTCTTGACATGCTCGAGCTCTACTGTTTCTTGGCTTTGTTATTTCTTTTATTGTCACCATCTTTTCCCATCGTCTTTGATCATTGTCCATATCTCATCACTTCGCGTTACCCTTGTGTCTTTAGCCCATCAATGATTACTCGTAGCTTTGGCTGCACCTGATGACATTACCTAGTCTTTGAAGGCCGTGATGGTTAGATTTCTGGCATATTCTATCCAAAATCGATGACTTGCTCCAAACCCGTAAACAAAACACCGCCCAACAACAACATCCAATCCCAAGGTACCAAGGCATGTGTAAATATCACCGATTAAACCTGAAAATCTCCATGAACTGTCTGGCCACATCCACGCCCGCCTCGGGATCCGGGTCTTCATCCTTCTCCCCATGGCTCGACACCGGCCTGCCCTGCTTCAACTTCCTCAACATCCCCTTCACCTCCTTCCCCACATCTGGCAGTAGAATCGCCTCCCTAGCCCCTTCGATCCCCAACTTCGCCCAGAACTCACGGATCAGCGCCGTCGTCGCCACATAGTCAGCGTCGATATCTGCCTCCTCGATGCCCTCCGCGAACAGCAGCTCAATCGCAGAATCGGAGTCGTTACCAGAGTCGGAACCCCGTTGACCAGAAGCAGCAGCAGCATGACCTCCCATCCTCGCCTCCGCAGAAGAAGCTTTCGCCTTCTGCATCTGCATCGCAATCGATCTCACCAACGACGGACCCCGCCACTCGATCTCGACCACCGCGCCACGCACCCGCGCAGTAGGGACCGTCTGCCGCACATCGCCCACCCGGACCCGGTAATCGCCGACATCGTACACCGCGCCCCCGGGCACCGTCACGCTATGTCGATGGCACCAGAGCGGCTGCGCAGCGTACATGAAATGCTGAAATAAGGTGCCGCTGGAGGGCAGCGGTACGGTCGTCATGATCATCGGCTGTTGTTGGGGTTGTCCTGCGCCTGGAGATCCTACGGCGCCTTGTGCTGGTGTCGGCGTCTGCGCGGATATCCCCTGGCCTGTAGCGCTCGCGTTCGAGTTCTCAGGCACCGAGGTATAAATGAACCCGTGATTCTGGTGATACGAAAGAGATAGGAACTGCATGTACCGTGGGACGAGAGCTGCTCTTGAGGCGGATGCAGGGAGACATGAGGGCGTGTCGCGCATGAGCTTGTGCTCGAGGGCCCAGCGGCCGATGGGCACCGGGTCGTCTGCTAGAGAGGTGTGCAGACGGTCGGTGATTGTGGCTAGAGCCGTGGGGGCGTTGGGGTTAGAGGGGACGAAGAAGATGCTGTTGGCGTTGTTAATAAAATGGAATATCTAGTTTGATTGGACGGGTGGGACATGTGTATGATATGCTGATATGCATGTGAGTAGGGGGGGAAGGGAAAGAAGGGGGGCAAGTACCCTGTGATAGACATGATGGGTGGATGTCTTGGTGCTCAGTAGTTAGAGTAGATTGACGGTTAGGATGTGATGATAGCTAGTTATTGCTACTTTGGCTAGGTGGTAGTTGGTGTGGATGGTGAGACAAATGGTTGAAGAAAGCGGATGAAAGAGATGGCTTGACGGGATGGGTATCGGAGACAAAGCGGGATATGACAGCGCAGAAAGAGCAAAGATTGACAGGTTCATTCGAAGTGCAGCATCTAGAGTAGATCAAGATGGCAGGAGGAACCAGTAGATCTATATTACCAGGTTAGTACATGTACATAGTCTTCGTCATGTGAATGCACAAAGCAAAGAATGGATCAGAGTACGATGATTGAATACCTTTGTCAATGGAAAGAGTAAGTGATTCACAGTCACAACCCCTCAGATATTGATCTAAACAATAGGAATACTGATCCAAGCTGGTGTTCCTCGTCCGCTCCGATGAACGCCTTCAGCTGCATTTGGCAACGTTCGAGGCCGGAGTCCGTTCTGCCTGAGGCTGTCGACACCTGAGGCCACCACGACCGGGACAAACACGACAAACGTGCCAAACATGCCAAACGGCCAAGAGGCTAAGCACCAGGCCAACTCCTCTGATCTCCACCGGCCAAACGCCTCCTCATTTCTGGCCCATCCTGCCCCGGTCTGGCCCAGGATCCATTGCATCTCCATTCAGATTTCGGACTCAATGGCATGTGAGACACTCAGTAATAACACCACCTGTTTCTGGATCACAGCATCCCACGTATAATTAATTCTGCTCGACACATCAGATCGCCCTCCCTTGTGGAGGCGTACGTACGCCCAAGTGCCCTGAGAATCGCCAAGACGCGGGACGAATTTAAAGGCTGAGACCAAACCAGGGGGCGGCTTGAGCCTGTCAACACTCAGCAGAATAATGGTAAAGAATAGCAGAAACAAACCCCACTAACCAGTCAGCAGTCGGATTAATCTTTCATCTCTTAGATCCCTTCCCCCCCAAAAAAAGACTCTAAGGGTCTCAGGGACCACATGCTTACGCAATGGGCGGCCCCAGTTCCATGTCATTTGCTTAGCGGATGGCACTCCTTTACTGACTCTGGCAACACACTCAGCCACGCTAGGAATCTTACGAGCTTGTGCAGTGCCTATCATTGCCTAGAACGCGCAAGTGATGGCCAGGCCTTCGACATACAAAATACCACACCCATGCTCACTTGCCAATCAATGCGAAGGAAAACAAGGGTCAACTCGATGGTGATCACTGGGGCCATTTCACCTGGTCGGCTTTGGCCGCAGGATTTTGTTTAGTTGTCGTCGTCGTATTCTTTCAGGAAGTGATGTCTTGAAGCCACTCGTCCCGGTGGTCGTCCCTCTTTTTTCTCCTCTCCTTCTCCCCCTTGATGTTAAGGGTTGATGGTTTGAAGAAATTCGACACGTTCTCTAAACCTGATACTATTATCTGTCCAGCTTCAGAAGGTTCAAAGGAACTTCTGTTGTTTTAATTGAAATGACCTGCGCTCCTTAGATGTCATCATTCTTTTTCTAGACTATTACCGAGGGCTGTTAATGTCCTGTTCTCACTCTTTTTCTTTGTTATTCCCTATCGCATACTATTCATAACCCAATCTTTGATCTACTTGATAAATCGGATATCTCTATTTCTCTGTCCGGCAACATGGTACTAGGCCGACGGAGCTACATTGTCCCTACATTCTTTCTTATCGCCTTTACCTATGTATTTATCTCAAGTCTGCCGCAGCGCGAGCACTCTATCCATTCTCACAACCCGCCTCAAACCCCGCCAAAGTCGTTGAAAGAGGATGGTCGCATCCATTGGACGAAACAACCCGAGAAATGGCCGGTTTCAGAATACATGCCTCTTCCGACGGGAGCTCCGTCGCCCATCCCGCAAATCCAACATAATTTCCCCAAGGAGTCGTGGTTTGGTCGCTGGAAGCGAGTGAAGCGGCAGAATGCCGTAAAGGAAGCATTCAAACATGCATGGAAAGGATATCGGGAGCACGCATGGCTACGAGACGAAGTGTCGCCTCTGAGTGGGAACTTTCGAGAGACCTTTGCGGGATGGGGAGCTACGCTGGTTGATTCGCTCGATTCGCTCGTGATTCTGGGCATGCAACATGAATTCGAAGAAGCGCTGGAAGCTTTGGACCATATCGATTTCACCACTACGCATGCCGTCCAGATCAATGTTTTCGAGACCAACATTCGCTACCTGGGAGGGTTCCTCGGAGCTTATGATTTGACGAATGGCAGCTATCCGATCCTACTGAAGAAGGCGATCGAGGTTGCGGAATTGCTGTACGGCTCGTTTGATACTCGCTATAGAATCCCGCAATCGCGGTGGGAATGGACCAGGTACGTATCGGGCACGAATGGTCTTATCACTACAGTTAGCGATGTCAGCAACTTACTAATTGAACGATAGATCTGCCGAGGGCATGGGAATCCATCCCAGTCGTAACACGATTACTGCCGAAATCGGCTCGCTGAACTTGGAGTTCACGCGGGTTTCGCAATTGACAGGCGACTCCAAGTACTACGACGCCGCCCAGAGACTCACCAATATCCTCGAAGAAACCCAGGCACGTACCAAGCTTCCCGGGCTGTGGCCCATTACTTTCAATGGCGAGGACATGATATTTTCCGACAACCGATTCAGCGTCGGCGCCATGGCCGATTCCACATACGAATATCTTCCCAAAGCGCACATGCTGTTGGGCGCCCAAACAACCCAGTTCCGCAAAATGTACAACACCGCCATGAACAAAATCAAAGAGCGATTGCTCTTCCGCGGAATGACCGAGGATGGCAAGGATATCCTCTTCCCCGGGAACGTCTATACAACGTTCTCGCACAGCCGCGAGAAGATCGAGCCCCAGGTTGAGCACCTCAAATGCTACCTGGGAGGCACGGTGGGCATCGGGGCTAAAGTATTCGCTCGCCCGGAGGACCTGGACATTGCGCGCAAACTGACCGACGGTTGTATCTGGGGATACGACGTCATGCCCTCAGGGATCATGCCGGAGATCATGTATGTCTCTCCCTGTCAGGACATGAACAACTGCCAGTGGGACAAGAAGCAATGGTACCGGGACTTGCGGTTTCGACTGGCCAAAGGCTCGGAAGCGGAAGACACTGTTGCCGAAGCCAAGTCGCTGATTGAAAGCCACGGTCTCCAGCCAGGCATCTATGCCATCCCGGATGCCGGCTATCAACTGAGGTAGGTTCGCTCAATCCGTCTTATGCGACGAATACTTATGGATTTTAGACCGGAGGCTATCGAGTCCGTCTTCATCATGTATCGGATCACGGGCGACAAGAGTCTCCAGGACGCCGCGTGGCGCATGTTCAAAAGCATTGACAAGATGACGCGCGCGCAATACGGACATGCGGCGATTGACGACGTGCGCGATCCCAATGCGAAGCAGATGGATTACATGGAGAGTTTCTGGCTGGCCGAGACGCTGAAATACTTCTATCTGATATTCTCCGAGCCGGACGTGGTCAGTCTGGACGAATACGTATTGTATGTGCTTTTCTTTCCGCAACTGTCTAGTGAGATACTAACGAAGATGATAGCAACACCGAAGCTCATCCTTTCAAGCGTCCAACGCCTCCAGCGTGATTTATTCTTTGTGGGTTCGAGGCGCATGGTGTTATGGAGCTCTACGGTTCAGTCATTACTGTAGATATATGATATCGTCTGATCAAGACTTGAATATACATTAAATAAAAACATTTGAAGATAAGATATCAGATTTGCCCTCACAGCCTCGGATCTAAATATCGATCCCAGTACTCCATCTCATTCGGCACCGCGTCCTCATCCACTCGACTATTCTTCTTGAACTCCACCGAATACTGCACATCTTTCCGAATCACCATCTTTCCTCCATCGAGACCGTTCCCCGTCTCTCGATCCATCTCAATCTCTTCCCGAGAGACCCTCCTCTTCTTTCTTGAAAACCACCTCATCAACCCCCCTTCCTGCGACAAAACACGACCCATCATTCCCCCTTCAGGTCCTCCTTTCCCATCCTTTCCCCCCGTCTCATGACCGCCCTCCCCCTCCCGCTCCCCATCCCCATGCGTATGTGTACGTATAGTATGCGTCCCCCGCTCACTTCTCTGCTCACTCGCACTCACACTCTCCAAATTGTCATCCCCCGCAGTCCCGTAATTCGTACTAACGGCCACCATAAACGGCCTCAGACAAAACACACTGCACGCGACCAGCGCATAGTCCAGTTCGACCTGCGCCCAGATGATCATCGACACCGAGGCTAGGGTGGCGTCCCAGGAATCGAGGTTCTGGGTGAGTGTTATGAGGTGGAATGTACAGGGGATTATTAGCCTAGATACACAGAGAGGGAGAGGGGGAGGTTGTTAGTTTGATTGTTCTGTTAAAGGTAGGGTATAGAGTTGTGTATGATAGACTAACGGCAATCGAAACATAAACGCACACCCGATCGCTATCTTGCGCTTCAGGGGCATGAATAACCGGGCTAGTAAGGCGACTGCGAGGCCGAAGAGAAGCACTTCGGTGAAGATGTCGATGGAGACGATGAATTGCCATCGAGGGAGCTGTTCCCCCCACCCCTCTCCCCCATTGATGGGGAAAGGTAAGAAGTCAGCCTACATTGCTCTACTTCTCTCCTCTTCTGCCTGGAAGAATGATTCCCAAGGACGAAACCCAAGCCAAGTAGATAGGTACGGAAATATCCAAAAGGAAACTTACCAAATCAACACACTGCCCTCCCGTCCCCTTCCACGGCCTATTTAACTCGCAATTCACAGTCACCAAAAACAACGCCGTCACGATCCACGCCGTGCACAGGGCCAACGTGGCCCATGCTAGCTGATTGTGGCGCTTTTGAGGCGTCAACCGCAGATGGATTCCCACGACACAGACTTTGGTGATGTAGATGGTGATGAGGTAGAGGATGTCGGATGTGGTGATAAGCTTTTCTCTCGGGCACGCTCGTGAGGGAGGTTGTTAGTATGGCTTAGACTGGAATGGTCTGGGTCTGCTTCGTTCTCGAGGATTGTACATGTATATGTACAATACATATCCGGTGGATAGATATAGGGTATGGTGTATTGTATTAAAGTTAGAGAAAGCATACCTTTTGAACAACATTAACCTCCTCCACAGTTAGTAGATCCATCGTAGTACCGAAGCCCTTTGAGACGGCGCAAAATAGAAGCGTGGATTGAACGATAGCCACGATCTGTTGATTTGTTCCTCACCCCGGGATTAGTATAGTATAGTACATGAGTACATAAGCTGATCACATCTCTTGGATTCCATGCATGGTTATCGATATCGACTCAATGCACTGCCATCCCAAACCACAGTTCTAAATCAGAATGAAAGGAGAAACGAGTATACCCACCGTAGCACCCAACAAAACCCCATCATCTACCGCGAACGGCGGATTGAGCGCGACGCGCACATACACGCGAATCAGGAACGAGACGAGTGCAATGGCCAGCCCCAACGCCGTCGCAATAATGATCCAGGCACCGTGATGGAGGTCGTCGACGACTTCGAAGGGAGGGGCGTAACCTGAAGGAATGGGGAGGTCGGAGCTCATTGCCTGAGCCTCTATGGAGGCTAGGATGGGATTTGGGCACAAATAGAGCAGAGAAATGGGGCTGATTGTTAAACACAGAGGATTGTGAGGGGGGAGGTTGTTTTATTAGGTATGCATTGGGTATGGGACTCGGGGTGCTTTTCTTTTTTCTTTTCGCGTGTTGGAGGGAAGAATGGCAGTTGGATGGTAATGCTTTTTCTTTTCTTTTTTTCTTTTTTTCTTTTTTCCCCCTTATTTGATTGATGACTGATTCGGTGAGAGGACTGGATATTAGGAAAATAAGCTAGGTATTGCATATTCTATGTGAAGAAGGAGAAGGAGAAGCAACCTGGAAGGCTCCTGTGCTGCATGGAAAGGGAGGTAAGTACTCCCTACATGGGTCTACTGCATCTCCCACGAGACTGGCTCTGTTTGAGAGCTGTTTGTACACATGTACGGAGTAGGGCACGTTTACCATCAACCAAGCCCAACAATCCTTCCATGCACATGTTTGGAAGGACAAAGAGAAGAACCGCCCTCCAAGTCTGTCACACAAACTCTGACTCTGCGCAACTGCGACGATAATAGCCATTTATCCCCCGACTCTCAAACCCACTATTGGATCACTGCAGGAGGGAAAACGCACCACCCTCGTGATCTCAATTTTGGATCTTTGCTGTCACGATAATTTCAGAACCTCGCGGTCCAATGCCCTTCGAGGGAGTGGGTTGGTGGTGTTACACGAGAGCTGAACAACAAACAGAGGACGTCGAGTGGGGACTGTTCTTTTCTTTGCTTTTTCCCTCTTTCTCCCTTTCCCCCGAGGTTTGATATGCATTAGTTTTGGCCTACGGAGTTGTTTGTTTGGGACCCCCTTTTTGGGAAGTCCAGGGTAGGTTCGATTAGGGTATAGAGATGGGAGATATAGTTCATGGGTAATCCGCCACGGGTCCGGGTGCGAGTCGATCTATCAAGTTTGACGGCTTTTTGAAAGAAAGCGCACCGTGGGAAGGGAGGAACTTAAATGGGGGAAGGCTGAGCTGTCGAAAGTTTATATTCCGATCAATGCGATTTAGGCACCAGGAGCAAGGATGGCCGGTTGGGTTGCAGGTGTCTCTCGTATCTTTGGGCCGTCCGGCTCTCATTCTTCGCCCGCATGGCGAGATGAAGCTATTGCTGCTCGTACAGACGGATATACTCTGCTTGGTCAGTGCTCATTCTGCCTTTGAAGCGTCTTCTCGCCGATGATAGAAATACCGCTCGCGATTCATGATGGTCCTGGAGACGCCTCGAAATGTTACCAGAGTGGAAGTTCAAGCACAGGCCCATCGCAATGATGTCGAGTACGGTCGAAAGACCCTGGTGGCCCCGAAATATCTGGGAACGACGACCGATCAACGTGACATGAGCGATCTAGGCCGAGTGCAGGTCCTGCGAGTGAGCTCGTCCGTCTCATCGAATATTCCCGAATAACCGCTTCGTGGTAGCGAAATTTTCGATTCATTTCGATCCTGGGCTTTGCTTGCACTTTGATCGCTACATGGGAAGTGATTTTGACGTATGTCACTCTTCATGGAATAAATACTGTTTCTAATCACAGAATAGGCTACTGGGTGCCGGCCTGGTGAATGGCGGAACCGCCGGACTGGTATGGGGCTTCATCATCGTGACTGCGGGCTTCTCGCTCGTCTTTGCGAGCATCGCCGAAATGGCGTCCATGTGAGCTTTCAACCTCTTTGGTGGTGATTTTTTCTGACTCCGTTAGGGCTCCAACATCCGGTGGACAGTATCACTGGGTATCAGAGTTTGCTCCTCGTCGATGCCAGAAGTTCCTCAGCTATATCACAGGTAGGTCTGGCACTTGGGACCGAACGCCTAAGCTGACAGCGCAGGATGGCTCTGCGTAATGGGCTGGCAGTGTGCCATCGTGTCCATCGCTTTCCTCGCCGGGACGATCATCCAAGGGCTCATCGTGTTGAATGATCCCACGTACGAATTCAAGAGCTGGCATGGCACGTTATTGGTGATAGGCATCGCGGGCTTCTCGATCTTCTTCAACACCTTCCTGGCCAAGAACCTCCCTATGGTGGAGGGTCTTATCTTGATCCTTCATGTCGTCGGCCTCTTTGCTATCATCATTCCACTGTGGGTGCTCGCGCCCCGGAACAACCCTCGAGCTGTCTTCACCGAATTCTACAACGGTGGGGGATGGAATAGCAATGCCACTGCAACGATGATCGGGCTGTCGACCACTATCACCTCGATGATCGGATATGACTGCTCTGTTCATATGTGTGAGTACCTCGTTTCACCTATCGCCAATACCTTTCACTGAAGTCCCACGCACCACCAGCCGAGGAAATCAAAGATGCATCCGAAACCCTCCCGAACGCGATGATGGCCGCCGTCGGCGTCAACGCGGTCCTCGGTTTCATGATGATCATCACCATCTGCTTCACCCTGGGCGACGTCACCGACATCCTCGCCAGTCCGACCGGCTACCCATTCATCCAGATCATCCAAAACACGACCCGCAGCTACGCCGCAACCAACACCATGACGTTGGTCTTGATATTAACCCTAACCGCCAGCACCATCACCGAAGTCGCGACAGCGTCACGTCAGCTCTGGTCCTTCGCCCGAGACGGCGGCGTCCCATTCTCCTCTTTCTTCTCCTACGTACGTCCCTCCCCCCCCCTCTTCCTTTCCCTCCTCATCTCCCTTTCCACTAACCCAAAGCCTGAGGTCAAATAAATTCACAGGTTACCCCAACCTGGAACATCCCCCTCAACGCAGTCCTCGTCTCCCTCGCCGTAACCATCCTCCTCTCCCTCATCAACATCGGCTCCCTCGTCGCCCTCCAAGCCATCGTCTCCCTAACCATCACCTCCCTCATGTCCGCCTACATCCTCTCCATCAGCTGCGTCCTCCTGAAGCGTCTCCGTCGCGAGCCCCTACCCCCACGCCGCTGGTCCCTTGGGGCTTTCGGGCTAGCGATCAACGTCGTCGCGTTGGCCTTCCTGCTGCCGATCTTTGTGTTTGCGTTCTTTCCGCTTAAGCGGGAGTTTGATCCCAGGAGCATGAATTGGGGGTTTGTTATGTATCTGGGGGTTATTGGGTTCGCGGCGGTTTATTATGTGGTTAAGGGGAGGGGGCAGTTTATTGCACCGGTGGCATTGGTGAAGAGGGAGCGATGAGAAGAGATGAGGTGAGGTAGGTGATGTATTATCTTTTTAATAGGGTAGGGGGATGAATGGGGTGTGGTTTTTGTGGAATGGAATTGACAAGGAAGCTGGACTTCGTTTTTATGTTTCATAAGTTTATGGTGAGATTTTATTGCTTAGGTAGTTAGCAAGGTTTGATCATGATGGTAGCTGGCGAGTCGACAGCAATGTGTTGTGCGGGCTCTGGTAGCTACAAAGTAAGCGACACGTTGAGAAACGATGCATCAGAAACACCGAAACTCAAGCCTAGAAGAATCCCATGTCAAGAAGCGTTGCCGTCTCCTCTCAGGAGAAATGCCACGGCCAGAAATAGCTTGTAAATCCAATTAAACATCTGCCACAGCTACGGAGTAAGACATATGGATGTAAATCAACCGCACGGGGCACCTCGACGCGTAAGTCCCCTGTTCTTAGACTCACCGTAATCATCACCGCTAGTCTTGGCTGTCGGAGGGCAAAGTATTGCATGACGCATGACGATGCGGAAACTATGCAAGGGATAGATTCGGTCTAGGGATTGAGGAATGGCGAGGCGATGGGGACAAAAGTACGGAGTATCGGCGTTTGAATGGTGAGTGTCATGTTTATATGCAGATTGGTTTAGTTAAGGGGTGGCGGCTGCTTCTACTGTAGGTATGTAGTTTCGAGAGCGCATGTTATTCATAGTTTGGCTTAGCTTATTTTATCTTAATACACACCCATTCAGCTTGAGAGAACCTACGAAAGAAAAAAAAAAAAAAAAAAAAAAGATAAGTGAGCTGCGTAGAAATCATTCCGTTATAACTAGAAGTAATCCTAAACCTACTACATTCACAAACCAAATCCTTCAAAAAGACCCATCTTAACTCAACCCAGCCAGCCAGCCGACCAGACCAATTCAGGGAAGACTTCTAGAAACCCCTTCCAGCCCCTACTCCAACTAAAACCAACCTTAACCCGCTGGTACCCACAAAGCCATTCTAGTTTCTTTTCCCTCCCCATCCAGCCAAGATCAAGGGGCCAAAGCCAAGGCCCGGGCAAGAGACCATCGACGATCTGCGCGGCCCAGAGTTATCGACTTATCAATCAGTTGCTCCGTCTTTTTAGTCCAGGGCTAATGAGGACGATGAAGCAGAAGGACACCGTGACCGTGAGGTAAGCTAACCTCGCCTAGACCAGTTATGCCGAGTGCTGAGTAACTCTGTACAACCTTCTCTGACCAGTCTAGTTAACTTACGAACTTTATTGTGATGAGTCCACCGTAGTGAGTCCTGTGTCTGCGACCTGGACCTGTAGACACTGCTCCGTAGACTAGACAGACAGACAACCAGCCAGCCAGCCAGACAGGCTAGAGTAAGCGTCCCTGTCTAGCGTGCATGGAGACCCAAACAGCCGGTCTTAGTTTCAATCAGATAAGCCGAAGAACGGGTCGGATGGCGGCTAGAACCCCTATTCGTGGACGATGGAGCAGTGAGCCGCGTTCGATGTTCACTAGGTCCAGATTGCTCCGTGGGTAGTGGAATGAAGTGCCCGTAATCGTATATTGTACGGATTCCATACGGAGGCTGTGAATGGGGAGTGGGGACACCAAACCAGTTCTGGAGTCTAGAGTCTAGACAGACGAGACGGGACGTTGAGGCTTTCCCCCCTGTCTGATATTAAAATTTGGTTTTGTTTGATCTTGATTTATGGAACGGAATCTACGGAGTAAGGTAATCGTACAGTGTAGTTTCTAAATCCAGCTATACTACTGAGGATGTGTTCTGTACGGCATGAAGATGTCAGAATTCGATCATAGCATGATCGTCGGACAGCAAGCCGATGATCAACCTCATCGAACTTCCAGAAAAGATCCAATGACAGGGCAGAAAAAGCAATAAGCCTCCGTAACAAAAACAAGACCAAAAAGTTGGGCAGCCAGACCGACAGTCTCTTCTGCAGCATCTTCCTGCCCGAAACGGCAGAATACCGATGACCCATCCGGTGGCTATCAGATTGATATGATCCAGAGCCGACATCGGCCGCGCCCCACCCGGTTTATTGACGTGTCACATGATGGCCGGCTGCGGACGACGGCAATCAGTTTCTGCAAGTATCCTGGGTATCCGAGGACCAAGGGACGGATGACTACATGACAGATGGAATATGGATTCCAAGCCAGCAAAAGAGAGAGAAAGAAAAAAAAGGGGGATGACCGGGACGACAGGAATGAATGTCTGAGGATGGGGTGACGCTGGGTGGGGTGACTCGGAGCAAAAGGATGCCTGTAACGAGTTATCTGATCCGGATGCTGGCTTCCGTGCGATCACGTGCTGGTGTAGGGCCCGACAGCCGAAAGGGGGTCGTTGGGGATGACCCATGATGGCTTGACAGGGGTCGGGTCATTCTTGTTTTGGCTGACTCCTGAGACCGGGAGCAGTCGTCAGAGCTAGCAGTCTCCTTTTGTAGCTTCACTCCTTTCCATACTGCGTAGGAGCAGGAATGTTTAAAACAGTCAAACTCGCTAGGGATGGTTGCAACCGGATCAGATTAGATCGATACCGTATTCGGCTGCCGGTCCGTTACATACCGATACGCTCCCCGTCTGTGTCTGGAAACTCTGGATGGACTCGCCAGACCAGGAAAGAAAGGTGAGTGCTCCCCTTTCTGAGTAAACAAGTCCTTCGGGGCTCTGGGGAGAAGACCGTAGAAGCTCCCGGGATGGGACTGCCCAAGCCTTTGACTTGTTGGCCTGTTAGCCTCCTGCAAAGAACCCCCCCGCTAGAGTAATCTCTCCCGCTTAGCTGCAGATCTGAACAAGTGTCAACCTCCTCGATGGTCCAGGGTCTGCGTCGTCCTATCATTTGGGGGTCATAGTCAGCCGTGCAGATGAACGTAGACAGACTGATTCTCGCCAGTGTCTCGACAAGTCGACATCCTGCAGAGTACCGCAGAGTATACTCCGTCCGATCCGTAGGCGGGTAAAGTTACAGACGGTACGACGAGCGTAATGACGTTTTCCAGGTGCCATAACATTTGCCACTTGCAGGAAAGAAAGCACCGGATCGCTTGTGTGCGTTTACTTTTTTCCCGCCTTCTTTTCCTCGCTTTGCCCTCGCGCTCTCCACATCATTCTGATTTCACCCCCGTCCTATCTGATCCGTTCGTTGTATTTAACCTGCAGACCTGCAGACCTGTCCCTCTGTCGATTGTTGCACACATTGGCATCTCCTAAAGCAGACAAGCAATCCCGAATGATCACCCCCCCGGTGATTAACTATTAATAAGGACGCATCATTCTCTAGCGCCCAGCGGAACCGCCATCCCGGTTTTGCCCCAGGCCCGAAAATCGTCGACTCGCCTCTCCCTTCCCTTCCGCTCGCCCCCAGCGTCTGCACTTTGCATTCCTTCCCTACGATCAGTCAGATCGGCTCAGGAAACGTTGGATTGAACCGTCCCACCGGTCTAATTTAGACCGTCCCCAGTCGTTCGGTTCCGTCTCCTTTTCTTTTTCTTGTTTTTGCTTTTTCTGGCCGTTCTGGCTTTCTTAAATCATACCTCCTCCAACCATCACCTCTCGATTTTTTCTCTCCAAAGCTCGACTCTGCAATTCCCCTTCCTGGAGTCTTGCCATACTCTCTGCCTTGACTACACACCGTCTCTATATCTTCTCGTCAAACTTTAACCGGCCCAATGGGTATGTGATCACCATCCCCCCCTGCCCGGCTATCTATCGACCGTGTCACCTCGGTCTTTCTATCGTCGCCCCATCATCAAGCACCAATTGCTCATTACTGACTGTATAAAAAACAGTTCACGCAGTCCTTGAACCCCCGGTGCGGGCCAATGCGCCGAGGTCCTCGCCCACCTTCAATGGAGACCACCGGGCTATTCCCGTGTCGTCCACTTCCCATCCCGATAACCCGGTTCCCGAGGAACCTCGCGGCGTCCGATCTTTATCGGTCACTGATATGACCTTCGATGGTTTCGGCGCCCCTTCCCAGGATACCAAACTTAGCACCGACTCGCAGTCAACGCCCGCCACAGATCTCCAGTCGGACACCGAAACCCTAGCACGCAAGCAGTCTGTCGTTGACGATGACTCTGGCCGTGAACGCCGAGCCTCCACCGTCCTCATCTCCCAGAACTCAGAGGACATGAGACGGCTCCTAGAGAATGTCGGCATTGGTGGCACTCAGAAGGTGCAGCCTCTTTGCTGTGGCGGTGGATGCTGCCGCAGCCAGCCCTTGCGGAGGACCTCGGAGCCGGTTTCCGGGGTCAATTATATCACTGCCCCCGACAACAAGGCCTACCGGGATTTGAAGTTGAATGTGGACTATCTCACCTTTGACAGCGAGCTGACCAGCGTGGTCGAGCTTCCCGAGAAGACCGTCTCCTTCTCGGCCATCCCGGCATCCGCCGTGGATATGCAGCTGGGACCGACGGATCACCCGCCTCCGTTTGTCCAGCCTCACCCTCCGTACAATGTGTACCGCGCTCCCGTGCACCATGCCCGCGAGCTTACCAAGCCCGGTGCCGAGAAGCGAACGTACCATTTTGACATCGACGTGACCGACTATCCCGCCGAGAGCGGCATGGTGGACTTCGTCGTGGGCGGTGCCATTGGCGTGTGCCCCCGAAACAAGGACGAAGAGGTCGACGACATCTTCAACCAGCTGGGAGTTCCCAAGTCCATCCGAGACAAGAAGGTCTCGGTGCGCACCGCCAAAGGCCGCTGGCCGACTATCTGGGGTGATGATAAGCCGCGCGAGCTGATCACCACCCGCCGAGAGCTTCTCAACTGGTGCGCGGACATCCAGAGTTACGCCCCCACCAAGGGCCTCTTCCGGTTGCTGGCGGAGTACGCCAGCGACATCGACGAGAAGCAGATCCTCATGTTCCTTTCCTCCGCTCAGGGCCAGGGCGCCTTCTGCGATCTCCGCACCGCGTCGCACGTCAGTGTCTCGCAGTTGCTGCACGCCTTCCCTTCCTCGCAGCCCCCTCTTGACCACCTCCTCTCCGTCCTGAACACCCTCATGCCCCGCTTCTACTCCCTCTCGCAGGACCCCCTGCTCTCGTGCACAAAGGGCGCCCAGCCCCGTCGTCTGGTCGAAGTGGCTGTCAGCGTAGCCGAGACGGACGACTGGAAGGGCGGCTTGCGGACGGGCGTGGGATCTGGCTATCTCGAGCGACTGGCGCAGCAGGTGGTGCAAGCCGAGAAGCGAGGCATCGACCCTAGCACGCTCGACCTGCACGTCCCCATGTTTCGCGGCCTGATGGCCAACCCGCTGGCCACGCGGTTCGCCTCCGACGGACCGATGCTGCTGATCGGCGCCGGCGTCGGCATCGCCCCCTTCCGCGGCTTCGTGCAGCGTCGTCTGCAGTCGGCCAACTGCGCCAACAAGGTCTGGGTGCTCCAGGGTGTCCGTGACTCGCTGCTGGACGAACTCTACCGCGGCGAGTGGGGCGTCGACGAGGACAAGGTTCGCACGGTCGTCCAAAGCCGTCGCGGCGAGAGCATGTACGTCCAGGAGGAAGTGCGTCACCAGGCCGACCTGGTCTGGTTTGTCATCAATGCGCTGGACGGCCGGGTCTTCGTCTGCGGTAGCGGCAAGGGCATGGGCGAGGGTGTCGAGGCCGCTCTGGTCGACGTCGCCATGGCCAAGGGTAACCTGAACGTGGAAGAAGCTCAGCAGTTCTGGGCGAACAAGAAAGAAGCAGGTCAATACATTGCCGTAAGTGTCATGTCCCTAACATATCTAAATATCATCACTCACTAACCACCCCACAGGAAACTTGGTAAACCAAACCTGCGCCACAATTTGTACATCTTTTCATGTCATATTCTTTCCCCGGCTGAATCGATTTCAACCGGTCTTATCGCATCCTTCTCATCTGCTTGATTATTGTTTGATCCGGTCAGCCCGTGCGCTGATAAACGCATGCATGCTATTTCGTCTTGCTTGTTTTTTATTATTATTGTCAATGGTTTTGGATATCTGCGTGTTTTAGCGGGGTGGCTTATTTGCTTTTTCGTTTTTTTGCTTCTTGACCTGCCTTTGTCTATGCCTATCTGTCTATTATCTCTTTTTTCGGCTGTGCCGGCACGTGTTATTTTTTGTCTGTTCAAAATCAGGCTGTGCATTTAGATTATATGGTAGCAATACCTAATCCATGGGGTTATTACATATTCATTTCTTAAGTCTCTCTGTTCCAATTCATCTTAGCCCGATATGCACACATTCTAGTACTCCGTATGCCTCTATTCATTAATTTATTTTTCCTAACCCAGCATACCTATTAGAGTCGACGAAGAGCTGAGACTCTTTGTAATTGCTTATGCACATATTGGAGTAGATTCTAGGGCCCGAAAACAACAATCCACGAAGGTGGACGTCTACTAGCCCCAAGTAGGAAGTCCGGGCCGCGAAATCAGCCCCCAAATCATGAGTCAACACAATAACAGTCCATGATAGGTCTATAGCCTGCAAAGCTTGTTTCGAATCCAGAATCCATAGAACCTTGCACGGAAATAATCTGAATGATGAACGCTCCAAGCAATATAAATATGAGGCAGATGCCGTCAGCAAATATTCAATCCTCGTCTCAGGCCATTCAGTCTAATCCAAACATCTTACCATTAATCTCTCACAATGTCTTCTCTCACATTGAACGTCTCCCATGAGACCTCCCTACATGCACAAATCACTCGACCTTCTCTCCCTTCGGACAAACCTCTTCTTGTCTTTCTCCACTACTGGGGAGGATCCTCTTCCACATGGCACAAACTCACGTCACCCGATTCACCAACAACCGTGGCTACCGCCTATCCAACCATTGCTCTCGACCTACGAGGATGGGGTAAATCGACAGGGCCAGCAGACTCACACGGAGCCCCTTATTCAATCTCTACACTAGCCTCGGACGTTGCCTTTACCCTGCAACACATCTCGTCCAACAATGACACGCAAGATCTCCTGGCAAACGGCTTCGTCTTTGTCGGTCACTCCATGGGAGCCAAAGTGTCGCTGGCCACCCTCTCTGTTCTTCCTACCTATCTTCTCCAGAAAATGAAAGGTCTATTATTGGTGGCCCCCGCGCCGCCAGGAGCTCTGGAACTACCTTCCGAAATGAAGGACCAGCAAAAGGTTGCTTACCAGAGTGAGCAATCGATCCGGTGGACGGTCGAGAACGTACTTGCTCAGCCTGACAAGCTGAGTGAGCAAGACATCCACTTTGTTGTTCGGGATAGCTTGGGTGGGCATCAGCTGGCCAAGGAAGCGTGGCCAACATATGGCATGCAAGAGGATATTACAGACAGTTTAGCGAAGGCTCTAGGCTCGATTAACGGCGACGAGCTGCGAGTCAGTGTGCTTGTTGGGGAACGTGATATTGTTGAGCCGAAAGAGCGGGTCCTGGTTCAAGTCATCGGTTTCTTGCAAGAGAATGGAGTCAATACTGATTTGAAGATTGTAAATGGCGTGAAGCATTTGATTCCATTGGAGGATCCTGAAGCAATTCAGAAGGAGATTGTTCTTTTTTAGACTGAGTCGTGTGCTATACATTGAATCCTACGCGCTTGTTGTTTATTTAGGTAACACATATTGATGAAATAGCTGCCGTGAGATTAAATCCAGGAGTATACACTACGGAGAGTGGTCTCAATCGTCTATCTTAAGCTCTAGTATTCAGACTACATGGGCAGACAACACCACATGCGTAAGACGTACCGGTCATCATCAATGAAATAGGGCAAGGGTATCACATGACAGACTGTGCCACAAACTGAAGGTTACGAGTCACTGGCTTTCAACGCTACGTCAACTTCAGTCTAGCCTGCCCTTTTCTCTAATGAGGGATTTATTCTACAGTCGCATGTCATTTTTGCCCTCTAACATTTTTGCCGTCGGTAAGAAGAGGGCCCGTTGTGAGACTAGTTGAAGCCATCAACGTATCGGATATTCTGAGTCCAATGCAGCGCATATCAACTACAGCGGTAGCTAACTACTCTAATTGGCTTACCTAGTGACTTAATCTGCACGATCCACGGAGTATGACATCTTTCTTTTGCCCGCTTCCGCGCCGTTGGTTTTCATTCCCAATCTTAGGAAAGGGGGTCAAAGCACCCAGGTCCATGTCCCAACAATAGGCAGAACAGACTCTTAACCCGACCAATAGGTCAATTGTTACGCATCTCTTGAAATTGCCATGCCAATGGTTTCTCATAGTATCTGTTGCCAATTTCCGGGGGCGAGGTAGCCACTGCCCTATTGCCGATCTTAACCGCTTTGGGAGTCGGCGACACGCCGGGCGAGACGAGGCGCGCAGGCCATCACATCTCGCGGCGACAAACTTAACCCTGCAATACCCCTCCATATTCTCTTGGTGAGGTGGCACCAAGCTCATGGAGGAAAAGCGACACAGTCATGCATCGGAATTGTGAGCACGGTTCTCGAAGGATACTGGTCAGGCTCCATACCAACACCCAACATGCATGCCGAGCGATTCCGTGCTTCAACCTATCGTGCCGCCACTTAAGCGCTGGATTAATAGAAGGATTTGAATCACGCCGCGCGCTTCCATGTTGGTGATTGATGCATGCGTTCTGCGCTTAACTTTGGCTTCGTAAAGTCTCACTACTCATTTTAGTCCTCCAACCTAATCCACGGCCCAAGGTTCCAAGCACAAGTTGCACTCGATACGCGATGATCACCCACAGCGTAGCGCCATGGAGATGTGCCATCAAGCTGCATCGGTGCATACACACTCGATTGCCTGTCTACGCCCGTGCGGAATGGCATTAAAAGGCGTGGGCTTTCTTTCCATGTTTGCTGGATTATCACTGCATTGAAATCTACGTCTTCATCATTGCATCTATCTACTTTCTTCTTTCAATCTACTCGTCTATCGTTCTACTCTTTGCAATAATGGCTTGTATTCACTGTCAGAGACGCAAGAGGGACTGCGATGAGAGAAGACCTCGATGCAACTTCTGTCGGGCTTCTCGTCTGAGATGCAGGTATGAGCAACGTCCTGCCCTGCTCCGGGCCCGGCGTGAGCAGAGAAGGACAGCGCCCGAAGAAACCCCAACCCCAACCCCAAGTCCGACAGAGAGGTCCGAAACCATGTCTCTACCTGAGAGGACCAATCCGAGGTATGCATGCTGCCTTCTACAAAGTAAACATATATCTGACCGACCACCCCAGCCCCATCAGCCCTCCCGCGATACAGCAATATGTCCATACATTGGACCCTTTCAAAAATTACCTACGGCAAAAGAGCATTTTCTCAAAATTCCTCGCCTCATGGGACGACGAATTCCCGCACCTCAAGGAAATGGAAGATGTCGAACAAACCGCCATACACTTCAATTTCGACGAGCCTGGAATCAAACTTCCGCCTCCGTATAACCCGATTGGCAGGAAACCTACAGAGTCCGAGCGTCGACAAGGCATTACCGCTGTCACTTGGCCCAGTGAGTTGGTTTCATCGGAGCCTCAGCCGCCTTACCTCGGGGGCCTCCCTGTCCGTCTCCTTACGCAGTATTACGCGCGAGTCATTGACGGGCAGCTCACGTACAAGCGGCCGGATTGGACTTATTACACTTTCTTCTTTCATCGCTTCAATGCGCATTATCGCTGCGTGTTGTCTGCTACCCAAACTTGGGCATCTGCGAGCTTGCATTCTGCAGGGAGGAAGGAGTCTCTCGACGATGCTCTGCAGAGCTACTATGATAGCATGTCGATGATGGCCCAGAAATACGGCATAACGGTGAATTCGCCGAGTACTGTTGAACACAGGATGGAAAGAGTAGCGAATTTCTTGACCTCCACGAATACAGAGGAAAAAGATGCCATGTTCGTGACGTACTTCTTGCTTGCGCTCTTCGATCTCATGACAGCTCGATCGCCTCAGCTTCGTGGTATACTGTCATTCATGGCCTCGTTCTTGAGGAATCCGAACTTCAGATCACAGATGACTGGCGTGCAAGCGCGCGTTGCTTACTGGGTGAGCTCACTATCTAATCCCATCATACTATAACTACTAACCAACACCACCAGTTCTGTATTCTTGACAGCAAAGCATGTGCCTTTCAACAGAGTGGAGGCGCCGTCCTCAAGGCCATGGGTAGTGAACCGTATCAACTAGCTGCCCTGCATTCATCGCACACTGTGCTTCAACAAGCCTTCCGCACCACCCTCACTGAGCGCGAGGAATCAATCCAGAGCACTAAACTGCTTCTCCAAGACCTCATGTTCCGCTTAACAGTTCTCCTCCCCCAGATCACCGAGGCCAAGCATCGTCTCCCCGATACCCAGCACGTCCAAGCCATCCGCGAGAAACTTAACATCCACAAACAAACCATCGATATGAAGTTCTCAGCTGTCGATTACGACGACGCTCAATGCCGGGCAATGTTCCTGGTAAGCTCCGCCCTCTACCACGGGCTCGAGATCTCGTTTTCGCGATCCCTTCGTCCGAATGATGCGAGATATGCTGCCGGTCAGCACGCTATCAGCATCCTTCAGATTTCGCAGAAGCTCGCGGCTTTGCAGCTGGATGGGGTAATTTTGAGGGCGCCGTCGATGAAGATCTGGCCTCTTCCGCTCGTTATGGCGGCCATTGAGGTCGAGGATATCGTTAATCGTGAATGTGCCATCAAGCTCCTCGCCTCGTTCGTGCCCGTCATTAGTGAGCATCATACCTGGGCGAAGAAGTTCGCCGAGACGGTTTGCGAACGCGAGGACAAGGCTGGCAGTCGACTTGACTGGGAACCTATCATGAAGGATCTGAACGATGGGTTGGTAATATAGGTGTTTTGTTTCTGTTTACTTCTGCTGTTTGTTCTTTGTCAGTTTGGATTGATCTGATCTATGGATTGGTACTTGTTCTACGGCGTCCGGGATTTTTTATTGTCTCTTGTTGTTGTCTAGGAAATTTGGCCCCTACTTTCGCCGCTCATTTTGCTTTTTTTTTTTTTTTTTTTTTTTTCATGATTTTGTTTTAAACGGCCTCGGTCCCTAAATTGCTGCTGGTCTATCAATATGACCGTCTCGTTCCTTTTAAACCCCCGTTCCTTTCCCCAGTCTTCCGCAACCCCCTAAACCAAATAACCCAAGAAGATCCCAACAGCCCATCTCCGTTGAGTACACATCTCTCAGAACACATCACACCATAACCACCCACCGTCGTAATTCGCCACTATCATGCCAATCTCTCGCTGCGCCCCTGAGCACATACTCCGTAAGCAAGGCCAGACAAGACAAGACCAAACCAACATGGATAGTGATACATCCAAAAAAAAGCCCCAATTACCCCACACAAGATGCGGAGTAAGAGTAACACCCGGCTCAATCCAACCAAACAGCACAGACAGCGCCATACGAACCGATCCGGGGGGTTATTTGCTCCCTCCCCTTCCCCTGCCTTCTCCTCATCTCGTTTCCCCTCTTTATACCTCAGGAACCTAGTCAGTCAGTCAGCTGGCTGGGTGTGTCCCGCCCGCTAACCCCCTGGTTAAACTCATACTTACAAATGTACATACGGAGCGGAGTATGTCATGCGTAGGGAAAATACTAACTAAACCGAATAACTAACTACTGAGTGAGCTAATTAAATAATTAAATCCTCATCCTTCGCGATTAATCTACACGATGACCGGTTTTACGTAATTGAGTTTGCGGGGACACGAGATAACTAGTCGTTAGGTGACTAACAGGCATCGGTTTTCCTTCAGGGATGGTCGTGAGTTTGGACCTTTTGAGGATGCAGGAGTCATCGGCTAGTTAGTACGGCTTGGGAGCTGGAGAATGTAGCATCGAAGTGGAGAATTGTTCCTACAGACAGGCAGACTCTGAAGACAGATGGGGGTTATGGATATGATAACTACAGCTAGCGGAAAGAGAAGACGACCCTGAAAGCATCAAATTAAGGATTGTTGAAACATATGTATATACCTAGACCCGACCGACCGACCACAATAGATAGATAGATCGGTTTGTGTCTCCTATGTACAAAAAAAGAAAAAGGAATTGTCACCAGCCAGCTGTCAGTCGTAGTATGTCCCCTGCCATTTGTTTTCATTTTTTGACCCCCAATTTCCCCGCCCTGTCTACTCCGTAGATAACGACCCCAGTAATGGACAAGAAAAAACAGTGGAAGGAAAAGAAAACACCGGCAAGACAAACACGGAGGAGACTAAAGAGTCGCCGAGCGATATCCAGCCGGAATCGCCTCTGCCATCGTCATCCCACTAAGAACGCTATCGGGGAAGGACTGCGGCATGATTTCGGGGATCAACTGGCCCAAGCTACCATATCCGTCCATCATGCCATCAACCAGGGCCCCAGGGGGCGGCGGGGGTGGCATGAACTGGATGTGCTCCATGCTCAACTTCCGAGCATCTCCGAAGGAAGATTGCGAGCCATCCAAGGCACCGGAGCAGGGGTCGGTGCACTCAGCGCAGCGGCGCTTGAACTCGGCGATCATGCAGGAGAAGCGGTACGCAATGTGGTCTTCGTTGGGGGCCAGGTGGAGCAGGTACATCTGGATCTGGTCGATGAGGGGATCGAGGAAGTTGAAGTCGCAGAGGTTGAGCGCGGCGTAGCCGACGATGATATACGTCTGATCGACGACGCTGAGGGCAGGGGAGAGGCGCAGTTGCAAGAACTTCGAGATGATGAGTCGTGAATCTTGGATGACTTCGGCTGTGAGTCGGTCGGACTCGGACTGGAATCGCATGGCGGTTCTGTGGAGCAGGATTTGGCAGTACCACAAGCTTAGTTCGAATGTCGAACTCTCTTCGCCGGCTGTAGGGCTGGTTAGCTTGATGTTCTTGATAAAGGAATTCAGTAGACTCACTGAATAGATGAGCCCATTCCATTTTCCAACGCTCGATCTCCTCATATTCGACGTCGGAAAGTCGCATGCGTGGGTTGCTGCCCTGCAGCTTCAACGTAATCAGATAGAGCTGAATCTCCGCCACGACTTTTCCGTCTTCGAATGTCGCGCTCGTGTGCTCTAGCAGCCGAGGGCAGTGATCCAGATATCGCTGTTGTATATGTAACGGACGTGCATTTCCGACCGCGAATCTAATCATACATTAGCAAAATTCGAGACCGGGCTCGTGTTCCCAAGTTGAAATCATACCGTAGCTGCGTCAGGCAGAAGATATTCCACAGCCGCAATTGCGTGGCCGTTTTATTGTCCACGATGAGCTCGGAAGAGGTATAGTTGAGGAATTCAAAAGTTACAAGCGAATGGTTGATGGAATTCCCACTCAATAGCCAGCTATCAATGGGTGCCTCTCTTTGAACGGCCGCGGGCCATAGACAAAGAAGGGCAAGAGCTTGAAGCGATTCGTACTGCAGAGGAGGCTTATCCCAGAGCGTATTGACCGCTTCATGTCGGACTTGGAGATACATGGCACGAGTCACCTGTGCTGGTATGCCCGGGACATATCGCGACGCCAGTAGACAGGCTGTGTTGTATAGTAGCGAATCGGTTCCTCGCATCTCGTCCTGAATATCCGACAAACTATTGATCGAAACCCAGGGTCCGAAATGCTCCACAAATCTAGATTGGTTATTAGAAGCTAATATTTAGCAAATGCTGGGAAGGGCCTTCGTACAATTGCATTAATTTGAGTGATAATTTGGAGTCTATGATGCCTTTCTCCATATTGCTCCCACAGAATGGTGAGCTAGGGGTGATGCAATTCGGTTCGCCGAAAAACTCGGATTGGAGCTCTTGGATCAAACGAATAGGTTTGGGCAGAAACGGGGAGAACTGGCTGCTTTCGATGGAGGCCGTTTCCTCCGTGTTGGTGCTTTGAGTCAATTGGGGCGCGGACATGCTTGAGATGCTGGGCGGTTGGTTTATGATTTGGCGCAGCATGCCCGTCATTTCGCGCATGCTCCGCTCGAGCGAACTGAGACGCTCTTCAATTGAAGGAATAGCGGTCGTCGCATCCGACCACATCGACGCATTATCTTGGGAGCGTTCGCTGGTCTCGGGTAGCTGGCACTCGATTCTATTGAAAAGATCCAATCTCGTGTCAGAATCTTAATTTTAAGCATTGCACTCCATATGTTTTTCGCGCTCAATTCTGTCGTTTTTGCGGAAAACACATCGAATATCGTATTCTACTCTCCATGGAAAGCTATTCCTACCTCAATGATAGACACCGGCGGCATGCATGGCCGCGAGGGTCTAGGTCGCACCGAGTTTTTAGCTTGCGACAAGTATTGCAGGCCGTCATTGACCGCCGTATACGGCCTTTCGGACGCGCAGCTTCATCATTGACAGAAGAACTCAGTCTCCTGTCATCGTCTGCAATTTGAACCGGTTTGTGCTCCCACGCAGGGGCTTCAAATTTAATTTCCTCGACGGTTCTCGTCATGGCATTCGAAAACAGCCACTGATCAATCGACAAAAAGATTGATAGAGGGGATGGTCTGGGTTAAAATCGATAGGTAGGGAAACAGGACCAAGGAGTGAATCTCTCGTGCAAATCATTCAGATTTAGCATCGGTGGGGAGAAAAATCGCACTTATAACCGGCCACACGGGCTTCGGGCGAGCAGCGAGAGATTGTGCTAGCATGCTAGTGATTGACGAAATAAACCCCCCTAGGGTGGTCATTTAGTCTGGACCTGGGGTAAAAGTCAATACACGGGCGAATAGCAGGCAGTCCGTGTCCCTAAGCGCCTTCTAGAAAGATAGAATGGTGGTTGCGATATTATGCTGCAACAAGAGAGGGGTTGATTGACGTGCGCCATTGTAATCTGCTGTGGTCCCGATGTAAACCGGGTCGCAAATAGAATAAAACAATAAAATAAAATAAAATAAAAAGGAGTCCCGCCTTGGGGTGAGGGGTTGTGGTTGGACTGACACCAAAGTAAAATGCGTTAGGAGCTGGCCGCTGACCTCCGATGATTTGTTGATACAGTCCGTCGTTGCTTATCATCGTTGTTGGTGGTGATAATCGGGCAAGACGTCCCGAATCAGCAGTCCCCCGACTCGTTCGAATTTCCAGCATTTGATTGATGAACAGCCACAGCAATTGGGCTCTTCCCTCCCTTTTTTTCCCGGTCCCTTCCCCCCCTCCCTTCCTTCGTGCCTGGTGTGGTGGTTGGTAGCCCTAGGGCCCTTCACCCTCCTAAATCTGGCTCCCGCATTCCCGCCGTCCCTTCGTGTTGTCGCGATCCGAGCGCCCTTGGTGATTCGAAGTCAGAATAATTAAAGATAATGAAGTCAAGCCGATCCCGCAGATCATCAAGATATCAGATCCTTCCAAGGTATAGACATCTGGACATGTGCCATTCCCTTATAAGCTCGTATAAGTTGAAAATTTCTGTCGATTTCGTGTCTACATCAAACAGCGAATCCTGCAATGCAACGCTGAACTCTTGGCCAGACGGCTACCAGCGGAACTGTTCATGGTTATTTCGCACCGTACGATAGCGCTGGGCTAGGCTACCCATGTTTAGGTTCTTAGCCAACAAAACGCTGCCCATGCAGGTGTATAGCATGGTCTGCTCTGCCAGGAACATCGTAAGAGGGGAAAAGTGGGGGAGTCAAGAAGCCAGTCCGCAATGTGACCTATTCGAGACAAGCGTGTCATGGCCAATATAATCTGCTGTTCTTCTCTTCTCGTCCTAAGGCCGATTGTGCAATATGACTGGTTGTCGCCATAATCGCCGAGGGTCTTGCCAAAGACCATGATTTTCAGTCGACGTTGGCTAGTCCATGATGTTCAGGAACCCACTCGGGGCTATAGGGTGTGTGTGGATCCTGTAAGATGCCCTTCTCGGTCAGGGTCCTTGGAGTATACTCCGTCAGACATGCCACGACTTGACATGGTCTGAAAGAGGCACACATCAGTCTCTTTCCTCCCTCCCTCAGCGAAACACCTTCAATTTCCGCAGGATGCGGTATAGACTCTTGCGGCCGGATCATCTCCCCAGGACAGATTGTGCCCCTAGTCTATTTGCAATTAATATTACGATGTCAAGCAATTTTAGTGTCATGTCGACCGTGCTTCCTCCCGTCCTAGACCGCTTATGGAACACAACGCATTCGGGCTGCGACACCCAGTTGAGGGGAAAAGAGCGCATCTGGCGCTATTGTGCCGCGCTTTCTTCACATGCTTTCATTGACCGTCCCGTGGCAGGGGCGAGTTCCAAGCCGCGAATAGGCAGGATTGAGGGCGGTGGTTTTAGGTGCCAAGCTTGAAAAAAGAAAAAAGGGCCGGGATGTCGTTGGGAGGAGAATAAGATTGATTCTCAGCCAATGCCCACCTAGCGTTGACACTAATTCGGCCCTTTTCCCTTGCCTTCCCCTTTTTTTCCCTTTGCAAGGCAACTCAGTGGGTCTTCCGCCCGTCCATCATTGGCAATTGAATCGATCGTGTACTCCACAGGTCTGATAGAATGGTTGCATCGATATGGCATGTCTCACATGTTATCATTTGCTGGATTCTTCAGTGATCGAACAGAAATTACTGCGCGGTTTTGATTGAAGTCAGCAGCCTAAAAATGAGCTATTTGTTGCCCAGACGTGGTGGCAATAAGACCAACCGTTTCGGAGAGCTCCGAAGTCCAAGCACAGCCTTGCCATTCTTATCACAGGAGAAACGAAAAGAACAAACAGAAAAGGTTCCAGCGCGTACCTGCAGCTTTCCCATAAAGGAGAATTATCTACTTTAGTTGATTAGTCCTCTTCCTGCCGCTGCGATCCGACACCATTGGAGGAAAAATTGGGAGCACAGAACGAGGGGAACGCAGAGAAAGAACTGGCCCAGAGGCCGCCGCATCTGCTGCGCTGTGCCTTTTTCTTCTATTTCCCCTCTAGGAAGGAGGATAACTGAAGACCACGATCCGGATCCTACACTACTCCGCAGCGGGTTAGCAGTCTATCCTGCACTAGGGTCTGTTGGCTGACGGTGGGGAAAATAACTTTATCCAGTCACCTCCTAACGATCTGGGTTGTGGCCGGCTTTGGCCTTGAATTGGATCCTGCAGATTCAACCGGGAGTGTTGGATTTTTTTTTCTTTTTTCTTCTTGTTGGTGACCATCACCAGAGGGCTGCAACTGCAAGTGCATCAAAATCCTAGTCATCTGAAGATTATCTCGCTCATCTCCTATCATTCCATCGGATAAGCCGTACGGAAAAAGGGGCGATGAAGTTGTAGATCGGGGCCAGGAGATGGGAGAAAGGGAAGGTGGAAAGCGTGGGAAGGAAAGGGCGGAAGAAATCCCCGAGCGACACATGACATTCGTTCCTCAGGCAGCCCTGCGCGTATTCCGTAGAGACTGCATGTACCTATGGAGTAGAACGTTGCTCACTGGCAATCCTCAACCAACCGTGTTCTCTCGCTCTCTTCAAATGTCTGCAGTTGTCTTCAACAAAAGCTTTAGGTAACACTTTGGCATAGCATGTTGCACCACATATCGCGAAAGCTAATATCCCTCAAAGTTTAGAGCGCCGTTAGCCGTCAATTTCCGCTACCCTGGGCTTACATCGGAAGACGTTTGTATCCTCTGCAACGCCATAAGAGCAAGGGTCTCAGGGGACTATGCGTCAGCGGGACTACCCCTGGGTCTATGCGACTGCAAGCGAATGCCTATCGAACCTATAACGAGCTAGGATCATCCCACGGGTGTTACGGGTAGATTCGAATGGAACGGCCCATATCAAATATCTCATGTTGTTTAGGTACCCTGAGCCTTCCGAGATCAACATTTGATACAGATGGAGCGAATGAGTGGACTGGCATAACCGCCTATGTTGATGTACCAGCCGTTCTTTGATGGCAACTGACGGACAAGAGCTACACAGAGTGCTCCAATCGTCCGGAAGCTGTCGTCTATGGAAATCAGTCAATACATGCAGCTTCCTATCCAAATAGCTACCTTCGCAAATCCACTGCAAAGTTGCTCCCTCCACCGTCTCCGCCCGAGTACCCTTCGATAAGAATGCTACACATAAGCAATGGCACCATCCGAGAGCTTGTTGAGGAACCGTAACTTCACGTGGCTGAAGCTGTTTGTGTCTCAATGCTTGGTTGCTTCCCCCGAGGGGATGGGCTGAACATGCCAAGTAGGGTAGGCCGACGCCTCACCCCTGCCCAGTGAGGACCGCTGGAGACAGTGGACGCTTGGGAGCGGTTATTTCTGGGGATGAACAACCGTATGACAGAGCTTAGAGCAGCAGAGTGTCATAGTTTTAGTCCGGTCCGGGAGGATCAATAAACCTCGATACGGTTATGTTATTGCGGTGCTTTTGCTGCGATGCAACGTCGTGATGATGTTACAACAGCAGTCAAGCGCGGAGCTCTTCCAGTCTGTTGCACCTAGATGAAGGCCTGCACCTATTGCATTCCTCAAAAAACGGATCTCTGTTGTGTCGATACCAACCGTGACTTCCTTTCCATTCCTCCTTCAAATTCTACCAACTTATTGGCTACCTCTTACAGACTTTTCCCTTGATGCACACCTTCAGCAAATCATTTGCATCCCATAAGACATACTCCAGTCTACCTTTATTTTCAAATTTGCTCGCCCATTCATAGCATATGAGGTACGGTGCAAATAACTTCATGCGGCGTTTAGGTGGACCCAATGTTTCCAGCAATATGTTCCATAAACACGTATCTGCGACCGTTTGGTACTTCAGAGCCCTATAGTTCTCCTTGATTTTGATTTGAACGGCCAAGAAGGAGTCCCTTCGGGTGCTAGAATATAAGAACGTGAGTCGATTTTACCTCGCTAGGAAATTTCGGGTACTACCATGTCCCAGAGACACAGGTATATATATGAGTGCTTGTGTGTTTTTTATCTCCGACCCATCTTGCCTGCATCATTCCCTAGATCCTAGAGGAAGCTACATGTCCAATACGGCTTCGATCAGATAGTGTGAGGTGTCAGAAGCGGCAACACTACTACGGAGTACCGTTGATTATATATTGTTCCACTCCGTAGAAGCGAGTCAACAATGAACAAACACTACCGGGGAGAACGCCAGTACACAAAGGGACTAAGAACAGAACTACCCCGGCAGGATAAGATGTGATCCGGCACATCCGAGGATCTCGTGGAGATGGACGAAGTGGTGGTCCGCAGGCAAATCGGACGTTAACCCCGACGCCACTGGAAAACCCCGGGCGCAATTGGTCCGACGGCGAAGAGTTTAACTGATGTTCGCTCCACCCCCAGAGATGGATTCCTTCATAAGTTCATGCACAGCTGATCCGGGTTCCTATCCCTACCCGACCTGGCGGAGTACGGAGTCATCCTGCTGTTCCCTCTCAGCAGTCGACGTCTAGACGACGATCGCTCCTCCGGTCGAGCTCACCGGTCGACACGAGGCTAGAAAAGGGTGGAAAGACCAGGGGAGGAG